AGGCTCGATTCCTCAATGGAACTCAGAATGTTTTCTGTCCCACGCTCTTAGTGAGACGAAAAACACCTTTTCTATAACTTGATTTAGGTGTCGATGTCTTCAACTTAAAAAGCTAATTGGGGACACCTACATAATAGGAAAAAAAGAAAAAATATATATATAATTGTTTATACATGGTATCATTAGGTAAATTCATAGTTCACTAAAATCCAAAATTTATAAAAAGGTAAAAATTAAAGTAAAAAATTATGAAGTTATCTCCACTAAAATATACAGAAAATGCTAAACATATTATTAAAATTCTCAAGAACTAAAATTAAGACGGCAGCCACAATTGTCACTTCTAGTCTACATGGTTAATACGTCGTATGTTGGACTTAGAGGATTGTAAAGTAGGTTTGTCCTTGATTTTGCTGTCCAATTTAGACCATGTGTATGGTCCAAAGTACCTTAAAGAATATTTCCTTTAGTATACACTATTAAATCTGGCTACGACCTTTTTACTCAAAGCTTCATCTCTTGTTGTGTCTGAATTGCATGCTAATGCATAATTGAAGTGAAGTAAAGGAACCTCGTTTAAGGAAAAATTAATGGTCGCTCGTTGATTTTTGCTGTAATTTTTTTTAGGCAAAGCCATACATTTTCATAACATATTTTGATTCAGTGATTCCCGGGACCGTAACGAATCTATTGACAATGGAAGAGCGGATACAGAATAAAGCTTCACGCGCTAATAATATTCGTTATGCATGATGTTGCCGACCAGAAGGCTCCTTGAATCTTAAAAGTCAAGCCTCTCAAAGAGATCTTTTAGTTCTTTTGAAGAGATGAAAATTGATCAATGAATTTTTAATAGAAAAGATCTTGATAAGAAAAAGCCAGGTTTTTTCAGTTTTGATTTGAATTCTTAATTTCTTTCTTTTGATTTTGATATTTTAAGCCCTGCAGACAGCACTTTACATTTTTCACGACTGGGAAGTCAAGACAAATTATAATGAATGATTTTATGATTTTTATAGCTTAAAATGATAGAAAAACCTAGCCTTAGAACTCCTGGCATAGAGTTTTTCCTGCGTGTGTTATAGTCTTCCCTCTTAAGTCAGTCTGCTGGTCTGTTAAATAGAGTCACAAATCAAGAAAATTGAATTCATTTTATTTCTTTCGATATTCAATTTTCTATGAGCTTTATTATAACATATGTATATTAAACAACGATTTAGAATCCATAAAAAATTGTGAATATATGAAATAAAACAAAATGAAATAAGAAACAAGATATTTGTGTATATCATCACAAGGAACTCTGCGTTTAGCCAGAGTTGGGTTATTTGATTTATTTTCGATGTGATCGTGTTATTTTATTATCTTTCTTTTCGGTAGATAGAGGGAGAAAACGTACCTTTTCATCAGCCATAACTGGTTCAGCTGACTGACGCAGCTTGCAGGTATAAATTTAACATTTTGAGGCGTTTTGTGTAAGTCAGCCGGTTTTCAGTTTCTTCTATCAATCTCATATCAACAAATGGAAAATTTATGAAGTTTACGTAATTTGAACAATGACTACCTCTACCTCAAAGCTAGAGATGAAAACTTCAGAGATACGCGTATTTCATCTTTGTCTTACATCTATTTTTCGTGGTTTTTCGAACATCTGACTTTTTGCGTGCGCTCTGAATTCCCTTTCATTCTGAGTAAACTGACAAAAGTTAATCTTCCGTCATCTTTCGATCAAAATCGGCCACAATGCATAGTATAAAACAGATATCAGTCTTAAGTCTACTGATCTAGGAGTCAAGAGGACATGGAAGTCGATGCAAAGATGCTTAAATTTTCAGAGCTTGCAAATATTTGCTTTACTTGATTGAAAAATTGGCCTAAATTTGTTTTACAAGCTCCCCTCTTGGTGTCTGTAATAATCTCCGCTTTCCTAAACCACACTTTTTTGTTTTATTTTATCCTTGCCTTCATGGTGTTTGTTTGCCTTGAAAAATGATTATTTTAAGATCTACTTTATCCATACGATCCTGTGAAGATTTTAAATTTTAATGTGATAATCCTCAGTTTCAATTAGGAAATTGGCCGCGGGTAGGGTCATGCAATCTTTCCCTTTCTACACTAAATCATCATCACAGTCTTTTGATCGCTATAAGAAATCAAAACAACGGCTAAGCTATGAATATTTAATGTAATCATTGACCTGGTCGGAAAATTTACCAGATAAAGTATATCTGTGATTGACAAGTATTCGTTAATGGATCGATGGCCTTGTTGCCTTTGAACATCCAGTCGACCGACTTTTAACTTTGAATTTTCCGAAACTAAACGAAACTTTTAGGTAAAGCAAACAGGAGGGCATATTAGCATTTCTTTAAATGGCATGAGGCAAAAACCTGATTGTAAGACATAAACAGCTGTTTTTAAAACAGTCATTAAAACTAGGATTTTAAAAACTACCATATTGTCTCACTGCGTCATTAATCAGTTTTATGGCCCAACAAGAGGTCGACATATACAAAGAAGGGTCGTCTACCTTATTTTTCTGTAAACATCGCAGTTTTATCGTTCAGAGGGAGTGTCAGCCAATTTACCGAATGAAGGATGAATTCAACATAGAAAGGAGAGGTAAGATGTGATTCTCATAACATTCAAGAATAACTTGAACAATCGATGACACATTGGAGAAAGGGTGACACTGTATGATATTTACGTTGCGCACAAGAGCTAGAGAAAAACAAGAAAAAGTTACATATTTAAGAAAACCTTGTAGCACTCACGCTCAGAATCCTTGCCTTTATGATCACTTTTTTCTGTTTTGTTTTGTCCATTTCTTTTGATTCTTTAGGTTGAGTTTCATTAATTAAAGCTTCCTCTACAGTGTCAGAAAGCATAACACTTTAAAAATACAAGGGAAATAAATATTGGGGGAAAAATCCTTCAAATGCCCATGATGTCTATCACAAAGTTAAGGACTTTGAAGAATCGAAATCTTTTAATCACTGCAAAGAAAATGATGCACATAAGCTTGGCGATTTTGAAACTTCCTTGCAATTGATTATCTCATTGAATTTGAAATCTTATCAACCACTTGTAAATCTATATCTTAAAAGGCCGTGTTTGTTTTTTCTTTTATGAAGTTGAGTTAAGTGATGGGAATATGATCATTGATTCTGTCGATAGAGTGGTCTTCAATGTCTGGGGTAATTTAATGCAGCAATTTACTCCATGCTTGCCATGCTTTTCGAAGAGTGTCGAAACTCTTTCGTGTCCATATTCAGATGACAGCGATAGAACTTCATTATGCTAATCCCTGTCTATGTTTTTTACCTGCATGATCAAAACGTTCGCAATATGTTTATTTGTTATGGTTTAACTACCATAATCCTTTTTTTGACCGACGAAAAACGTTCATCTGGTCTGTCAAGCAAATGAAAAGGTCATTATTGAAAGCAATATCGCAGACCTAAATATGTTCGACATTCATTTCTACATCAGTTAAACATCCTGTAAATCAATTGAAGGGGATATTATACGTCGACACGAAGATATGAGTATTATTTCAGTTTGAAAGATGAAAGCAACATTTTGGCAGAGAGCAATGCAATAGTGTCAACATATTTTTTTTTTTTGGTTTTTTGGGACGTGAGAAAACAAACAGTTGACATATATTTACAGTTTCAGCATTTGTTTTATTCTCCATTAAGTAATTGCGACAGCTGACAAAACAAATTTGCTGCTCTAAAAATATAAATACATTTTGACTTTTAACATCACCGATAAAATCGCACACTATGAGCTTCTAAGAGCTTCACAAATGTATCGCTCGCCCTTTTTCCACTGACTGCTTGCACAAACACCCAAAAAAAAGCGGTATATGACGTCATCACTATCCTCACTAATGAGGATGTTGAAAAATTGCAACTGACACACGGTGAGAATTTCGCGTGACTTCTGCGTATGGTAGGTTTTCCAGAAAAAACCCATCCTCCTCGAAAACTACGTCATTCGTGATTGTTGAAATTTGCGTGAATAGACGTGGGTTTAAGATGGAATCTGGGCAGCAATGAGTGCTGTGAGGTGTTCCACAATAATCAACACCTTGTTTTAGAATTTCACTATCTAATGCAAGTTTCTTTTGACGAGTTTTTAGCTTCCCCTTTGTAGTCTGAGTCCTTACTAAGGTTATTCATGTGATGTGTTGGAAATCTAGAAGCCTAAGACCTGAAAGAAACATCGGCAAGATAAGAATAAGTAACTGATTAACATTGAAAAGGAATCGTGATGATTTCTTATCTATTCAGCACATGATCTCATGTGGATTGCTTTAGGCTGTTTGAATGCGTAATTTACCTTCTTCTATTCTGTTACTTTAGTGCTGGTATATACAAATTTAAGGTGTGACTTTTCTTCTAAAAAAATTTGCCAAAATGATTTCAAATCCAAGGCTACTTAACAGACATGTCTTCATTAATTCCATAATTTTATCATCCAAACAGATGGTTGGTTTTTCTATCGCATTAAAATTGATACCTTGCTGTGGATTATTAGCATAAAAGTGGAGGACGTGGGTGTAAACGATTCATTTTCTAGCTTACCTTACCTTTCGTCTTTTAACATTTATTGTTATATCGATTCAAATTAATTTCGGTTTTCCCGGTTGTAGGCCATAGAGCCTTTGTAAAAGTTTACAAATTAAAGTCAAGTACGACGGGCACAATTAAATGAAATGTAAGACATTCATGTCATTTAGTCGCTCAGAACCTTTTTGTTCAATTATTGGTATTTGGGGGCAATCAAATCAATTTCTCGTTGGTGTCACATACATTGGGATTTTTTGGTTTGTGGCTAAAAATGCCACTTATTGTTATATTTAAGCCTATATCATAAACACGGTTCCTCAATTGAATTTATTTGAATCTCTATCGCGAGACCCTGTGGATCGACTAATTTGAAATCATTTAACTCAGTTATACAGATATTGCTCCAAGAAAGCCTAATCTAAGATGGAAGAGTTCGGAAAAGTCATCATTTCGGTTATCTACTTGGTACTCTTTATCACTGCTATACTCGGCAATGTTTTTGTTGTCTATTTGGTGCTGAGAAGGCCTGCAATGAAGAGTCCTACAAACCTTCTTTTGGTGAATATGGCAGCAGCCGACATTCTCTTTGCTGTGTTCATGTTTCCGCTGGCTGTCATCCGACTTCATGTAAGAGCTCTTTGGATCGGAGGTCCTTTTGGTGACTTCACATGTCATGTTATATTCTTCATGTCCCATTTACCAATTGCTGGTTCGACGACAACTCTAACCTTCATAGCGTTTGAGAGGTTCTTTGCAATCGTGTACCCATACAGGACGATCAGAATCTTTCAAAAAGTGTGGGTCATCACAATCTGTATTTGGCTGAGTTCGGCCGTGCTTATGAGTCCCGTTGGAGTATCTGCAGTTACTACTGAAATAAACGGCCAAATGCATTGTGATCGTGACTGGTCCACTTTTGGAGATCCCGTGATGATGAAACGGACATTTTACGACACCACATTTGTCGCCATGTACGCTGTTCCATTGCTTGTCATTGCCGTCCTGTACACTGCAATCTGTCGCAAGCTTTGGAAGCACAATGCACCTGGACAACGTGGACCATTGCATGCACAACAGAATAACACGATTCGAAAACGTCAAATTATCACGATGCTTATCACCATCGTCATCGTTTTTGCACTTTGTTGGCTTCCCACACATGCCCAGCACATTCTTTTGTCATACTTTCCTACTCTCCATGCGCGCTTTCCACTAGCTTTAATGGTGTCCATGAATCTCTTTGGTCACACAAATCCTGCCATAAACCCCTTAATCCTGTTGGGACTCAATAATCGATTCCGCCGCGAGTTTTTCAAGTTATTAGCTCGTAGAAGAACAGCTCGTAATAGAACAGCACCTTTAGAAGAGTCCCCAAATGTTTCCGAAGATATAAGAGTTCAAGAAAATGGAATCAATAACGGTGGATTACGCACAGAAAGAACGGGTTCTTGAATGGGTTGTTAAAAATCTGACGAACGGTAATCATGAGCTCACTTGGTTTCAAAAACCAGTTGCTGCCACAGATATTACTTATATACTTGCCTTAATTTGGCTTGACACATCTTGGCGTTAGGATATATTTGATATCATTTAAAGTAACTTGGTAATAATATTGACGTCATGTAGAGATTGCCTTTAGTAGAGTGCATGGAATTATAATCCCATCAACCTAAACGTTTTCTGAACGCTTTCAACGTTTTGAGCAAACATATAAATATATTAATGTTCATTTAAATAAGTTTTGTAGTGATAGACAAAGAAATAACTTAAGTCACCACCTCGCTTTAAGTTCTTGAATTATCGTAGTGTGTCGGGCGTTTTCAGATGTTTCTTGTCAACCGCAAGTCCTGCCACAGTTGCTCAGAGCCGACGTTCGGCGCTGAACTAATCTCACCGAAAGATAAGGCACTTTTTTGCTTTTGTTTTTTGTTTTTTGTTTTTGTCTTTATTGAAGGCACAAGAAGGCTCCTTGTGTCTTTTATTGAACATTTAAGAGACAACTCGTTGAGAACAAAATTAATCCCAACAAGAGATGTCCATCAGTGGTAAGACCCTTTGGTAAGAATAAACTGCTGCTCCGAAATGCGTGATACGTCATATCACTGGAGGTAAGTTTAATTTTTGGTGGTGAAAACTTTTCAACACGCGTTAGGTGCTTCATGATACAAAAAAGAAATTAAAACGAAACGAAATAAACACAGTTTTTTATTCCATTCTTTTGGCAAAATGTTCATCGCAGCCCTCCCACTCCGAACAGTGAAAAACAAATATTTTCCACATTTTTTTGAAAATCCACCCACCATGTTATTGACCTAAAGGTAAAAATCTATTCACAGAAACCTTACAGTGGTGGACAAGGGGACTTAGGTAGATGAATGACAACTGGCAGGAGTACTTAAGTTGTTGCCGTCCTTATTTGAAGTGTTTTTTCGCTATTTCTGAGTAGTTTCACGACTGGAATTAACCCTTTAACTCCTAAGAGTGACTAGCTTCCAATTCATCCTTACAATATCACCCGCACATCAGTCGTGATAGGTCTTGTGAAGAAAGAAAATGATCTCCAAGAGACAGTGTGGGTAATATTAATACTAATGTTAGGGCGTGAAAGTTAATAAATATTTCTTGATCAAAAAACGCCTTTGCCCTGCTCCTGAGCTTGGTAAAATCACTCAGATCAATGCTAATATTTACGGCTTCTATATTCGTTTTATTGGCTTGGCTCTGACTGAAAAATGTTGTCGAAAATCTTAATGGGCCGTTGGACTAAATCGGCTGAAACTCTTCGTCAAAACGGGTTGCGCGTGCCGTTAGCGGCGAGGGACTTGGATGGAATCGTAACTCAAACAATAGTGTACAATTTTCTTCTTCGGACAAAGAAGCTTGCACTTCTCTATTTAGTTCAGGCGTATAAGTTTTCTAGCGACGGGAACGGCTGACTTTCTGCTTCGCAAATTATATCGCGGCAAACGTTCTTTAAATATTTTTTCGCAAACTTGGCAAATGGTCAAACGAGTTACCTGACAAATTAAAAAAGGGGGTACGTTTCTAAAGAAACTGTGGTGCTGCGTTGGTGGAGGAGTATATCAGGGTAATTTAGTGTTATCAACTGAGTTGATAACGTAAATTGGCCATTGGTTTAGATGCGTCCTTTTAATTTCTTTATACGTCGTGAAGGTGTTCTCTGAATTGGTCACCCAGTTTTCTTCCTGTTTCACCAATGTATAACTTTTTACAATGAGTGCAAGTTATGCAGTAAATGATATTGGCGGAGGTGTGCCATAGGTGCCACTTGACCCAAGAGATCCATTAAGATCACTGATCAGTGATCTTAATAGATCTCTTGGGTCCCGACGTAGAGAAAATGTCGGGACCCAAGAAATGACGAGGACGCATCCAAAACCACTCGCTAGTCTCCTTAATCTCCCTAATCATTCTAAGCAGACTTCATTAATGAATGAAAATCATAGAGTAATCGACAATTCCCGAATAAAATCGTTCAGAGGGTTGGCGCTAAGGCTCAAGATGGAAAAATGCGTTGAATCATGATTACAAAAACAACAATGGGCGTAATTTTCAATTTACAAAATTCAATTCTCATTCATTGACTTTGTCCTTACTGACAGAAGAAGTCTTTCAGGTAAATGGCCAAATCGGCCTGTGACAAATCTTCCAGTTGTCGATTTCGTTCTCAGCCGCGAGAAATTTCATTACCAAAGCCACTGAATAAGTAACTTTCGGTTTTTCTTTTCGTATTTTGTTTTCTTTCCCTTCTAGCAAGGTTTGAACGTCACTGTCTGTAAGCGAAAGGGATTTTTCAGTGTTTTAGCAGCCTTATTCTGAGAAAATTCTGTCAAAATACCTTGGATTAAGAATGGTGAAGACTTTTCCGTTCATTCGTCAACCGGACGGATTGGCGCGAGAGGCGAGTGACGTGTCTGCAGCTAATTGGCGAAAGGCGAGTGGCGAAAGGCGAGTGACGTGTCAGCAGCTAATTGGCGATATCAAACGCGTGAAAAAATACTGTATTTTTAGGGAATCGTAGGCAATCCTTGTATAACGCCGAAGTTTAAATGATGAAATCTTTAAATTTGCGCAATCTGTAGGTTTTGGGTATCACTTAAAACTGACTCAGTTAAAGAAAGTGGAGGGGGACAGAGGGGTGGGAGCCCGGGAGAACAGGGGGTGGAAAGCGGGATCTATATGAGGACGAGAAGCGGGAGCAGAAATAAAGAAGGCGATAATTTGTCGTTTATTACTGGGAATTATTCCGTCAAAAACACTTATCTAGCAAAGTTTTGAACTTTTTATTTAACATCCACCAATGCTTAAAAGAAAATTGTGGAAGCAGGAAAACGTAAATTTGTACTCGGGCTGGAAAAACAGCATTACTTCCGGTGAATTTGGAAATCTTTAAATATTTTTTTGCAAACTTCACAAATGGTCAAACGAGTTATCTGATAAATCAAAAAATTGGAAATCTCTTCAATTCGATTACGTCATAGGTCATGAGAAAGCATGACACACGACACATGTCCACTTATACTTCAGAGTCTGGTAAGCTGTAGCTGTCGAAAATCTCCAGCAAAGAAAGCGAATCGGCCTCAGAATTTTTCAATGTGGCAACGAAAAATCCCTTCATGAAAGACCTTAATGGGAGCTCGCTCCGTACCACTGCGCTTCCAAAATTGCTGAAGATTTTGCCTCATGGTGCAAACCTGTTTCAAAGGAATATCGCTTCGCACTGGGGAGTGAGGGGTGGTTCACTTTTCAACGCAATTTTTTAATTTAGACGAGGCTAAACCCGGGTTTCTGATCCTCTTGATTAACCTGAAGACAGTAAAGGGTGGAGACAATGAAGGGTGGGAGTCGGGAGGCGGGAGAACGTGGTATGGGGAAGTGGAAGACTTTGACCCCCAAGTTCCCCCCCCACAAGAAAGAAAAAATTAAAATTTAGGTTTTGAATACATCAAGGTTCCTCAGAACCTGTTGGACCCTGGGCACTCTCAATAAAGGTAACAAAAGTATGGAGAATTTTTTTGTTTTAAGTAACAGACTATAAAAACAAACTGAATGCTGCATTTTGATTGGTTATTGATAATGATCTCTTGATCAATTAGGAGGCAGACACATAGATGACCTCACCATTAACAGTAGTTTGCTTTTTATCATTTAAAACAAATAGATTATATGTTGCCATGAGTCTACACAGCAATAAGACCGCAGTAGACATCAAAATATGGTATAAACATTGGTGACACACTTGGCTCAACCTTATGTGCCACTTATTTCATTCTTACTATATTTTGATGTCTTCTGATCTATCACTGAACTGACACATGGCAACATGGAATCTATTTGTTAATTGTTTTGTGATCCCCTACAACTCCTTTTTAGCTCAAAAAAATTCTGCTTATGTCTAATCACAATATAATTAACCTCTTACAAAGCATAATTCATGACAATTCTAAAACAGACGAATAAGCCAGCCTAGGTTATGGACAATAAAGGATGCTACACCAGCCTGGTGATATTGCATACCCAGACCTTTCACAGCCAAATTGTTTTCAGGATCTGGGTATGGGATAATGCCTTGTCCAGACTGGTCCAATATCAATTTAACCAATTCACCTTTAATGTAGCATTTGGTATCACTGAAAAACCCCTGTTCTTTGGGATTAATATCACAAAACCTCCTTTACTCCCTCAGCCCTTGACTTCTGTGGGCAACTAAGTTGTTAAAAAATGTCTTCAATCTGTGTTCCCTTTAAATGTCATGTGAATTTTAACATTACTTTTGGAATGAGAATCCAGCATTAACTAAACAGTTCACATAACAGGATCTGAATATATTTACACCAAAATCAGAAATACCAAATCCAAGAAGTGCTCAAGTGTACAAGGAAATACATTGAACAGTTCCAGCTTACTGACAAGCAAAGAAGCTGACAGTTTGATCAGGAGTTTTGTTTCGTATAGAACCATGTGAAGGAAGTGCATGTATAATCTTGGACAGCATGCATTTAACCATCCTAAACACAATTTTTTGTTGTGAGTTATGAGTTACAAACTTATTGGACTTACTGAAACATCCATAAGAACTTATTTTCTGCTGAAATTTGAAAAACACCTGAATTGCCTCTTATACCCTATAACTAATAAAATATTTGGACCACCTTGTAGAAAATCATGTCACACATTATCAATTATTACTACATTATTAAAGGGATGCAAGGAAATGATCATTGTACAAAATGTGGTGATTGACATTTTAACCCTCTCACTCCCAAGATCTCAGTAGTAATTCTCATTACTTCCCATACAATTCTTTGGATGTTACAATCTGGAATTGGATCAACTTATTAGTTATTAGTTGATATTTTTCTTTATTCCCAAGGCATTTCCTTGCATTCCTTTAATAATTCCCAAAAGTGATCAACATGAAACTTCTCCCCATAGTATCATTACATTATCCAGCAAATAAGTGATGAGAATATTCAAACTTATGAGGTAGAAGTTGTTATCTTGATCTAACACCAAATTCTCATTACTAATTTACAAGGAAAAGCACTGCAGCTTAAGGGGAATTAACAATTTGATCTTGGAAGTTAAAGGGTTAATATGCTGGACTGTAGAACCTATAAACAAACTAGAAGCACAAGGACAAGAAAAAAAAATGAAGCAATTGGCATTGTACCAGAAAAGATCTGGTACAAACAAGTGAAGACTAGAAGAACCTTAAAATTTGATTATTACTTTCTAATGAGACCACAGTAAGTATAAAAACTGTGCCTAAAATAACTTAGTTTTTGAGCACTAGCCACTTTTCTGCTTTTCAATGAACAGCCATCAGCAATCATTACAACTGACATCTAGATGGGCTATGCATGCTGGTCAAACCTGCCTCTAAAAAAGAACAAACCTTCAGCATTGCAATTCCCCTTTGTCACTGTCGGATCTAAGGTAAATACCTTCAGATCAAGAATCTGGTATCCCTCTTCCGCAAAAGTTTCCTCAATAATACTCTTACTCAGAGGAAAGCAATAAAATTTTTCATTACCAACCATGTAAAAACTCTCGCCCAGAACTCCAAGCATGACAAAATATCCACCAGCTTTCAAGTACCTTGACAGCTTGGCGATCGCGTGACGATAGTCTTCTGTAGATGTCACGGAAGCTTCTAGACACAGATTTGTTGTGATCACATCAAACGATCGAATCTGTGTGGACCACGAAGATGGCCATTTTACCGGGTCCTCCCATCCAATATCACACGATAGAATATGGGTCACTTTCTTCCTCAGTGCTTCTTGTCGAATTGACACTTCTTCGCTTGTCTTTCCTTCCAAGTTCTGGACGACAAAGTTGAAATACGATGACCAATCATGAGAATCAGGTGAGTTCTGCAGCCATTCCTCTACTTCTCGCCGATTCCTTTCGCTGTACTCAGCAAAAATTATCTCTTTCGAGTAGGGTTCGGCGCTGATTAGAGCAGAAATGTTTGGTCCTCCACCAAATTCTAACACACGAAGATTTCCCTCGGGCATTTTGGACCAAGCCTCGTGGAAATTACGCATGGCAAATTGAGAGTGAGAGGGAGTTTCTTCGGAAATTCCAGTGAAATAAGAATTCAAGTAGGTTTTGGTGTCGAAATAATTGTAGTAGTCTTTTCCAAATCTTACCTCTGTTGTACTTTGGGTACCTTCTGTTATGTTTGTGTGGACAGCCTCACACATTTTGGGCGCCGTTGCTCTGCTCACACTTCAGTTGAAACTTGACAATTAAGGACTGGGACTGAATAGACTATTTTGCATATTTCATTGGAAGGTGTTCACAAAAAATTCTGATTTCGTTTTTAAAAAACTATTCTTTACGAAGAAAATTCTTTTCATATTGTCAATATCGATTTTTTACCGTGTAGAATGTTTTTTTTTAACGTATAAATTGATTTTTATCATGTAAACTGTGATCTTATACAAGGATTTACAGCCCTGAAAAAAGCCGTAACAACACACGCGAAAAAATACGATAACTTTTCTCGTGTGGTTGATGTTGCCAATCAGCTACTGACACATCACTCACCTTACGCGCCATTCTCTCAAGTTGATGAATGAATGGCAAAACCGTCACCATTCTTAATCCAAGGTCGTTTGTCACAATTTTCTCACATCGCTCATAGAAAGTGACGTTCGAAAGAGAGATGACCAAAATAAGAAGAGAAAAACCGAAAGTGTAAGTGTCTTGGATAATGACATTTCTCGCGGCTAAGAGAGAAAATCGAAAACTGGAAGATTTGCCACAAGCTGATTTTGGCCGTGTAACAGTTGAGATTTTATGTCTACGAGGAAACAGTCAATAACTGAGAATTTTGTAGCTGGAATCTACGCCCATTGCTTGTTTTTGTAATGATTCCATGCATTTCTTTCATCTTGAGCCTTATAGTCGACGCACTCTACGCCTTTTTTTTCCGAAGATTGTGGATCCTATATATATCTTTTTCCTTCATTAATGAGGCTCTGTTAGGGTAAATTTCGATGAGCGACACGGCTCTGAAACGATGTCAAGGAGCTGAAATGACGACGGACAACGAGCCGCTCACGCGAAATTACGACAGCTGTCTACTCTGTGACCTGTGTCGTCTGAAATTCCGACGAGCGACTCGGCTCTGAAACGATGTCAAGGAGCTGAAATGACGACGAACAACGGGCCGCTCACGCGAAATAACGACGGCAGTCTACTGTGTGACCGTCTGACTCTCTTCTGTCATCTTCTCATCTCATCTTTCATATTTGGGTCTTTTCTCTCGGCAATCCCCATACATGCCCAATACACAACAATGGATTTCGATGAAAATTGTGGTTTTCAAAAAATTGTATTCGTGACACCCTCTTACGGAAGTAAAATAACCGGAAGTCAGATGAACATCAGGGAGGGCAAAAATTTTGTCCCATGGACTCCTACGGATGGAATCCGATGGAGTCCATCGGAATCCAATTGAGTTCATCCGACTCCATCGGAATTACCGGAAGTCCAGTAGTAAACCGTTGCTTAGACAAGTGCATCATATGTGAAATAGCCTCGTTCTTAAAGCCATGAAGCGAAACAGCTCATTTCAGACGCGGGTGACTTGAAATATACTTCGTTTTATACCTCGTTACAGACACAAACCTATCGGTGGCCGAGGAGGGACTAAGTAGATGGGTTCAATTACATGCAAAAGTTGTTATTGTGTTTGCAACCATTTCTCGGTAGTTTTAACAATTATTCATTAACAATCTGTACTTGGCAAAAGCAATGAATCTACAATGTCATGGGGTGAATGAACATTTAAAGAACAAAGGAGAATTTGTGCATTAAGATTGTTTTAACATTTCGAGATGACTAGATCTAGAGTTTATGTTACAATTGTTCGTCTGTACAAGAAACAAAAAATGCACAAAACAGCATGAACTACAAAACTTAATGCTTAAACGAATAGCAAACAAAACTAAACATTAAACAGTATGAGCGCATAACCTACTTGTTTGGTAAATCTCTAAATTTGTACAAACAGTGGGTTTAGAGCAAAAGTTAAAGAAAGAAGAAAATATGAAACTGAACTTTTTGAATGCATCAAGGTTCCTTAGAACCTGTTGAACTTTAAGTTTTCTCTTAATATAGACAGTAAAAAATGGAATCCTCTCTTTTGTCGTAAGTAACTGTTGTTTCGTCCTTCTTCTCCCCCCCCCCCTCTCCCCCCTTTTTTAGTGGAAAGTATTCGCATGATTTACTACAATATAATTTACCTCTAGCGGAGCATAACTTATGACAATCCTGTTATAGAATAAACCCAGCCCAGATTTTTGACAATAAAGGATGCTACTTCGTGCCTAACCCACCACCATTGTGAAGACTGGTCTACTGTTACTATATCAACCTATTCACCTTAGTATCATTGCACAACATGTTCGCGTAGGGCTTGAAATCATGGGACTATAGCTGAAGAAGGGATTGATGTCAGGGGTGGGGAGCCTGGAATGGTATGGCCCATTTTATCAAAGAGACTGAAAACTTTCACTGCTAATGATAGTAAAGAATACTGAAATGCCTCCAATACTGAACTATTAATAGACAACCTTGTAGAAAATTATGCCACCGGCCCCTAAGACAAAAGGCAAAGCGTGAACTTCTCCAGGAGGAAAATGAAGGATGAGGTGATTAGAAACTGTATCCCTTTGATAACGCGAAAAGTTTTGTTCTAGAGGTGGGACTGGGACTAAATTGTTTTGACTAAATTGTTTTGTTATGGCTAGCGGTTGAGATCTTTTAAAAGAGGTAAATTACTCTTTTTTCAGTTCTTGGCCGAGATGATCATGCAGTAAGGGTTTCTCCCTCCACTACAGAGAGATTGTCCTCAAAATTTCACATTTGCCTCGGAAGCTTCGCTTCTCGACCACATATTAATTTTTCGGACAATATCTTAGCCGCGGACATTATCAGGCGACATACCTGCCGCCCAAACGAGTCTATTACTAAATATTTAACAGGCACACAAGGGAGAGACGCGAACGGGACACTCGCACCCACGTGAGGCTCCCACAAAGAGAATGAGCACTTGCAACTATACAAACCTAAACAAACTAAAGGTTAATCGAATAATAGCAATATCGACAATCCCCTGAGATGAACCAAGAACATACCAGGTCCACATCAAAAAATGACATTAAATACGGATAGTATTGACAAGGAATGAGCATATGCCTGCTTTTACGGCAGTTCATGCTAAAACTACTAGTCAGTCAGGATTAATCCAATGCTTTGATGACGTCATGCGTGATACCATGCATTTGTTATCCCGCGATAGAAACCATCCTATCCCTTGGTTTTAACTTTCATCCCAGTGCGTCTTAGAGAGTAATAATAGCCCCTGAAAGCGTACCAGTTGACTCCATTAGCATAAGTGGTTTGTCGACCATTGAGATATAATCCGTTTAAATTGGACGTATGGCATCGGTCGTACCACCAGGCTCCTTTGTACATTTGGGCGCAGTGATGACTATATATGTCATTGTCTTGATCTTTCGTAGAAAAATTCATATGGCTGGAATGATGAAGATTAAAACTCAAATATTGCCGTAATTCATTCAAAGTAAAAAATTTTGGGAATTAGTTCTGTTAAAAATTATAAAAACTAATCAATTTATGGAAGAATTTCTTGATAAATAGCATGGTCGGCACGGACACCATACGAAAAAAGGGACAAAAAGATACAATAAAATTGAATACAATACAATACAGTACATATAGACAGTTTTTCCTTACTTGTGTCGTCCTGTCATAGAGTCACCAGCCGTGCCGTTGTATCCGCCAATCAAAAGCTGATACTTATCAGCTTCGCCTGCCACCTTAAAAGTCTTGTACTCAGCGTAGGTGATGTTGCCGTCAAAGTCTTCCAGGTCAACTCTCATCATCACGTTATCAACTGCTGTTAAACGGTGAAGATTGTCGTTTCCAAGCCAGAACTCGCCGTTTAGATTTCCAAACCCATTTTTGTAGGATTCCCATCCCAGATAAAAGTCAACAGAGCCGTCCAAACGTCTTTGAAATACGGTCCAACCTCCACCATCCGTGGTCATATCACATAACACTTGTATTGGTTTGCCGCCATCTGGATTGATGGTGTACAGGCCACTGACATTGAAACCATCTTGAAACAATTGAGAGCAGCTCTTCCCCTCTGTTGCGAAGAAAAAAAGTGATTCAGTCGAAAGTTGTGTTTGTTAAATAATTAATTGATTGATTCAAACAATAAACTTTCTAAATCCTTGACTTACTGCAAGGTTTTCCAGTATAGCCATCGTCACATTTGCATCGTGCGCTTCCATCTACATAATTGGGAATGCAGATTCCATTTTTGCCACATTGAAACCTGTCCTCCTCGCAAGCGCTCTGTGAAAAAAATAACTCCTCAAAAACCTTCACCATTTTAAGTTTATCAAGACCTTTCGAATAAAAGGGTTTTCTGGGAGATCCTTGGTTTATTTAAAGGCACCTTGAGAAAAAAATCATTTTAAAATTCTTTTAATTATACCTGTTTACTTACTTGTAAGAGGTGCGATAATTTATATCATGTTTTACTACGTGATTTAGCTTTATGTTTCCATTATATAATCCTCCATAAGCCAGATACTTATAACAAGGTGCAACAGGAAACGCATCATTTTTGGATCAGGAAACTCGAGAAAGTTCATGAGGAATGCCTATATATATATGCACGAAAAAATAGCAAGGTTGGATATTGAACGCATAATACAAGTCGAATATAAGCCTGGATTGTTCTCTCTTCATACCCTTTTAGCAAATTTTCATCGCAAAAACGACCCCTCAAAGGTAATAGTAAAATTTTATTAAGTTTAGGCTGCTTTTGTTCGTGGTGTCTCTTTACTGTGAAGGTCCACCACAATTTGAAATGCAATGTTTCATATACTGAGCTGGTGACAAGTCATTTTCAATGCACTGAGATAGATTTCGCTTACCATTAGTCCTCTATAAATAAAATCTTTGTCTTCAGTAAAGTTGGCAAATCCAAAAAATCGATCAGAGTCGCTCAGTTGACACTTGAATTTCCCTGAGTCGCCCTTTATGGTTCTAAAGTTGTAAGACTGACATCGCTCTTCCTCCACACACTCAAACTGACAAGAAGTTTCCGAATCAACTTCCATTTCACTTATCAGGCTTTTGTTCAGCTTTCGTCCTGCTATGTTGTCGGCAAAGTTAACAGCGTTCAGATCTGGCTCTGAAATACGGCTAACGCCGGACACAACAGCACAAAGAATAAGTATAATACGGAGATACATGTTCAGTCTTTGCCTTCAAAAAGTTTATGATAAAGAAAAATGAATGTTTGTTTCCTTCTATTGGCTAACTAGACAAGCAGGTGAAAGGAAATTGCCAGAATGAAAACAAACTATGTATTGCAATATCGACTCTCAGCTAATTAATTAATATCTGATGACAATTTTGGATAATTTGAAAAATGTTTTATGTTCTAACATCTGGCTGTTACTTTGTCGTTGGTATATATTGGTCTACGACAAAATTTTAGCATCTTAATAATTTGTATATAGCAATTAAGGAAGGCCCCCTAACCAAACCTAGTGTTAGCTTTCCTTTTGAGCTTCTCTCTTTAAATAGTGTCATTATAATTGTCTCGTTGCAGTGTTGATATCAAATTTATTCTAAATTGCATGAGGTTGCAGTATTTCCTTTTTTTTTTTCATCGAGACCTCATTTTTCGCGGATTGAGGGTTTAATTCATCTTTCCCTTGTGCAAAGAGGCCAAATTTAGTTATTTTACCCTATATTCTCCGCCAAATAAAAAGATCTTTTGATTTTCTTTTGCCATGTTTGCTTTACGTATCAACATCCTTGTTTCGATAATTGAATAATTTGCAGAATCTATGACTCTCTCGTCGTTACTTAATTTAATAGCATCTCTCATATCCTATCGGAAACACCAGTGATTTCGTGTAAAGCTGTTTAGAACCTAACGATTCGTGTTCAACTTTAAGGAAAGTTGGAGTCAAAATGTGATTATTTTTGTCAGAAAAATCAATGAAAAAGATAAAATTACTGGCATAGGCGCATGTATTACTAATTTTCGAATGCTTTTAAGCAGGTTGCCAATTAATGCTAATGGTACTCTTTCATATGTAGCTTTTTACGATTCTTTCCTGGGCATTTAAACTTTTGAGTGTTTATTTCTCTTAAGCCTCTCGCAGCTTGCTTAATTAGAACATAATCATGAAACTATAAATGAATATGTAGGACTAAGTTAGAAGGAATTATAAAATTCAATTAGAATCATGTTTGCATAATGAAGTCATAGAAACACCTTCTCCTGGGGCTGAGGTTTCATTCTGCAAGCAAATCTGAAGACTGATTATATTCTTCACCAAATTTCTGGATTTGTAGCCTTTTTACTCACAAGTGTAAATGGCGAATCATTTTAGTTTCCATAACAACACAACAATCATAATATTATCCATCAGATGATTTATATTTCATCGCAAAAAAAGGTAGTAGAAAGAATTGTCATCAAGATTTGCCTAACTTACTCAAACTGACAAGAAGTTTCCCGTTCAACTTTATTTTCTCTTATCAGACTTTCGTTTAGCTTTTGTCTTGCGGGAAAGTCAACAGCGTTCACGCCTGGCTCCGAAATACGGCTTCCGCTTTACACAAAGTCACAGAAAAAGAACATTTTGCAGTGATGCCTGTTCGGTTTTCACCGTCCGATGAAGAAAAATAAATATTGTTTTCGTTGTCATTGCCCTATTAAGAAGAATCAGTAGAAAACGAATCGCCTGTGATTTTACTACGCTTCCGTCACAAACCTTTCAGACAATGTGTTTGAAGGTTTGTTCAATTCTGATTTGCGTAAGTGCCTTGGAAGGAATACGACACTATGCCAAATGACGAAGGAGGGACGAGGGAGGCTTGTCGATGGGGGAGGGGTCGGGACACATTTGCAGTTTAAGCGGGAAATTTGACCATTGAAAGACCCTATTATATTCAGTTCCTTAAAGACGCTGGTTCTACTCAGCTTGGGAAATGAATTTGTAGAGCACTTTGCAAGACTTAAGTTAGTTAGTTGTACATCGTGGTGATTTCGATTAGTCCATTGCTCTTTACTTTTCGTTTGAGGAGCATAATCCTAGATCAGAGTTTGTGCCCCTCCCAATCAGTAGCAGCGTCTTTTAAGGCCAGAATTAAATTACGGGAGGACTGTTACTAGTCAAATGCAAGTGAGCTCCAACCCTTCCGACCAACAGGCCTCCTTCTAAAAATTTTTTTCAGGTCCTATTTTCAACTACTCGTTTCAGCAGTGTTCTTAGCTGCGAGGATCTCTTAATTTCATTTCTTCACCGAAGTGCAAATATATGAATTTTCATAAATCTAAAATCATCATTCATCACTTGGATGGTTTATTTGGACCCAACACATTGACCAGCTCCCAGTTGGCTTGTTAGCTCAGTTGGTGGAGCTGTACCAGTATCGCAGAGGTCATGGGTTCAAATCCCGTACGGGCCTGAATTTTTTCCAGGTCCTATTTTCAACTACTCGTTTCACTAGCGTTCTTAGCTGCGAGGATCTCTTAATTTCATTTCTTCACCGCACTGCAAATATATGAATTTTCATATATCTAAAATCATCACGCCTCCTTCTCTCACCCGTCATATATCACTTCGCATTAAAGAGTCAGAAAGCCTTAACTTATGGTCATTGAACCTGAACTCTCCTGTCCGTACCCTCAATGTATCGTCTTTTTCTTAATTCTAACAGACACTTGACCAAATAGGGTTTGGGTTCTTTCCAGTGAAGGAAGAGACAGGACACTGGGAACGACGTTGTAGACGCGGTCGCTAAGCCGGAAGGGTTCCTAACTTCCAAACATTTTACCTCCAAAGCCTTAGTTCAAGCTATGAGCTTTCTTTAAAGTTGTTTTGATTTATTCGATTTGGTGTCTTTTCATCTCATTTTCGCTTTCTTGAAGTCATCAACAAAGGATAATTGTTTTTTGCTCGGTAGAAGTTGACAGGTATGTTATGCGAACCGATATCACTCCTTACATCTCGTGGATTTTAGTTTGCGAGCTTTCTATTTTTATTGAATTCTTAAATCCTAATCGATAGCTTAGCTTTGTTAACCAAACTTAAGTTATTTGAATCGTTTTAACTTAAGTCGTAATGGATGTAAAAGTTTAAGTAACTTCTTTGATAGACTTCATTATCGGCACCAAACCACAGAAAGCCTGGACTTATAACTGGTTTGTAGTAAATTTTGATGTTCAGTTTACTATTTATTCGTCCAGTATTGAATTATTCACCGAGACAGTTAGTTATTAAGTTATTCGAGGCATTAGGTTTTGGTTTCTCGGTGCAGGAAATACACAGCAATGATACGTGAAAACCATGTAAAGTTTTTGTAATCTTTAAAAACCATGAAATTATGACCCCGCCCCTCATTAATTACACAGGTTATTGTAACACTGTTGATAAATTGTTTAAAAAACCATTAACATTCCCTCTTTGTTTTTGTACAAAGGTGACAAACTTAGTGGCTTCTCCTGACATAAAACTAGATGGGGGTCGTTGCAGGATAAATTGTTTTCCCATTAAGTACATTTTAACCGAGCATCGTTTATTTTCCATATCTATAGTGTTATCGGCAAGGTAAAGTGTTATCAGAATAAACCCTATAACTGATGATTCTTTCTTATTATCTTTACCCATCAGAAGGTGTGGGAAATCAGGATTCTTTTCAATTATTTTTCCCCAAATAACCACTTACATCATGGGTCTTTTTTCATGTAGAAATAATTTGCAGCAGTGGTCATTTTAATAATGAATGCTGGAGATAGAGGTATTCAATAATAATTTTATCATCTATGTTTGGAATATATCAAGTTTTAAAACATCTTTTTCCTACTGTGTGCCATATTTGTACTGAGGAATCTCCTGTTTTCTGCCCTGACCTGGTTTAAAGGACATGTTCCCTTTCCTTTCAAGATTTAGATTATCAATGCTCTATGCAATCTGTCACCATGGATAGGGCATTGCATCTGGGGATTTTGATTGGTACTATGAAGTATTATTAAATTTTATTGTTACAATTTTATTTGAATGTCAGATTCTCAGACAGAGATAGTTCTGTGACTTTGGGTATAGGAAAACGCAAGCAGAAAGATTTAACACTTTCTTTCATAATATCATGAGGACATTTAGCACCTAATATTTTCACTTTCTCTTCCACAGATAAAAACACTGATTTTTGAATAATTTTACATTTTCGACACTCATGCCAGTAACCTTCAGGGAAACTTGCCCTGACAGCCTTACTTTCATGTTCGCTGAAATATAAAACTGCTGTCTGAGTAAACCAAGCTGAGGGATCTGGAATAAGAGTTATAATTACTATCAATTTAGGAGACAATTATTTAACTGAGAGTATGTTCTTCTTATCAAGATGGCATTAGTCAGAAAGTCCAGAGTGAACTGCATAAACTCAAGCAAGCTTTTAAGTGTTCAGCAGGTAATTTTTTTTTCCAATAGCCTCCATTAATGTTCATTGTATTTCTTAATGTCAATATAATCTTTTTCTTTCTTTTTAATTTTTTTCCCATTAAGGTGAAAAGTTAAAGGAGTGGTTTAAGTAGAAATATGAGCCAAAAATGTGTTCATGATGTTTATACATGTAGGCCAAAATGTTGCTTTAAGCCAATAATGCTACAAATTCTGGCTTTAGTTTGTCTACGTGTAGAAGATGTTCCAAATTGTTTCAAGGTGCAATTGTCCTCTAGAGGTGACATGCTTCTGGTGCTCTGTTGATTTCACAACTAAATTTCTCACCCACACTGTAATTTACAATCATTTGTGATAACTTTTCTTTTCCAGTATTGATTTTTTTTTTACACTGCATTTTTCAAGTAGTAGTCAGGTAATGCTGAAACACAATGAACACTCTGTATAGCTTATTTTTTTCACTAGGAATGGGAATATAATTGGCAAACATACATGTGAAAAGGCATGAGATTGAAGTCAAATTACAGGCATGAGAGTTAGGAAGCAAGACATGACATTTATTACAATCAAAAACGTTAATTTCCTGCTCCGGAAGCATAATAAAAGTTGAAAATTTCCAAACTTGGAGCTAAAAGTTAAAACTTAAGTCAAGTCAGCATGTCAGCATGTCAAGCAAGCTCTAAAAATGAATAACTATCCAGAATGGATGCTAACAATACCACATCCAAAATCTACAACAGAAGATACCGAAGAGCCTCAAAACAAGAAGAAAATCTATGTATCAACGCCTTACATCAAAGGTATCTCGGAACGCCTGCAAAGAGCGTTCAAGTCACACGATGTTACACTTATTCATAAACCCGTCAATTCTTTAAGATCACAATTGGTGCGTGTCAAGGACACAACTGTCAATCTCAAGAAATGCGGTACTGTGTACCAGATCCATTGTGAGAAGTGTAACAAGGAGTACGTTATTAAAGGGCCAGCGCTCTGGAAATCAGAGTGAAAGAACACCAATCAAGAAGTTCATCAGCTGTTCACGAGCATTGTCGCCTAGAGGGCCACTCGGTGGACCCAAATAAGATAAAAGTACTATCAACCGAAGTTAACACCTTCAAACGCAGGATAAAAGAAGCTATTCAAATTAAACTTACGAAACCGGCGTTAAACAGAGACAATGGTTATGAATTAGCAGCTATCTATGACACAATTCTAACCCCCAAGAGGCGTTAAAAAAAACCTTTTTTAAAATTCATCTTTTTAACATTCATATCATTGACTGATGAAGTCCGGTCGAAATACGGATGAAATATTTCATAAGTTTTAACTTTTAGCTCCGAGTTTGGAAATTTTTAACTTTTATGACATTTATTGTTATGTACGACATAATATACAAGTGTACACTGATGGAGAATCAACCCCTCTTTTTTGGTGGTTTTATTGCATTGGGACCAAGATCATATGGATCAGTTAACGATTAAAAAAACCAGTGAACTTACTGATCTGCATATTAAGCATTTACCAGTTGTACTTTGATGCAATGATGTATGGTTAACAAAGCAGAAATTAAAGGGACCTTTATATACTCTTACTCTACCAATGCAGACTCTCAGAACTGGGTGAAAAGTGAGATAGTGTGTCGCTGCACTGACGAAGAGTTTCAGCAACTTCTCAAGGGCCTGTCATATATTGTGAGTACTTTGACCAACTGATTGGCAAGTAAATTCTCCTTTCAATATTGATAATTCTCCAGTAAACAAAGTAATCAGAGAAAATGTTAAACTTATCAATTACATAGGGTTATCTTATTAGTTTTGTAAATTCTTTCTCTTCTCATCTTTTGCCAATCAATTAAGCATTTTAAGTAGCTTAAGAACTGTAGTTAACATGAAACCATTTGCATTCACAACAAACATCATTGATCATTCATTTATGTAAAATGAAATTTGTTAAAATATTTATATATTACTGTTATTGAAGTTTATTATTGTGCAAAGGTAAGTACATTTTAAGCTTATAAATGTAAAACACTGCAGAAGCTCGCCCGTTAATTATGCTTTGTCTTAAATTTTTACTGTACAGGAGTTAGAGGCTGCTGCTTTAATACTTCAGCGACACATTGACCTAGAAAAACAAGTATGGAAATGTTTAGAAAATCTGAAATCAGTTCAAAGGTATTCTTGTGTTCATAATCTTCCATGCTCTTTCAGAGTGCCTTTCAATTGACTATTTCACTAAATAAGACCTAAAAGTATATATTAATATTTTGCTATTAAGGTCTTGGGTCTAATTATTATGAATTTTTGTTGCAGTGAATGGAATGGAAAAACCATTGACTGCACTCAAAAGATTATTGCAAGTCAAAGGAAGGTTGCAAGACTAAGGAGTAGATTGCTTCGCTGTCTCACTCAGGTAAGTACATGTAATATGTATATTTTCTTCCAGTGGGAACTCATTTACTCTTAATTTCCCAAAATGTGATTGAACATTCCCATCTAGCTTCTGCATTTTCTTGCAATTTAGATGCTACATTGTAAAGTCATGCTTAAGCTTTAAAGTATGTTTGTTTTCACCCCCTATTTATGGGTAATGTATCAATCAATATGGATAGGGAAAAATCATGTTGGCTTTAATATCAATAGTCATCCACTGTCAGAGATGAGAGTAATTTCAATTGGTACTTAACCCTTTCCATCCTAACATCAGTTTGCATGTTCTCCATATTGTTCCCCTTAAATTTCTTAAGGTGTTGAGAAGGTGAATTTGTTTAACAATCAAAAGCTTCAGTCTCTAGTTGCTGATCATTTTCTTCAATCTCCTGATCTTAATGTGTGATTCAGGGGCAATAGTGGGAGAAGAAATTAAATACTAATCACTCTTAGAAATTACTGTGTTTCATTGTGAAGTATTTGTAGGTTGTACAATTTCAAATGTCTGTTTGGGCTTTTTGGGACACAGAAAAGTGCTTTATGGGCATTCTACTGTCACTTTAACCCATTTATTTGTATTGAAGCAATTAGTCATGAATAAGTTAAGTTATATAATAGAAAACACAACCAATTTTATAAGGCAGCTGAAAATATACAATAATAAATACCTTAATGGCATGAAAGCTAAGATCAAATGTTTTTGAGATACTGCCTTTGACTTGAGATAGATAATACTTATCATTTCTGTAGGGGAAAGGTTCATTAATTGACAGTGTAGGCTAGTGGACAAACAAGGCTGAGATACTCAAGGACACGCAAGTGACAGGTTGCTCTTTTTTGGATTTCAATAACTGAAGAGAAACAGTAAACGTTTATAGAGGTCCCAGCCGGGATCCCACCCAAAATAGGGGGGGATCCCAGTTGGGAGAAACTGGGATCCCATGTGGGATTGGCGGAATCCGGCCTCACCAGTGTTTTTACCTGGAAATTTAGCCAAAGTAAATGTAAGGTGTTTAGATGCCAGCTTTGCCTGCTTTATTTGAGGATAACTTATTTATTATACCTGATTTTCACACAATACTTGTCTCCTCAGCAACTTCACAAGAATGGTTCATTATCTTGTGAGCTTCCTCCTTGGTCTGGAGATGTGTTCCATGCGTTGGGCAGAGATGAGGATGATAATGATGATCAAGTGAGGCAGGAGGAAGGCTTGCAGGACAATGACTCAATGTATTCAAATGTCCAAGATGAACAAAATATAGCGTCTAATTCTGCTTACGAAAATCTTGAAATACAGTCAGAACAGAGCACTCAACCTGAACACGCAGGTAAAAATTCAACTGCAGAAAAGAATGATGGAAAAAATAATTACTACGAGCCTGTTGCTCTAAAACCACAGCCTTCAAGACCAGCTCCCTCACGCCCACTACCGTACGCTGTGACAAGGAAATCGAGCGGTAAATCTGAAAGCGAAGTTGACCACAAATCGTTGGAAAAGGTACAGTACTGCCATGTTTAACTCGTTAGAGAAGGAAACTGTTTTTTATAAATCTATTAAGAGCCAAAACGAGATTCGTTTGTCTTTATTTGAGTTATTTCTCTCCTTACTGATAATGCACTGTGTATGCGGTATGCATTTTTTCCCTTGAGAAACAAACACAAATGGAAACTACATGACTAACAGGCCTTCTGACAAAGGACAGTAATTTTTTTACCTGATTTCTACTTTAACCCAGAGTAAGTGAATACCGTTTGAAGAGTATTCACATATTACAAAAATGTGTAAGCCTCAAGCCCATGTGTTTCCTAATGTTATGTTTTTTATTATTTTTACTTGTGATGTTTATTTTGTGTATTAGGATGATAAACCTGTGGAGTTGTCCTCACCCAGTGACAACAGTCAGGGAGATGATCAAGATGGCTTGATTGCGGAGCAACAATTCCTACAGGACTGGGATCCTGTGAGTATTGATTACGGCATGTACTATAATTAGAGCAGTTTTCAATTGACTGTCAAAAGTAATCCAGGATTGCTTTAGTTTTACTTTATTTTTCTCTGTGATTGGTTCAGAAACCTCGCGCCATCCTCTCAATCAATCAGATACAAAACTAAAAACAACAGCGACATAGTCATTCGCGTTTTCCCGCGCTTCAAGCAGTTTACATGTTTTCACTTTGAGTTCTCATTGGCTACTGATGATGTAAAGCTTCGGTCTGATTGGTCGCTGGGACATTTTCCTTAGCTCTGATTGGTCGTTGAGATTTTCTTATGGCGCCTAAATACTTGGCTTTGGTTTTTCGACACTCCCTTGAACACTGCCCTCTTAAAAGACGTGTGAATCACTGAGAAGCATGTTCTCATGTATATCCCGATTAACGTATTTTATGATCATGAGCTGACTGTGAATGGGAAGACGTATCTCAATGTTTGTACGTTGGACGGCTGCTATTTACAATTACTATACTACAACTATACTTTAACAATTTTGAAAGTTTCTCTAATTGATTAACACGAATTAACAAAACTGTTACCTTACCATTTGTAAACTAAAGCTATTTTACTACATTGTAGCTAAGATTTAAATCCGATAGCTGTTCATATGGGAAACTTGGGTGCTACTGTTAAGATAAAGAAGTCGAAGTCCTTCACTGTTCGCCCACGTAACCTGGCCAACGTGTTCATATGGGGGCTTCTGAGTTGGTCACTGGCATCTCGTTTGCTTGGCTAACTTACCTTGTTGTCTGAATATTTTTTTGTTCCTTTTTTTCTCTTGTTTTCCTCCTTTTTTCCAATTGACTAGGCTCGTATGATTGACCGTCAAAGAACAGTCAGCTCAAAGTCTGATGCCCGCCCAGTTATCTCAAACTGTTCGAAATTCGAGCTATTACAGGAGTCTTCAGTTCTAGTTTACGTGGTTGCTACTGTATGGGCATGTTTTGCCACAAAGAGCATGAAGCAACTAGTATTCTGAGGGAGTTAGAGAGGTCTTATATGTCTCTTAATCTTTGCTGTAAGCTCTTACAAGTGCCTCACAACACATGTACCAACTCTATCTCTAAATTGCTGAAAGTTTGGCCCGTTTTGTTGAGGTACTGATCTAGTGGGTGTAATCACCAAGAAAGCCTCGTAGCTGATTATCAATGTAGGCAACAGAAGCCTTGTGCCATCAGGTTTTAAAAATCTGGCCCAGTAGGTTTATATGGAAATAACTCTTTCATTATGTTTCTTTATCTTTCCAAGACCCCAGTCCTTCAGGAGTTGTTCGGTAACGTGCGCGCACTACCAACCCCTCAGTTGGTAAGGATGTTGTCTTATTGAGTGCTTTTGTGCATGTACAGTAGGATTTGCTTAATGAGTATAGTTTCAGGAACATTGAAGAACAAATAATTTCCTTTGTTTACTCAAAAGCGAACTTCAGAGGGCGGTCCTGATAACATCCGCATGGCTGGATACATGGAGAAGCAGCCTGTCAGAGGGAACCTGAAACGAGTAAAGTATACTTCATAAATGCTTGCGAATAATGGAGTTCCGTCAAAATGCTTTGCGTATCTTGGAAGATTTCGTGTTTTTTTCGTGATCATCATTTCAATCTGTTGTAATCTTCTCAATCGTTAGCCATCCCTCTGCTTTATTTCTTTGAAACTTCCTCTTTTGTGTGTTTCTTTACCGCTCTAGTCTTTTGTAATGACCTCGTCCTAAAAAGACTTGCGTCCTTAAAGTAGCTGACAGGCAGATATTGCGAAAGGAAAGTTTGCTTTTCCACGATACGGGCGCACAGTATGGTGTTTGTTACTCGTTGTCCATTTTAATACTAATATAAAAGCCAATCCAAGCGTCTTTTGGATTTTTTTCGTTGATAGTCGAAGGGTCTCCTCACTTATACGATAGATAGAGTTTAAACTTTTTCTGGGATGTTAAAACATCCCAGAACAGTTATTTGAATCACTGAGTGTGCTATTCGAGTGTTTCCCCAGCGTTCTCGCTCGTATGCTTTATTGCATCGTGTACATCTTTTTTGTGATGTATTAAAGTTTTGTTGTATGCAACAGGCTTCTGTATTTAAAGGATGGAAGAAACGTCACTTCAAAGCTGTTGGAGGCAAACTTTATTACTACGAGGTAGGAAAACATTCGTGATCGTCGTAATGTTCAAGGGTATAGTTGGTTTTGCGTCACCTCGCTCTCTGATTGTCTTGGAAGCTTGCGCTATCTCCCAACCAATCAGGCTTAAACTAAATACGTATCGTGACTCGGTCAGTCACAGTTCATCCCGCTGCTAGAGTAGTTTACTTGGTTTTAGTTAGAGTTTTCACTCAGGTTCCGTGAGACATTTTGCTTAGCTCTGGTTGGCTGTTGAGATCTTTTACGACACTTAATTGTTCAAATTTACGCCATACCAGGATCATCGAGCAAGAGAACCATTAGGATTTGTGAACCTCATCGGTTGTACAGTAAGTGGACATTGCTGATTTCTAAACACTGTCTTACGGATACACCTAATTGTAATAAAGATAAGAAGCATTTAGGAATGTATTTGGGCCAATAATTTACATCCTTAATGTCTATTTGTTTTTTAACCATGATATCGACGTCAAAATTTCCGAGTCAGCCATGTCTCAGAGCTGATAAAGGCATTGCGTGACACGTTGACACAATTAGCGTTGTCTGTACTCTTACTGACAATGGCAAACTGGCCAATCAGATTGCGACATTACTGCTAATCGTGGTAAAATAATACATTGATTCGTATCAACTCCGCGGTACATTCGAATACAAGGCCCCGAACACGATAGATGCGTGTGTGGTTGGGGTAAAGTAACAAACCAGGTTTCAGTCATTTTGTTATTATCATTATCATTAATATTATTTTTATTGGTGTTTGGTATTAAAACTATTCATAGCTATATTAGAAATTTAAAATATGTTAAAAATCTGAAACCTAACGCTCAAAAATCATTCAAAAGCTGACCGTGGACTATTATTGCATAACTTAACTTGTGTCTATAGCCTGCTCCAGAGGTTCAGTTTCAAGGGGGGGAGGGGTCACACTTTGTCAAACAGAAGGTACTCACCAGATTGGCATGTCGACCTCCACATGTTATTTTACTTATAAAAGAAGATTGGAACAGAACACTACCGATGAAACACTATTATTTCTGTTGCTGCTGTTATTGTTAAATTCGATTTTTTTAAAGATTTAATGTTGCTATATGTATATGGCTGCTGTTTCAGGTGATGAAGATGGACGAAAAGTTTCTGGAAGTGACTGAACAAGTTAGTGTGTTTCTTTTTTGGTTAAAATTGTGTAACATAACGAAAATACCAAGCTTTTTCACCGCATTAGCTTACACCAGTCTTTTCATTATATTTTCATCAGTCGTTCAATTGGTTTTAGTTACTTTATTTAGTGCTTTGTAACTTTCAAAAGTACCTAGAAGATGAAGTATTATTTTGATAAAGTAAAGAGGATATCAATTTAGGAAAAATAAGCTAAGCACCTACAAGGATAACGTAGATAAGTTCTTGGAGAAGTAAATCGATGCCTCTGAGTTCCCCGTTGCGACCCTCAAAATAAAATTTTAGCGTATGGAATCCAAACCGGCCCTTTCACTCTTTACGGTGGCTAATTTATGTTTTCGACTCAGTTGTTAACACTAAATTACCCTGTTATACTCTCCCACCGACGCAACACCTCAGTTTCTTTAGAAACTTACTCCCTTTATTCAAATCTCAGTACGTTCTCTGACTGTCGATTTTGGTTTGAGATTATTTGTTTTGATCAACCGAGTTAATAATGTAAGTTGGCCACCGTTAAGAGTTTCTAAAGCTTATGTTTCGGGCGGTAGCCCTTCGTCAGAACGAAAGACTCGCAATGTTAGCCCTTGGAACTCTTTGCAGTGGTCAAATTACATCATCAACTCAGTTGATGAACCAAATTATCTTGTATTACTCCCCACTGACTCAACCCCACAGTTTCTTTAGAACTAACCTCCTTTATCGATTCTCCTTTGACCTGAATTGTAGTCAAGGGTAGCTTTTACCTATGTTTTCTTACCAGACGCAAGGTGGCCGTTCAGTGAAGCTGAAGTGTTCATCTGCAAAAGAGGCGGAGGACTGGAAAGAAGCCTTGGAAGCAGAATCTGCAGCACCCTTGGAAGGCAGTCTTGGTTTGGAGGAATCGTCAGCCACTGAGGTTAGTTTACTTTTAACTCATCTGGATGTGTGAGGCATGATAACCGAAAGAATCTACAGAATTTGTGCAAAAAATTGATTTTTAAACGTGTATCATAAATCCCTCACGCAACGTCAAACCGCGTGTGACTTGCGATCCAAGCCCATAGACCCCCAAGGACACAAGTACCCAAACCTTAAATACAAAGATTGTGTTCTCTGATAAATATAACATAACATCATATTCCTACAATGTAGTTAATACCAATGAGGATGAATTGTGACGTTTCGATTGACTACAAGCCTTTTTTGGGCGATGAGGTCGACTCAACGTTTCTTTCACAAGATTATTACATTAGAGTGGCTGAATACTGTTTTCCCATGCTGCAACCTGTTGTATTCTGAGCGCTCAAAAACCAACTTTTCCCCATTGCAGTCGAAACATTTTCTCACATGCGCTTACTACAGGTTTCAAGTTTGAAATAGAGGCCGTGGCTTTGCAATCGCCAATAATATGCTAAGAAAAATCCCAGAAAATCGCTTTTGTCGACGGTCTCAGAAAGTCGCCGTTGTATTTTTTCGCAGCTTCCTTATTTTGTCTCTTGGGGTAATACCTCGCTGAAAAATAATTTCAGTCGACTGAATCTAGCTGTTTAAGAATTTCGATGCTGCTTCAGGGTAGCTCGCCCGATCTATGTGATCGCGCCGATTGTTTGCAACTACCGAAACGATCGGAGGCGATCCAAGCGATTAGGAGCGATGAGGAGGTTCTTAAATGATCACCGATCGTTAAGTATGAACAATGCGCGCAGTCAAGGCCTTGAAAGCCATCAAAGACTGAACGTCCGTACGAGGTTTTCATATGTATTCTTTGCCGCGGGGGTTTAACTCTCCTTCCAAATGATGAACCCAATATACTTTTTTTTATAGTCCATCGAAAATTTGTTGTATATACTCGTATATTCTTGGCCTTCTTTCATGAATAAGGAATGGTTAAATTCTTCACTTTTGCAAGCCAAGAGGGCTTATTGGTATGCACAGAGAAGAAAGATTATCGGTTGTTCAACCGGAAACCGCCAAAAACTGTGCAATTAAAGTGCTAACGTAGACTAGCCTTTAACAGCCTGAAACATTTTTTATTTATGGAAAAATGGTTTTGTGGATATTTTGAGATGTATAAATGTTGTTTGGAATACAGGAAGGTTGTGCAATAATCGTGAGGTACTTACCCTCTACTAAATGCTCAGAGATATTTTTTGTTGTCCAGAGCTCTTTTCTTTGCAAACCATGTAAATGTTTTTCATTATGAATATCGTGGCTGTTGATCGTATAATGCCGATAACATAATCTGTTAGTTAATGAAATTTTTCATAAATTTGCATTTTTTTTAATGTAGTTTTTTTACTCCATTATTGTTCTCAGCAAATTTTTCTGTGTTCACCAATTTATTCAGTAATGAAGACAACTGTTTACTTTTTTTTTTTTACATAAAATGCTAACTTCTGCGAGCTGTTTTGTGTCAATATCTCATAAATGTTCAAATAAATTCGTTTGGCCGCAGTTTTTCATCATTTTATTGTTATTATTGTTATTGTCTGTATTTCTTTACACCCCCCTCCAAATTTTTTTTGTCATGCTCATTGTTTTGGCGTGGAACTTAAAGATACTGTGCTTCAGTAAAAGAAGTCACAAGGAAATTTAGAATTATTCCTTTTCACTTGTCATCTTTGCAGCAAAGTGAAGTAGTTGAGTAAGAATTGAATAGGGGATTTTACGGGTCCGTGGAGGCTGGTGTCAACCAGCCTTCTATTGAGGAGGGAGTGAAATTCATGTCCCCGCTCTTATAAGATTTGGTCTGTAATCCTTTGAGTGACTTGTCAACTAGGGGAAGGATCACGTACAATATTGGGCGTATCATATTGGATGAAGTCTTTTTTGCCCTAGCTATAGCAAATCTTTACAGCATAAATCTGTATTTATTTTTCTGTGGCGATGCTTACGACTAAGAAGGCGGAAATGAAATCGAAAACAGCCGCCATTGTCTATGAACTCTCAGAGTTTGAGAGATCCCATGAATAATTATGTTGGAATGGAAGAAGGCTAAGTTAGCTCCACAGTTGGTGTTGGTAATATTTGTTCCTCGTTACTAGACACGAGCTTCACGGTATGTTTCCTTTACAGGGTCTGACCATAATCATTGACTTAGGATCAAATGCTGTTAAGGCTGGCTTTGCTCAGGAAGGTGGTAAGTGCTGTTAGTGTTTTAAGTGTTCATTAGTTGTATGACAAACCTATGCCTTTGATTGAATGCGTTTAGTACAGGAGAACATGACGATCTGTAACTTAAAGCACAGGCCGGCAGGATGACGTCTGAAAGCTATTTGTGAAATCTCTACAGTCTGCCTATTGGGTGTGGAAACCGACAGGCCCCCAATGGCGGACACACTTCCAAAGCACAATGAATCCGTTAAAATCAGTATTCGGTCATTTAGCACGTTTTAGCACACTAAATGAAAATTAGGAATATAAGTCATTTATTTATTTTTTAGAGGGCACGGTAACGAATCCTGCCATCTGATTGGTTCTTTACGCGGTCCGTATTTTCCTCTCTCTGCCCACGGGAAACGCTTTTGTGAGTCGCCGAGTACATCCCAACCTTCGTTGCCATTTTTCCTAAATATATCTCGTTTTTCCAGCTGGGCAGTATTTTTAAGCAAGTACGATAAATAACTTTGGATCATTGGACCGTTGGATCATTGACTGTTTTTGAAGAAAACATTGTCGTGACAGCCCCTGCCAACCTAGTTTCGTTGTTTTTCAAGAGTGTACATGCGCTTTTTTTTTTCTTACGCACTCTCTAATTGACAGGTGTCAGAATGTGATAGATAGTTGTAAAAATAAAGTTTGTTTGGAAGCCTTTTAAATCACCTTTATCATTACGCAAATGAAAATGTTTTGGTGAAGCATCTCTCTTTAATTTGCATCACCTCTATTTTAACTACCATTCACTCGCTCAAAAATTGTTGAGTGTAAGGAAGATCTTGCCGTATTTACAGCCCTAAATCATTCGGGTTCTTTGGGAAAGAATTTCTTTAAGTTAAAAAAAAATATATGTATATATGTTATTTACCGGTTAAGGATCGGTACGTATGTCGGTGACAGTTTTTCACCACACGGACCGATCTTAACCGATAAATAACATATATTTATAACGAGAGATTTTGACAAAAAAAAAAAGATTCAGATTTACAAGGCTGTAAATAAGGGTACGTTTCGCGGAAATGACCAATCACTATACTCGAGTTATCCTATACGAGAGATCCTCGAATTTCTCACTGAGGTTCGATTGGATCAGAAATGTGGCAATTGTTTTGTAGTCCCTTTCAACAAACGAAAAAAATTTGAAATCAAAGCAAAACAAAACAAAATAATAATAATAATAGTTGCGTCTCCCACCATAAGTTAGTATCGAATCTGTTGTTAAATGACCTGGTTTTATAGTAAATTTTCATCTTTCTGTTTTTTCTCCCTCGTCTTCCACTGAACCTTTTTTGTAGCCATGATTCTTCCGGTGGTCCACCAACTTTCATTTTGTCTACATGTTTTTCAGTCCTCAAAAAAGATTGTATTTCTTTGATATAGCATGGCCTCAAGTGATATTTCCCTGTGTTGTAGCTGTGGACAAAGAGAATTCGTAAGTATTGATAACACAAATTTGTTGATAACACAAATTAAAGTATGAAATTTAACAGTTTGTCGCAAGCATCATAGAGGGATGAACTGGGTGTCGATCAAAAGACGAATCCTCAATATTTTGACGTTACTCAGGTGTACTCGTGAGTGACAGGAAGGGCTGTGAAATTAAAGTGTCTTACCATTTAAATTCAGCATAGTGACCCCGGTAAGGTTCGAACAGGGACCATTGGATTTTTAGTCAAGCTCCAACCGTTTGTTCACGAATCTCTTAAGAGATCATTTAATCTTTCCAATTTTTTTCCTAAACAAAAGAAAGAGGGGATGTTTTGAAAATTCCCTGACTCAGTTGCATTCTCTATGTTGTGTAGAGAAAACTGTAAGTATGGATACGATGCGCTCCTACCTGAGACAAGGAAGACGTCAAGGTTACACTTCCCCTTGAGAAAGTCATTGAAAATTGACAAGGTAAATAATCGTGACTTCTATAAATCATTCGTGTTTTACTGTTTTTATGCGCTCGTTTGACTTAGCTTCCATAGACATGACTTGGGATAGATGTTGAAAGAGTGTGTTATCTATGAAAACGAATGGAAATTTTTCTTTCCACAATCAAGCCATGTTCTTTTGAGGGTAAAGAGGTAATCTTTCCAAAAATAGATCTGTTTTTCGAGAAGTTCAAGCATACATTCCACATAATGTAAACATTAACTATACGACGTTTTACAACAAACCAAGTATTCGTTAGTCTCCTTGTTAACGTTTCTGCGTTTTTGTGTTTACAGCTCAGGATTGAGATACAGGATTTAATTGGAATATTTGAGCACGTGTTTGATAAACTCAGAGTTGAGCCATCTAAACACAAGGTAAGCCCCGTGCATCGTTATCTTTATCACTGATTAGTAATTATTACTGTGGTTTTTTCCTGAAGCCTTCAAAAAGTTCAGTAATCTGTGGAGGCAACGCCTGCCTTCTTGTCTGTTTGTTTATCTCTATCTTCCAGTCTGTTGTACGTGTTTCATATACGTGTGTCACTAGTTCTGTTCGTCTGTTCCCCCACCTTTCCAGCAGATGGCTATCCTGTTTTAAAGCAAAGGTCTCAATTTCCTTTAAGTTAATGAAAACCTCCAAATAAAAGATTATCAGAGAAGAAAAACTTCCCAGAGTCATTGAAGTAGGCAAACGGGTGAATGAAAAAACAGAAACAAGAAATCATAAAAGGAAATGAAGATACATTTCAAAGATTAAAGGATTACAAAGATTTGCGCGATTTTGCCGGCGACTAACTCGAAAAATGAGGTTTATTTTCATATCGACATGACGAGGTAAATCTACGTTGACGGTTTTTTCGTGGCATGAAAAGTACGGGTACACTTCCTGAGCACCATGATCTTTAGTTGGCTTCAGCTCTTTGAAACAATTCTTTTTCATAACTACAGGTGATTATGACATTACCACATGGCTGCGGTCCTCAAGAAAAAGTGCGTTACTGATTTTTTTTATTGTTGTTGTCGTTGTTGTTGATAAACAGCCTAACTTGTAAACAAGCCCGTTTCCTAATTCACACTTGAAAGAAAACAGTTGGTGATAAACAGCCAAACTTAAAAACAAGCCCGTTTCCTAATTCACACTTGAAAGAAAACAGTTGGTGGTATCGATGCAATCTGTAATTGTCAATTCTCAGGCTTAGACCGGGTCCAAATAGTTATAATTCCAAAGAGGTGCAAATCGTATGTGAAAAGAACGGTGGTGAACGAATAGCAACCGTATGAATTGTTCATGTGGGCGAAATTCGTAACTAAATATGGGAATGATCTAAATATAGCCTAGGAGCTGCGTAGGGGATTCAGTCTCTTACCTTGATACTCTCTTGGGATTTTCGTTCCACTCAATTGACTTGATTTGTTGACAGGAAGAGCTAGTAGAACTGCTGCTGGATATCTTTAAAGTTGAAGCATGTTATCTCCAGGAACAGGCTGTTTTATCGATGTACTCTTACAGCGCTATTTCAGGAATCGTTGGTGAGTTCCAATTTAGAATTGAAATGGTGAGGATATAGGGAAGAAGAAAATATTAAAAGATGCCAAATCACCATCTTGGCCTCCCTTTTCTATTTATTTTTTTAAAGCATAATTTATTCTACATGTAGCGCGTTGTAGTGGTTAGATTTAAAAATACTTAAACCCTTCACTGAAACCACCGTGGAACCAAAATGAAATATATTTTTATCTGTTTTATGTTTTTTTTCTTTTTTTGTTTTCAGTGGATATCGGTGATCATATCGACATCATTCCAGTGGTGGAAGGTAACACTGTAACGTAACCCACTTAGCATTTTGCGTTTGATATGTTAGACGCTAACTCAACACTGGGTCTAGTGCATGACATGAATTAAAATGAAATAAATAAAATACGGTCAACTGCCCGCTATAACGGACACTCTCGTTTGCTGACATTTCTTTTGACAGACCCTGACTTTTCTATCAGTTTCCCGTTTTGCCTCAAACTCTCGGCTGTATTTACGCATTTCCGTTAGCGGACACTCTCTCGTAAGTGGCGTCAGACAATTTTGAAATGCGACTTAGCAATTCGAGAATATCCATCAATTCTTCGTTCTCGAATGGTTCGTCATCTTCTGCAGCGCTGAAGTTTTCAACAGGATACTTCCCGGCTGTCTTAACCTACTGTTTTATTTCATTCATACATTCATTGATTCCTTTTGTGACAATTTATTTGCTCACTCATTTTTTTAGTCATTTGAAAATTTATCTGCTACTTTATTATGCTTCAAAGACTGCTATTGTGCTCAATTTAAACTTACAAACCTGTTACAGGATGTATGATCGAAGCTGGTGTCACCAGACTTCCTTATGGCGGCAGACAAATTACCGACAGTTTTACAAGGTTGTTGACAGAGAAAGGCATTCGGTAAGATGAATAAGTCTCTCTTGAGACCATGCACAAGTACACCGTACAGAGTATCAATAAGAGGTCATGTTAAATAAAAAATTGAAACGTGCGAGAAGAATTGATCAGAAATAGCAGATTTTTTTGCACGTGAGTAACTGGTAATGTATTTTTTTCGCCTCAAACAGCACACATATTTGATCCAAACAATCTCGAAAGATTTCAACAAGGAATCGTATTTACAGTAATCGGACTTACTTTCGAAACAGAGGCTCTATAGTTGTCATGTCGCCTATCTTTCGATTAAAATAGCATCGCAATGGAAAAAATGTTAGCACTCTCAATATAACTGTGTTTTTTTGCGAAATATTGAAAGAGAAACATAAAAAGGAAGACAATTTTTTTCTATTACTTTCTCCAAAAGATCAGGCATCGTCCATCAAAACCGCAGTTCGTGACACCCATATTACTTTTTTCTGCAGTTCGAACTGACCTCAAATCTTTTCTTTTTTTATCTCAACCGAAGGCTTTTCTCAGAAGTCGAGTCTTACATTTCGCGAGCAATCAAAGAAAAGGTACGATTACTGCTATAAGGCTGTTAGCTATTAAGACTGGAGTGTTTTTGTTTCGGTTGTCAACAAGGAAGGCTTAAGGGGGCTGATTTACCTTACTCTGAGTCTGTGAAAGCTAACTAGATAAGCTTCGGCAGCCATCCATGGTAGTCCGACTCATGTCCAGAGAAAACGTTACCGGGGAAAAAGAAACTTTTGAAAGTACTCAGTATTTTATTGAGTCCAGAAAGGCTCTGGTTTCTTATGGGTACATTCATGAATTTTGATTTTTTAATATTTGCCCAGAGGCAAACAACGAACTTTATTCTTTGTACGAAATGTTATGGTGTAATTGGATTGGTTTATGTCGTAAAACGTGTTTTGTTGAACTTTGGTCAAAATGTACATGTAAATATGTGAAGGACACGGTTTTCATGGAAGTAAAGGCAGCTGCGTTAGGTCGTGGTAATGGAAATGGTCATTAAAATTGCTTGTTAATCAAGATAGACTGATTTTTTGCAACCATATTTTTATAAGGATGTTCTTCAATTTCTCTCCAGGTATCCCTTGTGGCAAAACGAGATGTTCAAGAGGATACAGAAGCGGACTATACAATGGAGGTGGATCTGGAAAAGTACTCCATACCAGATGGCACAAGGTGTGTTACAACCAGGGATTCTCTTTCCTTGAAGTTAATAGGTCTCGGTTTCTTCTTCAGCCGGAGAATTCAGCCAAGGTTGTTATTTTCAGTCCGTAATGATCCTCGCCGACTCGATCGTTCGACGAAACATTATAGGCATTTGATCGACTTTCACCCAGCATGCATAAAGTCACGCAAATTCTTTATTTGCCTCTTATTTCTTTGGCATTTTTATGTTATGAGTTGCTTTTCGATGTAGTTTCTTCGTAGAAGCATATCATATCTTTTTCCGTGCAAGTTAAGATAATCTGTTACTTTTATTTCCATAGGAAAATTACTGTGGACTCGGCTAGATACCGCTGTACCGAAGGACTGTTTAAACCGTCCGTTTGGGGCAAAGACAATCCGGGTATTCACCAGCTGACTGTTAACGCCATCATGGCCTGTAGTATCGACATACGGAAACAGATGTGTCGAAATATTTACCTGAGTGGTGGAGGGTCCATGTCTCCAGGTTAGATCAAAATTACTACCACCATTACTAGATAGTACTGTGTTGGTTTCACTCATGTAGTTTTCTTTAGCTCTATTTTGTTCCTCTGCCTTGTTTTTTTCTCTTTGTTTGTTTCCTTTTGTTTCCTTTTGTTTCATTTTTTTATCTTCTTTTTCTCCTGTTCTTAATTTCTTTCATTTCCATTTTTGGTCTTTATTTTGAGTTGATTGCCTTTTGTTTTCTGTTTGCTCAATTCGTTTGTTTTTATGTTGATTTGTTTGGGGTTCTGTTTCGTTCTGATTTGTCAACTGATCGATGATCGAATTTCGTGTAGTATATTTCTCTATTAGAAAGTTATCACGTAACTGTAAGGACCTAACCTTGTTAATTTATTGTTACAAGGAATGTATCGTGTTACGTTTTGATTTACGGTTTGCAAAATAAGATGAAGGAGAAGAACGTATATGGGCTATTAGACGTTTCGAATTTTTTTGTGAAATATTCTCACATGAAAAATACTAGAGACTTGTGTGCTTCGTTCCCAGGTCTGGCCGAACGACTTCAGGAGGAAGTTTCTGAGCTGATGCCTTCAACTTCCCATGTTCAGGTATGTAAATCATGAACACTGTACCTTCCGCTTTTAATCCGTGTGTAGCGTTACAAGATAAAGTACAAAAAGAGGGAACTTTTGCAATAACGATCTCATTACAATCACGATCACTATCACAATCGCTTTAAAGAACTGTTTTGCAAACCAAAACAGCTAGACGAAGGTAAAACTTTCTCTAAAATGTCAAAGCACGTGCAGTCTCCCAGAGATTGTCGCGTGACACGCAACGTAACGTAAAATCGGAAATGAAACTAAAACGGAAATTTAACGGTAGCCACAAACACTGTCTGTAAAAGAAAGTGAATTAATGACTTCTTTTGGTCGTGTATGTGCTTGAAACCTTTGGGTTTAAGGGTAAAATTTACACCTTTCTAAAGTCTTATGATTAAGTTTGTTTTCGTAATTCCGCCAGTCTTGCATTCTTGATCTTACTATGAGGACGACAGGAAACATTCTCATACACTACCTGGCCTTTGGGTGGTGATAGCCTAATATTCAGTTCCTACTACTGAAGAGGGGGTCATTGGGGTCTATTAGAAACCACAAAACCGCTAAATTTTCACATCCCAGTTGACAAAACCGTAATCGATCCGGTACAGTGGTGACAAGTGAAGCATACAGAGGTATATTCGAGATCAGTGGTGGCGCATAATTGCCGCTCACATCAAGTAGAAACCGGAACCGAAATAGGGAAAACCGGAAACCACATCAGGTACCAAATCCAAACCCATTAGTATTTTCGACGAAAACCGAAAAGCAAATTCTAAAAAGCGGAAAATACTCAAACTGCAGCGAACACCAAAACCGAAAAACCGAAGTTTTTTGGCACAACGACCGAAAATTCAAACTAAACAATGGCCAAAACCGTAAGACCGAAAATCCTAATGCCCCCCCCCCCTCACTGAAGACTACATTCGAAAAGTTTCGAGGCTTTGAATTTTAAGTGATGTAGCACCTCTAAAGAACATGAATTTGACCCTTCTTTACTAGGTTTATGTATATTAGTAAAAAAGTTTGGATAGAAAGCGCGCTACCATTGGTTGAAAGAGCGTGCTCTATTAGAGTATAGAACATAGAACAAGAGAGCTAAAGTTATCACGCCATCTGCCAAATTGGACGATGTCCGACCCTTTCCCGGACTTCTCTCTCTTTTTTTCGTTGATTGAAAGTGAAATTTCGGAACAAGCGAGCCGGCAAGTAGCAACAGAAGAACCAAACAAAGGTTTCTAAACATGCCAGGCGCCGTACATAACGTGAGCAGAGACGGAAATCCTAAAAGAGAAAACGAAATGGAGAGTCCGAGTTTTGAAGGTTTTCCATCGCGGCCAGCTCATCTTGGCGATCTCCGGTCATCGCAGTGAAGCAAGCCTTAGAGATTATATTAGCCACCCTTCGAGTCAAGAACTAAAAACTTGCTCTTATATCCTTCCCGAGGCGTTGAGTGGAAGGCCACATCAGTCCCGTAGCCGAGTTTTACGGCGCTGTCATCCCGAGCAATCTTATGTTCCTGTGAATTCGGCTGTCGTGCATTCATACAACATACGCCTCGAGCAGTTTGTTTTCTAATTGTCATGTGAAAAAAAGACCCTGCTTTTATGAGCCACAATTTGGCCACATTTCACTGAAAATTTCACTGTCGGATTCAATATGAAGGTTCAGGCAAGTGTCAAATTCGACCTGCAGAACTATTTCAGTTTGTGAACCTCGATAGTTTGTCATTTTTGACAGCTTTAGTCTTATTCAACCGATCAGATTATTTCCACCATTCTAACAAGGATTCTGATTGGCTTATCGTAATGAGTTTTATGAGAGTATAGAACATGGTGACGACACGTAAAATTAAAATTTACTTTGGAAATAGTATAAGTAAAGCATTGGGAATTTAACGGATTCTTTGTTGTAAAACAAACAGCCTTAACTGTGCTCTGTTCTGTCGTAAAGCATTTAGGATGTGTTTCCCTTACTTCTTCAGTGCTCCCAACTACGTCTCGTGAGTTTTTTTAACGCTTTATTTTCCGAATTTTTTGCATTAGAACGTCTTTTATTGTTGATTATATTTTCTTATGTAAAGATTCTGATCATTTCTCTATTCACCACTTTATATAAACTTCATTCAAGTCCTTGCTGTTTTCCTTATTTGTTACTTGTCCCTTGGCTCACGTTCCTTGTTACTCCCCAACCCAGGTTCACGCAGGACTTGAGCGTCAGCATGCTGCTTTCATAGGGGCCTCAGTGGTCGCCAAGCTTCCTCTGTTTGAAGAATTGTGCGTCTTTAAAGAAGATTGGGACGAAAATGGACCAGAAGCTTTAGAAAAATGGCTGACATTGTAGCGTAATTCATTATTATGGTCAACAAATTTTGAATTAAAAAATAAAGCAGAGGAACTTGTAAACAGTCACACACGCGTAAATACGTCGACTCAAGCAATCAAATAATTATTCATAATTTTTCTTTCTCGTCATTTAACCTGCTCCGTAAGTCGTGCTCTTCTACAAACATCAAATACAATGTAAAACAGGGAGCCTGGTTGTTATTTGAATTTACGTTTTCTTGTGACATTATTTAAAGGCCCCTCTCTTTGGCAAGCCGTCGTCAATTTTTTGTGACCACCCAAATCCATTTGTGAGGGCGCTTCAGAGTGGAAAGATCTATTTGTGAGGGCGCTCCAGACTGGAAGATCTATTTATGTGGGAGCTCCAGCAGAGTGGAAAGATTTATTTGTGAGGGTGATTCAGAGTGAAAAGATCTATTCTCTGCCTAGGGGGTTTCCTCTCATAACTTTCCAAATGTTGAACACAATACACTGATTTTTTACAAACTTGTTGTATGTACTCTTGTATTCTATGACTTCTTTTGTGAACAAGGAATGGTTAAATTCCTTTGTTTTGGCGGGCAGTTTGGTTGTGAGGTCGGGTCTTGTTCTGGGTAATATTTGATGCACCTTATTTGGAACGCTTTGATTGTCTCTCGGCGATCGTTAATGAGTTTATAAGAAGCTAGGTCTCATAAAATCATTAACGATCACCCTGTTGTACGCTTGTCGGACATTTTAAAAGGTAGCGATGTCGCGACAGCCCAGAACTTCGTCAATTTCATCATAATGAGCTGATTTCCTTCCATTTCCTTCAGACTGCTTGCTGTTCCAGTCTTTGGCCTGCTTGTATCGATCGACAAGGTACTTCATCTTCTTCTGGTACTTGTCTGTTGTTTTCTTGGTACCGAATTTATCTTTCATTTCCTTGGCGATGTTTTCCCTCGCTTTTCGAGCTTCCCTGCTTTTAAGGCGGTCAAAATTTTCGGCCCGTAATCTTAGCAACATTGTTTCTTCGTCGTTCGACCAGCAAGCGTACACCCGTCTTTCCTCAGCAGAAGAAGACGACGAACTTGGTCCGCTCAGAATGTAAGGGAGTAGTAAAGACTGTTTAAGAAACGCTAAATGTTCGCTAAACGTCCGCACAATTAAAATTGGTCAAGAGAAAGAAAATCTCGCCAAAGAACACCTGCGAAGGGGTGATCCTTGAGGCTAATCATTCTATGCACAAGTACTTTATCAGCCACAGTGATCCCGTGACACTTAAGAGCGAAACGAGGTGGTTGAAAGTAGATGATGTTACCTTAGTAACAAAAGAAGGAGAAAATGACCGGCAGCAAAAGGCAAAGGGTGACAGCGAGAGACGAAATGATACTTGCACAGGCCATGAAGCCGATTCCCCCGGTCAACCAGTCAAGCAAGCAAGAACAGACAACGCCAGTTTGTTAGAGGCCAGCATCGATCAGATGTTCTCCTCGGAAAAGCTTGATGGTGACACTGTTAACTTGTATTTTGACTTTTTGAGAAATAATCGGGCATTGGGACTGGGGGTTGGCAAGTTCGTACTTTTATCCTTCATTGCATCGACCGCATGGGAGAGTAAAGATTACGTCCTTTCCCCGCCCCCTAACCCCACCGTCCACTCTAACTATAACTCAAACATGGCCGGTCAGATAATCGATGGCGAGCCTGTAACGTTAGCTCGCCCTAATAAGACACCTGCACTGCAGGCTATATGGTGTTTTGCCTAAGAATACAGCACAATGACCCAGCCGGGGTTGGAACTTGGACTTTTGGATCCGTAGTCAAGCTCCAACCACTTGTCCATGGCTCTCTTGCAGGATCAAAAATTCTCTTTGTTTTATTTTTCTATACAAAAAAGAAAGAAACGTTTCCAAAATTCCCCAACTCAATTATATTCTCTACGTTGTGTAAAGAAAACTGTAAATATGGATACGAAGCGCTCCTACCAGAGACAAGGAAGACGTCAAGATTACGCTTCCCCTTGATAGAGTCACTGAAAATTGATGAGGTAAATTATGATTAACTCTCAGTCATTCTCTTTAACTCGGTTTGTTGTTTTCGAACATTACTACTCACGTTATTGTCTGACATCGCCTCCGTCCTCATTAAGTCCGATATAGTTAAAAACAGTATCTTTTCTATGGGAACGGAATAAAAGCTTTCCTTTCACAAATCCACCCATACTCTTTTTAGAGTAAATTAAAGAAGCGGAAGTAAGAAAATCCGTCGCACGAGAGGTTCTATAGTGCATTATACTTGATCATAACTTTTAACTCTTGTATGAGTTCAGTAGACCAAGTATACCTCAAACTCCTACTAAACGTTTCTGCGCATGCGTTTTAGTGATTTTTGCTCAGACTATTGAAATACTTGATTTAAGTGGAATCTTCACGTCTTTGAGAAACTCAAAGTTTAGCCATCTAAACATAAGGTAAGCTTCACGCAACGTGATCTTTTTCACCATAATTATTATTGCTGTTATTTTTTTTTAAAGATCTGTAACTGAGTTTTGGCAACTCTTGAGTAGCCTAACATTTTACCAAATCGTTTTAGCCTTAGACAGGCATCGTTTTTACTCTGTAGTTCATTATAAGTCTGAGAAAGTGAGTGTAATTGTCATGCTGAGAAGGGGAGATTTCATGGCTCTTCCTGTTCACTGTTACAGGTTGAATTGGAATTTGGAATGTTGGCTTTTTGCGGAGGGAGGAAAACTGAACCGGAGGATCCGGAGAAAAACCCTCGGAGCGAGAACGATAACCAACAACAAACTCAACCTATATGTGACGCCGGGTACTGGAATCCAACCCGAGTCTCGTTAGTGGATGGTGGGAAGCGAGTGTTCTCACCACCGCGCTCCTCACGCTCCCCTATTGAATGAGTCAATTATGTTAGACTAAAGAAGGGACATCAAAAAAGCAAAGAAAGAACATCAAGAAAGCAAAGAAGGGAACCAGATCAATGATGTAAAAAAGATATTTCTATGTTTTCGATTTTCTATAAAGTTGTTTGTCTCCTGGCTAATATGGCAACCCGTCACTGCCAAATTCTAAAAAAAACCTACTTATTCGCACATTACTGGTCCACACCAATTCCAGTGCTATTGAGTTGCATAACTAACACGGTCAGTTTGGACACTGTGTGGTTGAGTTAGCAAAGTTATAATCTCGATTCAGTAAAGTCGCTCAAGTAACTATTTAAATCGTGACTGCCCAGGTTACCTGTGAAGTCTCGAGTATTTGATGACAATAAGTTAACAAAAACTGCTAGGCTGCCATTGTAAAATGAAAGACAACGACAAACACCAGTCTTGTCTCTTGAACGTTGAGATATGAGCGAGCAAACCACCAAGTGCACTCAGCTGTCAAATTCAAAGTTTAAGATTTTGATTGGTAGGTTTTACGTTGAAGGATACATCACAAGATGACCTCATCTACACTACAATTAGAACTTGGCTTCAAAACGAAAATTATTGCATCGTTAGTTTCTCTCATTTGTGATTCGACATCATTTTTCCGGGCAGTTTTGATTTGAAATGAAAGTTCATTTCACGAAAATCTTATCATGTCTGCTTTTTATCACGTTGGTTAGATCTTCTACTAAGGCTGACAGCCGATTGCAAAAGAAATTCAAGAATGGTAAGAAAATTTTGCTTTGTGTAGTAATCATGAAGAGCCATGGCGCTACAAGTTATCAGGAAAGTTTTGTCACATTTCTTGGTATTTGATTACTTTTTCCGAAATTTCGTTTCGATTGTTGTAGCATAACCACAAACAGACCACACCATGTATTCGTGTCTGGAGGTCAAAACTAATTTCGTAAGAAAACGCTTCAAACGGCCCATGAAGGCAAAAAGCCAAAACAAAACAAAAATACCACAAATGTATCGTTTAACATTTCATCAAACTTTATTGCGATATTCAGACCGAGAAATTGAATTTTCAGTGCTTTATTCATAACCCTCAGATTTTGTTCGTCTCATGTCATCGATAATTATTAACCACGAACACATAGTGTGGTCTGCCTGTGGCATAACAACTCAACAATGTAATCAATGGATATCTATTACAACCTCAGCTTGTCCTATGCACTGCGAAAATCTAAAAAGGGCTACCACTCGGCTACTCCAAACAACTTTAGAGTGTTTCTTGCAGTTACGATTAACTTGCTTTTATCTAAACATTTTTGGATGAGGGCGCAAATTGATCTGCAATATGACAGACAGAAATCAATCACAGTATCATCAAATTGCTGAAAAACAGCCCAAAACAGAAGGATTGGACATTCCTTAGTATCAAAAGTTAAAAGAAACTCCTAGGTTTATGGATCATCTTTCAAAAATTTTCAAAATGTCGATATTCGGTAGATCATTTCATTTTAAGCATACTCTCCTTCAAGGGAAACAATAAAATCATTACTCATGCGTCAAACGAAGACGACAAAATGAAGAGGGTACCACGAGTTAACTTTCCATTTCTTATCAAATAACATTTATTCTTATCACATTACCATCCACGAAGATTTTACCTTACAAATAATCTTGATAGTTTTGAAAAGGACTTTTCTCCACTGAAAACATAAAGTCATATCTTTGATTATACTTGCTTCCAATACAAAAGGGAGGCCAAGATACCAGAAAACACATTCCCATATGACAGACACCTGTTTAACCCCTTGAAAAGAAACTTTCCAATGACGTGGGTTGAAAAGTTTCGAAGCACCTCAACCTGCCTCCTTTTAAAAGTTAAAATTCTGTGGCCTCTTTTCTTTCAATCTTCTTTTTTCTTTTCATTTATTACATTCAAATGACGGAGCAAGCCACCAGTTAGACTCGTCGGTTAAACGTTCATTGAAATCATTAGCAATTTTCACATGAAAAAGAAACTGACAATTGCCTATCTGAAACGCTGACTACCCATCGATTGGAATCTTGCGTTTAAAAATGTTGGAAGAGCCGCGACGACATGAGCCAGTTTCTATAACTTCGCTGCTCCATAAACTGCTTTTATCGTGTACCGTTCATTCCTTTATGGCACTCTGGAATTCGGTAAGTGTTCAAAAACTTAGCAAAAAGCTAACAACAAAAATATTATGCTGTTGTAAACATTTTTGGAACAAAAGCGTTTGAATTCTTCTCAGCCATTCTTATTTTTCTAGATTTTCATTTCGAGCCAGTTATCAGGAACAGGACCAAAGAAATGGAAAATCAAGGATCATGGTTCAGCAGAACTCTTCATGACCCTTACGAGCCTTGCTTCACACAATTCTTTGTGAATGGGCAACCACCGTTTGGTCTACGGAACAATTTAAACCCCATAAAATATATCTGTCAGCAAATACCAGGGAGTCACAGGGTATTTTATGGTACAATGTTCGATGGAGACGCTGGAATAGCAGTTTATTCAGCTTACAAGTTAGCAGCAAATTTTGATGGCAATGGAGCAGGCCAGGCAAGATGGCATCAAGAACCAGGCATTTTATCGGAGACAACGAAATAATGTTCCATTCAGACTAAAAAAGAGTTAGAATAGGTTCGAGCCTGGATTTCAAGCACCCTTAGAACTTCTAACCGACCAATCTAAAACCTTCATAAATTTGTTTTAACGCAAACACCTTGCGTTAAACACCTGCGAATCGTCTACTTTAATTACTATACTGGGGTAACAACATGATTCCGAGCGCAATTTGGTGTTAATAAGCACGAGTAAATTTTTCAAAGACAACAAAATTTACAATTTGTGGTCCTGGAAAAATTTATGTGTGTTTATACACACCAAAGTGCACGAGAAATCATGTTGGGCTTGCTGTTAATACATGAGAGAAAGTTAAGATAGCGCGCACACGCCATTAATAAATTTGTAATTGTAAATTTGCACTCGTGTTATAACTTCAGTAACACTCGTGCGTTATAATTTTGCTCTCGTGTTGCATGAAAAATGCACTCATTTTTAGCCAATCAGACGCGCGTAATTTTTTCATGTATATTATTAAACGCCTGATATAAATTATGAGGGAACATGTTAAGTATACTTTTTATAGCTAGCGATATGCCCTGTCTGCACAAGTGTTTGAGAAGGATCTTTTTCATTTATGGTATGCTTATCTAGGGTCCGTATTTTTTCGAGATTTGGTCTTTTCCCTCAGCTTCTTTTCCTTAGTTAGCCCAAAAAAAGGCCTCTCTATCTGAAATAAGATGACAAGTTAATTTCTTTTAGGTATAGAGAGGCAAGGCAGCGAACAGATGTACCACAATCAACCTTTTCACAGAGGTCATCTGGTCTCTGCACGTACTATGTCGATTGATCGATCGCACTATAAATCAACTTACAAGTACACAAATGCTGTTCCACAGCTTGGAGCCTTTAACCAAGGCTCATGGTCCCGATATGAGATGAGGATACGGAGGTACGCTCGAAGCACTTGCACCAGTCAAGCGCATAGGAATGGAGTGTTATATCTTTTAACTGGCCCCTCGTTCGTTTAGCTTCACCATGCGAACCTCATGGGGTTCGGCCTGGGTCCAGCAATTCAGCGATTAGGAGGAAATAATCCAGGTATAATAATACCACACTCAATGTGGACCTCTGGTTGCTGCGTGGGTGCTAATGGCATAGAAAGTTTTGCTGTCATTGGGGGCAACTGCAAGAAATCCTGAGCGCTGACCGCAATTTCGGCGGACCAAATGTAAATCTGTTTCTGGGAAATGTTAACTGTGCGAATAATAATAACAATCTTGCTCACCTTCCACAGGCTGTACAGGGAGACTGAAATAAGGTCAAAATACTCAAACAAAAACTAGCAGTTTTTCCCAATCAGCTGACTGAATTTCGCTGGGGTTTATGGAATTAGCAAATCAAAATATATCAATTCGGTTTTCCAGCAATGACATTGTGATAAGGATTATTATTTCAATAAATGATTGCTGTAGATAAATGCTGCAAGTTCTACGCCACGAAATGAATGTACAGATATTTATTCTTCCAAACAGAAGTGGATAAAGATGGGATTCGACTGAAAACAAATATTTACAAATATCCAACTGCAAAATATAACCCCCGCCAAAAAAATAAAATACAAATAAATAAATGAAATTGAAAACGTTCAAATTCTCCCTGACGAACTGAATTAAAAATTTCACAAACGAGTCCTAGAAATAGCCTCCTACTTCCGCTCACAGCTATCCCCTTCACCCATGAATTCACGTTTTAAGCAACTCATATATGGTAAGGATTGTAGCCTTTCCACCACCTCCTGGCGAGTAGCCATGAGCTTTTATCACGGAAAATACTGCTGTAAACTCTGATGTCTTACTTAGGCAAACTGCACCCTCGTTTCTGATCGGTCGGCTATTAAGGGGGTGGCAAAGAGGGGGGAGGGGGTTCCAATCACACATTACGCTGAATGTTTCTCTTAAATCGCGCATCACGGAGATTTTTTCTAACTAATCACGCGTGACTTAAAAGGAGTAAGTACGCTAAGCTAATACTGTAAGATTTCAACCTATCGGATGTATTTTTAAAAATGATATTAAATCCAATGTTTTTTATCCTGGAATGAATTACGTTTCGCTTGTCATACTGCTTTTTTTTAGACAAATAAAGATGACTTACTTGTTGAAACCAGACGATCCGAGAACGCTTACTCGGGCTTCGTATCGCAATATCAAATCGTACTTTACAAGTATCGCACACAGTAAAACAAATAATAATTAAAGAATCAGGATTTTCAACACAATTTATTCAATTTGCTTCGTTGAGTATTCTCTTCATCCAATACCTTGTTGTTTGCCTCACCTCCGAAGTTCTGTTCACGAAGATTTTTTATTTTTTCAATTTTACATCTGAGGTGTTCGTCTGAGCATCGCAGACATCCTAGTTTGTTGTCTAATAAGTCAGTAGTCGTAGTTTTGACACTGTTTTCGTAGTTTGAATTCATATATGGCTCATTAGTTATCTCGCGTGAACTAGTATGAACTTTGGTTATCTTTCAATTTGTGGCCACTCGTGGCTCCTGGAGTATTGCTAACGAATTGAGTAGATGTCTACGTCTACCTTTACTATTCTTTGATACACGGGCAATACTTATGTGAAAGCTTTGCGCAATCCCCTTCTGTGCGACACCTTCTTCATGTCAGTAAAGGATATAACGTGGCTCTTGAATTCGTTTAGGTCTCTCTAATGACCGTGAAAAAATTTTGTGTACCACTAACTGGTACACAAAATTTTTCCTTGTGTACTGGCTCATTGCTTGTATTCACGCCTTCTCGGACGGCATAAAATGACACCAAACTCTGACGACTTTCACCGTTTCAGCCATTTGGGTCGTTTGGGTTAATATTCTTACAGCTCTTTCATTCAATGGTCCGAATACTTTCTGGTCTGTCTGGATACGATCTGGCGCACTACCACGACCAGGTGGTCATAGTCTTTGTGCAACTCTCTCCACCCTCTACTAAACCCCACCTTGTTTACAACCAATATTGGGGAATTTAGACAGAGGAAGTAAAGCCCCTACTCCTCTTTCCCAGCACCTAGCTAATCAGGCCACAAGCCTAAACATCTATTCAAACATGCAAAAACAGGCTGACAATAATATCGCTTTTTATTTCTTCATTTCACAGATCTAAAGCCTTGAAATCAAATCACTACCGAGTAAACTATTTGACGCGTTGTATAAAAAGTTTTAACATTTGCTGAAAGCAAGACTCCTTTACAGCTGTTACACGTAATTGAAAATTTGAACTTCTCTAAACAAGGAAACAACGCGGAAATGTTAACATAATTTGCAAAGAAAATCCTCAAACAATACCTTAGTGTACATAGCATTTTAATCCTACAGTTCCCCAAGCTAAGAAGTTTAATAAATCGAAAAATCTTTCTAACTTATTATCATTTGACCTTCAACTACTGTGTAAATTAGCACGAATCATTCCACAACAGGAAATACAATAGTAAGATTAACCAAGAGACAGTAGCAAGAATGCCTTTTTTTAAAAGGCTGGGTGTCGGCCATTTTAAATTAATCAGTTCTTCTTCATAGAATTTAGGATTCTCAGGATCTCGATGAAGAGATTGATCATGTCCAGGTAGAGGTTGATTGATGCCAAAATGTATTCCTCTGGTGAAAGTTTGTGCATTAACATGTGAGTATCAAACACAATGAAAGCTGAGAACAGCAGAGCACCAGCTATGGCATACACAAGCTCAAAGGTCTCGCTGTGGAAGAAAAACTGAAAAACAAAGTTGTAGAAAGATAAAACAATTAGTAACTTAATTGAAATGCTTGTTTTGTTTACAGAAGAACACACATCATATCAAAAAATATCTAGACATAACGTGAGAATGTCCCTTTGCCAATTATGTAAAAAAAATATTATTGAGCAATATTATGCTCAGATTTACCCTAATCCCAAATCTCTAAAAACCGATTGATCGGTCAAAACACTATTAACACTCCTGAAATAAATAAGAAGCTCAAAAGGTCTGAGTTTGAAAGTAATTTTGGTACGTGATCCCAAATAAATCCATTCAGAATTTTTATCTCCATTTTTGCATCATTTCAAAGAAAAAAACTGATAGCAACTTGAAGCACTGGCTGTTTTTAGCAAGAAACTGATAAAAATTCGCAAGATATGGCACAGAATGAAAGTAAGAGTAGTTCATATTTTACTAAAGCAAGTATCCTGCTTCTACATAAACCAACCTGCAGAAACCCAGCTAAAATGAGGATCCACAAAAGAGTGAACAGGCTGTAGACAAAAAAAAAAGGAACTATCAATGTTGATTTCATCATCTTCACCCTGATAACAACAAAGACCTGTGCTATTAATGCCTTTTAGGATTAGCGTCAAGTCTTCCAGCTCTGAAAGCTGGAAAATTGTTCATCTCATTTAAACAAACTACCTGCTTATAGAATAGCGTTGAGTGTCCACTGATTGTCCAAACCCCAACCTCATTCAAACCTTAATACAAATAATTAACCTATATTTATTGTGATAGGTAAAAAGACAATTTGAGATGTCCATTCATAAAGATGAAATACAATGTTTGATTACAGTGCTGCATGTGATTATGAATTGACTATCACAAGCTTCAGTTTGTATCCATAAGCTTGATCTTGATCTTGACCAAAAAATACAACAAACAAACATACCCAGCACCCCACGAACTGTAGTCTCTCTTGCTTTGCATTGTGTACATTGTCAATGCCGTGGTTGTTGCCACAGTCAGCACAAATGCTTCCAGCACCAGCACTTGGTCATAAAATGTAACTGTAATGGAAAAGATTGTCTTTTCTTACTTTTTTTGTCTTATTTAAAGGTTTAGTCTATTGGTACTATAAAAGTGATACCAGAATCACATAAAGGAAAACCTCCACCAGTGAAACAAGTTGCCTTAAATCTGATTGGGAAATCTTGTGGTATAAAAGATTTATTACTGGAGGCCAGGAACCAAAAGAAATTGGAAAAATAACACAACAAAGATAGAGGATTGATATTCCATACACGTGTACACACACAAGGTGCCATTTTTGAAGGTGTACAGTTGCCACTATTTTCATCAAACAGCACCTCATGCTCTACCAAAAGGGTTAGTGGGTTCAAGACTACACAGGTTGACCACAAACTATTTAAAGTACAACAAGAAAGGAATCTCTCAATGATAAGAAAACTAAATTTCAAAAAAACCAGTATAGTGATGGGGAAAACAAAAAAATTGGCATCTATCCAAACTTTTCCATCTTCTTTTTTGGAAATACCAACCAATCCCATACCATTCAGCTTTTTTTTTCCTTCAGCAGCAATTTCGATTAAGTCTCAAACCCTTAATTTAATTTTTCTTTAGCCTGCATTGTAATAGAAAGCCTTCTATAAGGTTACCCACAGCCTACTAGCTGTGGGAGGTGTTTCTATACCCATGGCAAGGATATAGGAGTACCACTTAGGTCATAAGATCAAGATGTCAAAACTTACCCAGTGTACCAACAGTATAAGCTTCTGATAGTGTCTGAAATAAAATGCACCATTCTAAGAATATTTGTTTAATTACAAATGACTCCTAATAACTCCAACCCTAACTGACTTGCACCCCAATCTACAGGTAGCATGAACCATTTCCCCTCAACTTCAGTCATTGATCAACTTTCTTAACTCAATCTGGCCACTAACTTTCATTTCTATCCAGCTTATTTAAATATTCTTTCAGCTCAGTTACTGAAACCATGTTTGTCTCAATACACAACAGGTGAAAACAAATGGTACTGAGTCTAACTTTACATGTTTATTTGTATTGTTAATCCATTTTAAATTCTTTCTTATATTACAAGAACATTGTCAGTCCAGTTAAGGGTTTTAGTGGTAGAAGAGTGGCATAAATTAAACTTAGGTGCAGCGTTATAAACTTCTCTTAGCCTCTATGTTTTGTAACAAATTAGATTAAAATGTTGATTTTATAAATAATGATAAAATAAACTTCCCCTTTCCTCCCCAAATTTACATGAAATTTTTTCATTTACTCTAAGCTTCTGATAACGTGACCTTTTTCAGTTTCCCTAAATGTTTGAGCTTCAAGATAAATCAGGGGTCAGCAAGTCAGCTTGGTGACCATTAACCCTTTACACCCTACCACCATTATGTATGTTGTGGTTTAATTTTCTTCCTGATTTCAATTTTATTTTCCTTTGTTTCAAACTCATTATCATACATTACAATACCCAAAAACAAAAGAAAATAAAATTTTAACCAAGGATAAAATTGAACCACAACATATACATGTATATTCTCCATACTGTAATCTATACATTTCTCAAGGTGCTGACACAAAGAATTTCTTTCAAAATCAAGAGCTCCATAAGGTGGTGATGATTTCCTTTGTTCATGTTACCTTAATGTTTGATTCAGGGGTGATATTATATGGTGAAATTAGATGCCAGTCATTCTTAGGGGTCAAAGGGTTAACCAAAACTGATATTTTTTACAGTACAATTTCAATTTCAAACTTACAAATGCACCCAAAAGGTACATGTTGGTTGGATGTTCTTTGCGCTTGAACATCAGTCCAATTAGCAGACCAAGTGACAGGATAAATGCCATCATCAAAACCTCAGGTCTACAAGAGACATTGTTTCAAGAAAATAGAAATGATAAATACGAGGATAAATTCTCTAAATGTGCACTAGAAAGTCTCTATTGGTAAATTTTTTCTCTTTCAAACCACCTTCGACCAGAAGACAGTTAGAAACAGTATCATTCTGGAACTCTATGCTATCATTGCCATGTGCAGACACCCATTATCTTTCTTCAGTACTTCTTCTTCTATGCACTGGACTTTCAACCCATGCTTGTGCCAATGTATACAGCCCTCATTGGGGAATTTTTTCAACTAAGTATTTAACAATTAATGAAAGTGCTCATAAGGCTCATACACTGCACAGACAAAATAGCATGATACTGACAGTGACAAGTATATTGTACATCTGTAGTTATCAAAAGATCTGCAGAGTGATTCTATCAACAGATAACCACACAGTCTTTACAATTAGTAGCTGGTGCTGGGAAATTGGCTTTGTATAAAAATATTCCCTAATTGATAATTTGTTTCATTCTCCTCCCTTGTCTGCTTTACAGACTATTAAGATGTAGAGAGCACTCTTGGGTGGCAAACAATTACAATTTGAAATTATAGATTTTCCACACAGTACCTTCCCTGAACAAAAGTTTTGATGCTTTCTGTGTACATAAATACTCCCGCCACAAAAATGGTGAGCATAAGTTGGGCAGTAAGAATGCCATAAACCTTTCTGAGGAAACCTGTAGGAAAAAAAGAAAAGTTTTTCCATCAACAAATGCTTGATTTAAATTTTTAATTTTGGCTGAATTGTCGAAAAAAGATGCTGCTTTAAAGTAAATAAGCAATTCAGTAAACAGGAATAAATCAGATAGAAATTTTTCCCAAAATTTCAATGCATAAGCATGGCTGATTTTTATATTCTCAGTGTAGTTGCCAACATCCTCTCCAAGGTCTGCAGACTGATGATTCTGTTGTTTTTTTTATTGTTGTTTTTGTTGTTGTTTGCTTTGTTTGTTTAATTAACCAACTAGAGGGGCATGAGAGTTTTAATAGAATATGATAAATAGAAGTAATACAAAGATAGATATGTACTATAGGGTAACACAAATGCTGCAAAGTAAAATTTTTGTAAATTTTTAACATGTGCTGTACACATGTAGCCATTTAGACAAAAAATTATGTAAATGAACTACATGCATTAACAAGGCCAAAATGTTTTAAAAAGTAGAAAACTAAACATTTTAGACACTTGGTCATCATTTGGGTAAGAAATGAATTATCCTGATGATGACCATTTGGTTTTATCTTTTCAATATTTTAGCCAAGTAAACAGCTCATTTTCAAACATAAGTGAAATTTATGGAAAAATAAGTTAATAATTCAGTATTTTACAACTGACTTAACCCTTTAACTCCCTTGAGTGTCCAAAACAGAATTTATCCTTACGATATCAGCACTATATCAACCAAATAAGTATTAAGAATAAAGAATAATATCAATTTGAGATAATTAGTTGATTCAATACTAAATTGTCTCAACTAACATTACAAGAATTGCATGGCTGATAGTAAGAAGAATTACAAATTTGTTTGGGAGTTAAATGGTGGAATAACCTCAATAAATGATGATTACAATTTAGTAACAAAATAGACGCCACCAAACTTGTTCTAGACAGGCATACAGTGTATATAAGCAAAATTAGGGGTGCTTTCAAGACCCTGCTGTGTTGCTCTGGAAGCCTTGCAGGTCATAGAAGAGAAAATCTCTCTGACAAAATTAATACCTCTACAATTCTTACCGCTAATATAATTTTCAAGGAAACAATAAAGCAAGCAAGCAACTACGCATTGAAGAACTGGAATATTAATTATTTTTGCTTTTATTGAAGTTTCAGGTGAAAATAATAATAGCTTATGTGCTCATCTATCACCTTCCCACAAAATTAACATATATACAGTGACTATCATGTGTTCTACATGTAGTTTCATGTTACGGAAAAATAGAAGAGCTTGCTTTGCACAATTCATCATAGCCCACTTAAAATACAGTAAGAACTGCGAAAATCTGCCAAAACTCCAAACGAGGTATATAAAAAATGACGTGTACACAGAAATAATGTATACCATCATTCATCTTCAGAATAAGAACACAAAAATTTTAGTTTGATTAAAAATGTGTAAACATTAAAAATCTATCTGGCTATTTCCGCTCTCTTCTCAAAAAAAATTCTTCACAATTTCTAGTAACAACAGTAAGTCATCATCAAACAAAAAGAGTTTCACTTTCAAACTCCCTATCGATCTTCCAGGAGAGAAACATTCTGACGAAAATCGTCATAGGAAAAAAAAGCTATGAAACATTCTGTAACACTAACCAAGACGGATATTGATGTTCGTCTGGGCAACAGTGACTCCATAACTGAAATCGTCCTCCAAACTCGACAGTTTTGAGCTGCCAAACATCGTATCTCCTTTGCTAGTCGACATCTTGGAAATTGCCAATTATCCTCTGTAAGCAAGAAATTTCACCTAAAGAACGGTGTTTTTGATTGGTTTTCTTATATAAATTGACCAATCGTATTTCGTGTTAGAAACTTGTTTTGAAATCTCTTCCAAATATGGAGACATAAGAGACTACCTCCGGTGGAAACTATGACGTCAATTTCAATGGCGCCATTTTTGTTGTCCGCGACTCAGACAGAGTTTGGAATATTTTAATTTTTCGCAACATTTCTAGTGGTAATCGCCAACGAAAATCTGTTTCGATGCTCATTAAAACGATGGAGAATAATGAAGAAATCCTTCAAGCACTGCATGGTAAGTTTCAGTTAGAAATTGGGTGAATTACGGGCAATGAAATTGGATTTTCTCAATGTACCATTTTTGATATTCGCGGTTCTTTTGACGATTTGTCCGGCAGAGTTCGAGAGCGCAACAAATGCAGAGAAAGTCCTTACACAAGAATTAGAGGACATGCTCTTGTACATCGCCAAGACAGGGAGAGTCTTGTAAGTGTTCATCTGTCAAATAATTCTGTAGCTAACGTAATGTCATTTTTGAGATGTTAATTTTTTGTTACAGAAGGCCGCATGTGTTTGTTAATGAATACGATCAAGGTTCTCTCGCGTATAGTTAATTCAAATTTTTGATCCATAGATATTTTCCGTCGTAAAGTTGAGGATTAGCCGGCAAGATTGCATGCTTCTGTCAAATCTATGTTTACTATTTGCACGCCGGCAGCAATATTGTCCTTCTACTTTCAAGTCAGAATTTGGCTGATAGGCCGGCCAGCGGATTTAAAACGTGGTTTGCCCAAAAACTGCTGAAAGGGTCTCTCTTGCCATTAGTCTGGAAAAGCATACATGGCCATTGATCAGCACTTTCCTGTTGCTTGCAAGTCAAATTGCCAATTATACCCATTTCTTCTTCCAATTAAGCCAGCCCACCTTCCCAAATCACATTCCCCCCCCCCCTGTCTTTTTTCCACCCAGCCCCAAGCTCTCACCCTCTCCTCTCCTCTTGTTGTTTACATAGAAACTTCTCAACTACTCATATTTGGCAACTAAAGAGATAAGCAGGCCATGTTATTCATTTAAACTCTGCAATTGATAGACTCTTTGGCCATTCTCGTTGTGGCTGCTGTTTTAGTTTTGTTTCTAGTATTGTTGTAGGCATTCTCCCATATGACCTAGTTTTACTTTGGTGAAGGGTTTTTTAGCTCTATCAAACTAAGTTTAGTGGAAGACTTCTCCATCAGAAACAATTTTTAAACTGCAGAATGCATGGCTGGAAATGTTGTGCATTCACTTTGAACTGTAGCAGAATTGCTGCACCATGGAATCATGGAAAACCTTCTGGAAAGTAAATTTCAGGACACAAATCATATTAGCCTGTCTTAACAGTTCCAAACATCGGTGAATTTACTGGTAAATCTGTTGACTTGAGGGAAAATTTTAATTAATTTTCTACATGCTGGTATACATGTATATCAGTGACTGCTGAATGTTTTTCAAGCCATTGCGAACACTATCAAAGCTCAGACTGTTCATTGAATGAGGAAAAAAGGATCTGCTATGTCACTGGAATGTGGACATGCTTTTTCAGGAGGAGTTATGGGTGGGATTTGGTGCTCTGAGTTCAACTTTTTTTTTTCCAAAATCATTATTTGGTAATCTTCTATCACAAACTGGTTGCTATATAATGATTGCCTAAAATCATCACACAGTTGAACTATGAGGCTGGGCTAGGCACTACTAAGAAATTACTTCAACTGTTTTTCAAAGTTTTTATTTTGTGTACCTTTGTGTCCAACATTGTTGTAGAACTGTCTTGAGGTCACTGCTGAAAGTGTTATCATTCTCTCTTCAGTATGAAAGTTAAACCATTGTCACAAAGTACATATATTTTTGGGGATGGCTACTCTATGTAAACTTTCTGTCATCCATATAGTTTGATTGCAAACAGTTGTCAGGGAAATTTTCTAGTGCATGAATTAGACATTATCTGTGAAATAAACATATTATTTTATTCTTTACCACAGATTTCCATGGAATTCATTAAAACCTGTCTTCTTGTTTAAACTTGACAAGGTAAAACCTAAAATTTTATTATACTTTTACCAATAATACTTATACTGCATTTTTCAACTACATTTGTCTGGACAGAGCTGAGTACATGTACATGTAAGGTCTGCGTATGTCTGAGAAATACGTTTATGAATCCATAAAAACAAATTAATGTGGTGGTTGTTTTAAGAATGTTGAAAGCCAGCTTAATGTCCTTCATCCATTAAAACTGTGATATCCATGTTATTGTAGCCTAATCTATGCAAAATGCATTTGTTGCAATCAAAATACCATGGTTTGCTGTTAAATTTTATTACGTGTGCAGAAATAAGACTATGGTATCCAAAATGTGTGTGGTTCTACCATTTTAGTCTACTGTTGTTATGGTTTTAAGCATGAACCCACAAAATTTGGTGATATGCGGGAATGTTTTTCAGCTCTGTCAAGGTACTGTGCATTTACACAATTTATGTCAATTTTCATATACTGATAACTACTTGTATCAGGAGAACAATTTCAAGGAAAACCAGGATAATCTCCATGTTTTAATAAAAATAGCTCACAAAATCAAAATTAAGGCCACAAACTCTCTGATCCTCAAGACCTACCAAACCTCTTTTTTGCTGCCTTCAGTTGTTAATCATTAACAAATATTTACAAGTAGAGACATTGAAATGATACAATTGCAATAAATTGTGATGCAGTCCAACACAGTTTTGCTGATGGTTTTCCAGCAGTGTTGAGCTGAAGGATTGAACATTTATTCAATAGCAGTAAAGCTCTACTGCTTGTTTTCACAGCTCTGTGGCTTTTTTTTTCTCCAAGCACCCACAAAATTCAGGCTACTTTACCAGTGATCCTTCAGGAATTTTGATTCTGGCCTTAGAGGGTGGCAGCATTGTTAACAGCAGCTTAGAGCATTTTCTGTCATCTGGCTATCCAACTCCACAGTGTGCCTGTTATTGTAACGTGCAGTGAGGCATAAGAATCAGTCTGTGCATCTCTAAATCCCCTATAAAACAAAAAGGTTATACACATGTATATCATAATGTGTGTTAACTATATAATTGTACAGTGTATGTCATAGGTAACAGAATGGATTGAGAAACGAAACCTCAACTCATTACTTGGCTGATGAGTAGTGAGACAAAAGTAAGTTCTCAATACATTCTCGTTTCATGCTGACCAGGAGAGTACAGGTGTTCATGTGCATGTTTGCAGTTTGTCATACATGTACATGTACCTGTTCTTCTATGCTAAATTTGACCTTGTCTCAACCACTGGCACATGTTCTGTTAACATTTACTAGGTAATGCGAGAATTCTTTGAGAGCAGCCCATCCAGGAATGCATCATCTACTGAACCAACGGTTACAGCAGACTTTGAAGTAATGAGGCAGAGACTTTTGGATTGTCTGGATTCATTCACAAGGTATGACTGATGACGATAGTAGTAAAGATGGATTTGTACATGTACAGCAGAATCTCTATATCAATATGCTCTAATGCTTTTTACAACACTTTGTGGAGGACTTTGGCCAGATAGCATCAAGCAGTTTACAATTTGTTCTTAGGGAAATTTTATTGGGTGCCCCCAATTTAGGAATTGTTTTGAAACAATTCCAGACCACAACACAAAGAGCTCCTGTATTTTCCCTACTCTTTGCAAGAAGTGTGTGGGTTCTTATTGTTGGCTGCAACCCAGTACAGAGAAGATGTAGGAGATAGGGCCTTTGATTTATTGTCCTTATTGGAGGAAACTAGAAGGGCAATTATTAGCAGATATCTCTGCTGCATTTTCCTTGGTTATCTCAACACCCTGACTGTTGGTCCAGTCTGGGGCAAAAACCTTCAACCTTCTGCATAGCAATCACACATTACAACCAGATTCATTGTCCTTATTGGAGGAAATTAGTAGGGCAATCATTTGCAGATGTCTCTGCCACACATTTTCCTTGGTTATTTTAACACCCTGACTGTTGGTCCAGTCTGGGGCACAAACCTTCAACTTCATGCACAGCAATCACACACTACAACCTGAGCTACATGTAACCTTCATACAACATTTTAGCTTTCCTGAGAGTAGTGATACAAAGGTATACTACATGTATTTTTGAGCAACATTTATATGCCAACCTCAAGAATGACAGGAACAATCACATGTATATGTACAGTTAGTACGGTAGAACTACAGTACATGCTGTATCACAAGATTTCTGGTTGTTTTGTTTTTAGTCTCTGAAATAAAGTGCAAATCCTTTGTCAGCTGATAACATTTTTGATCAGCATAAGACAGTTTTTTTTATGAACTTACCAGTACACTAAAGTCACATAAATGTACAGGTAACAAACAGTTCCTTGCATTTTTTTAAAATCAAGATCAAGATTAACATGCACATTTATTAGGGTAACAATTTTAAAGCTCTACAGCACCTCTCCCCCCCCCCAAAAAAAAAAATAGTAATTTAATAAATATAATAATATTGTATAATATAGAATATATATATTATTATATATTGTTTGTAATATTATACATACACACTGTAATAATAGTAATTTAATAATGATTATTATAATAAATTAATAAAACAGGCTTCAAGGGAAAGACCATAAGTTCACCGTTTTGTCACAACTCCCCCATCAGGAATGTGCAAGTGTAAATTTTCTCAACAACCCAATATTGTCATTTTTCTTTATATCTACATTGTATGATAGGTAAGAGTCTTATCAGATCTTTCCTTCTTATCAGTGCACCTTTTACTATCCAAAGACTTTGTGAGTTGATGATGGAACCCAGGAAAAACTATAGCAACAGTGAAAAATTCATGAGAGGAGTTGAGAAGGTAAGTCATAGTGTGCTAGGGAAGTCATATTATGATTGCAAAGCACATCTAGGAAGGAATCATGGAAAAGTGATAAAAGTCAGATTTCCAATCTTTACATGTAGGTCCAGAGAGTGATGTTGTTGCAATTCCTGTTTGGATTCATTTGTTGTGGCCCAAAGTTGAATTTGTTCATGTTTCATGTACACTTGTACAACTAGGAAGTAACCAAGACTGATTTGCTTCATATCCTGTCTGATTGGAATTTGGGTGAATTATTTCAAATTAAAATCCATCTGTTAAGTTACCCCCAATTCTTTTCAGTGGCTGCTTTATGTTGCATAGTGCAAAATCACAGGACAGTTCTCAGGCAATATGCCCCATCTACATCCATATTTGTCCTCCAATTACTAAAGCTTACAGAAACAAAGCTACATATACATGTACCAGGAAAAAGCCTGTTCAAGAGTTTCACTCCTTCATCTTTATTACTTTATATGGAAGAAAAATGAACTATTATGTAGAGTCTGGGGATAATGACATTGAAAAGCTGATTTTAAATGCTGCTCCAGAAAGTATACTGCACAAGAAAGTCAACACAATTTTCTGACAATGCATGACACAAAAATTAATTGAGGGGATGTAAGATAAATAAACCTCCTTTTGGTTGAAATGTTGTCCCAAAAAATTCACATTTGCCCCCAAAGCTTCACTTCTCAGCCAAATATTAATTTATAAATTTCTTGGACAATGTCGCAGCCACAGACATAACCAGCCTCCAGAAGGGGTTTATTTACTAAGTGATTTTTAATTTTTTGATTAGAGATGTAGACATGATGTAGACATTGCTTCATGAAAGAACATGCCCTAAAAGTACACCTACAAACTGAAAGAAATTTTGAAGTTGATTGACAAGAAAAGAAGAAAAAACCCCAACAACAAATTTTAGTACAGAATATATCTTTGGACACAACTGGGTATTTTGTAAGTTATCAAAAAGTAGTGATCATCTCTCACGGGGATGTTCAGTACATGAAACTATCAAAACAGCTGTGGCTTGGATTGCCTAAGATCACAACATAATCATTCAATTTGTTAGGTGCAGATTTGTTTGTTGGTTTTTGTTTCCATTTTCATATTTTAAATCATGGACACTGTATTGTTTTCAGAATGTACTTGTGGTTAGCACAGTGGATTTTGGTAGAGATGAAGTTGCAGTGTAAGTACATATAATTGTTTTTAATGCTCTTAAAGCCCTCAAACCTTATTAGTGACTAATTGGTGAAATGCAACTTTTCCTAACAGTTTCACTGCAGCAAGTAGTTAATAGGCATGGGTAACTTTATCAAGTTGACAGTGCTACATATGAATATGAAAGTGATCTTTGCAGTAATGAACACTCCTTAAGCAGTAGTGAAAATAAGGCCTGAATTTTTTTCAGGCCTGTATAATTTTTTTCTGGCCATATTTTTACCACTGTTTAAGTAGCGTTCATTACTGCGAATATCGCTGTCATATTCATTTTTCAATTCGCAGGTCACAGATATGATTTTCTTACATATACAGTCAGTGCTACATGTATCTTGAAGTATGATCACCAAATTCGTTTAACTAATTCAGAGAGAAAGTTTAATAGCTGTAGCGAGAAATTCCCTTGTCCAATTCTGATCAGGGAAGAGACTGTACCAAAGAACATCCACTGACACTATAAATACAGTTACCATATATGGTTCCTCTTACTGATCTACCTAAGCTTGCTACGGAATAATTTTGGTGTGTGTTACATGTCCATGTACGTTTGTTGGTAATTTTTTTTTCCATTAGCGGCGTTTTTCGAGTGAATACCGCATAACAAATTTCTTATCTAATTTCTACCAGCTATGGTCTCACAAACAACATTGATGGGCAACACACGTTGTCAAATGTCCCTAATGGTCCAGTTACAAACGGAGTTATGAGCTTAGGAGCCTCGTCTGAAGGAAGCTTTGTCGCAGATCATGGTTATGACGAACGACTTTCACCTCATGTCACGCCAGATAACGTGACACAAAATGTCACACCAGGCACAAATGGACCTACACCTTTAAACGCCCATGAAAATGGACATGATACTCAAGAACATTATAATGAAGCCAATTCAACAGCTAATTCCACGGGAGTGGAAACAGCAGCCTCGTTAGCTCCACCAGAACACGAAGTACGCGAAGAAAAGAGTGAAGTACTGAGTACGAGAGATGGAGAACATGTTGAACTAGAGCAGGCACCAGAGAGAGATCTTAGTGATGGGTTGCCTGTGACTTGTGCATCCAGAAGTCCTGCAGAAGAAAAAGAAGCCGCCCAAGCACTTCAGGAAGATTCAAAACAACCATCAACAACGGAAATAAGTGAGTGGATAACTTGAAATTTAGAGAGTACAGTGTTGTACATGTTAACATGAATGCCAAAGAATCACTCTATAATTCAGCCTACAAGCCCCATCAATCTGAACCAGGAGAAAATTTAAAGTCAGTTTTCAGCCCCTAAAGCCTGTTTGCGTAACATTTCCCTTCCCCTGCCCTCCCCTGCTCTCCCATGTCCTCCCCTCCCTTCCACCTCTGGACACTTTTTCCGGTTGAAGTCATTTACACTATAAGTACATGAAAGCAAAGGAAATAGGACGGAAAACTTCTCTAAATAACACAATGAACATTACAGAATAAACGGATTAAAAGATTAAATGAATCAATTAACCACTCAAAATTTGTTTTAAATTCGTTTCCTTTCAATTTCTTGTTTTTTTTTTATTTTATTCTTAAAACTGTTTTTAACTTAATTTTCAGAAAGTGACTCAGCTGAGCAACAGACTCTTGAAACAGAGACTTCAAAAAGCCCTGAGAAAATCGAAACAAATGGAGACGAAGAGCCGATGGATGAAAATTAACATACAGTTTACATGAACTTCAGATCAGTGATAATGTTCCTATGTATCAACAAATGGCTGTTCTCAATTCCTTCGAGTTCGAAAGACAAGTAACCTCACAAGATGAAGAGATCGTGGCCGCATAAACCACATTTTGAATGACACCTTCAAGTTGTTCAGAACGATCGTTCAAACGAAAGAACATTCTATTATTCGTAAAATTTTTATTTTATTAATATTTTGTTGGTTTGTTTTCTCATTCATTGTTTTAGTAGGAAAATGTCTTTATAGACCTCAAAAGAGAATTTTGGCTTTATATTGTCCAATCAAATTGCATTGCAGACTTTAATGTTTCCTCTCTGCAGCCATTACTTTGCAGACATGTTTTGTAGGGTTTAACTTCTCACGTGTAGGGGAGTCAGACTTAATTTCTTGACTAATAGACGGAAGTTCTGCTCTAAGTTACCTTTTCCTTCACTTTTGTACTTTATATCTTCGCAGTTAACGCTATCCATAACTCTCAATATTGTCAACTTTCTTTACACATTCCGTTTAATACTATGCGTTTGTCTTGAACGTGCGTGTTCGGGAGTTTCTCAGGTGTTATTTCTGATGTCGTTCGCCTTCTTTTGAAACTTCCTTGATCGTGACTGCTACTTTCACGTGATTTTTACCCATTCAGTTATCATCATTCAATTCTTTCAGCCCTTTTTACCAACTCTCCATGTTTTATGTTCTCTTCCTTCTTCCGTAGCATTTCTTCAAGGCTATTTTTGAGACTTTCTCTCTAGTTTTGATTCGAGGAGAGAGAGAACATGGATTTCAGTAACAAAAGTTTTCCAAAAGAGAAGGTGACGCTAATATTCGTCAGCTCTATGAAACATTAACTTGGGTTCAATTTAACATTATAACAAAGGCTATCATATGAAAGGTGGAATTTTCTTTTTTTATCTATAAGTAGGAATTGCCTTCCCTAAGTGTAGAAAGCCAAAGCAAAAAATTAAATTAGTCAAACAACATTATTGACAATTTTTCGTAATCTGCTAATGCATTGATTAATTTGAAGCCTCAACATCGATGCACCCCCCCTCCCCGGGGGAGTTTGAACTTTTAAAGATTGTTTCGTCCAAAGTCCCGCCTAACGGAGCAAAATCTGTGTTGAAATTAATTTTTGTTGAAATTTGATGGCCAATTTTTTTGTAACAGGCTAGATGAGCAGCCGTGATTTTCTTACAGACCTCTAAGCAACCTGTTCACAAAATTGGTCGTTTACCTGTTTAAACACCCCCATATTAAAAGATAAAACACGTGTATTCCACGAAAAGAGTGGAGAGTGCCGCTTCAAATTTCCCACCCCACCCAAGCAAGATTCAAATTTCACCTCCCCAGGTGGGAGGACAGAAATGCTTGTGGTTGCCTAATGGTGATGTCGAAGCTTCGATTAATCGGTGCATAAACTATTTTTACTGTTCGAACGCGAATTGCTAAGCTTTTTCACAATGTGGCGTTACCTAAGTTGCTCACCAATCTCATTCCCAGGGAATTTTGGTCACTCTTTTTTTCCCGACCTATGGTCAAGGGAACAAGGACTCTGCAGTAAGACTTTTATGAAACGTATGAGACATACTGAAGGATTTCATTAAAACTTCTAAAGTAACCCATGGAAAGGAGACCATGTTATCTGCGCATTTAGATGACTGAGTTTTTCCCAATTAGCCTACTTACTCCAATATCTTAAATCAGTACTAATTTTTTAAAAGTACCCTTAAGACAGTCTCAGATCTAGTGTACAGACCAGGCGTCATTTAGTAGGGGGAGGGAAAGGGGGCGGTGTTAAGGCGAGTGGAGCTCGAGCTTAGCTTCAAGTGGGTCGCCCCTGCACGTGCTCGCTTGTGCTCGCTTGTGCTCGCTTCTGTTCGCCTGAAAAACGCCAAAAAACAGATGATGCCAGTTCTTCAAGTTATTACTTAGCTTTTTTGCGTATTTCGTCACGCAATTTACTTCCCCGTAGCCAAAGGGCTCCTAACGAGGACTTATATTTATACGAGTAGTAGCCGCTGTTCAAGAAATGAGCCCGCGCTGTTCCCCTCCCCACCCTTGAGAGTCGAAGGCCGGATCCGAGTAGACGCCAGATATAGCGTCTGAGTAGGAAGACAACGCCAAACAACGGTGGCAAAGTGCCATTTTCTCGAGATATTTCAAACCGGTTTATCAAAATTTCAGCCTCTAATAGAAAACTGCTGGTAGCATCGATCGGTTGTGGACGTCCCGTGATCAGCTTTTTTTTTCAGGCTCTGTCATTGACCCTCGTTTCCAAGGGGAGAATCATAACGAGTAGGTGTGAACGTTTATCCGTACGACCTTGAAGTAATCCGGCACTGAGTGAGAGAACGACTGAAAGGTGGCAGGTGTGTTTGTGACTCTGTTTGTTATTGTTGTTGTTCTTATTCTCATCAGTAGCTGGGTGGAAATTGTTTTCGAAACTAGTAAACTGCTTCTCGATAGAAAACAAGTTCCGCTCTAATGAATCGTTTGAATATAGCTTATTGTACACGGATCTGCCCTGTATAAATCCATCGTAGGTGTCGATATTTCACTGATTTGTGCGTGCTCGTAAGCGTCCTTAGATTATCAATCATACTTTTTGGTCTAATATCGGACGACGTCTTCCATTTAAAAGATCATTGACCTTGCGAAATACATCCTCAATCGAATGTGATCGATCGTTCGAGTTGGGAAGGAGGTCGATTCCATTGCAAATTGGGCGATCGAAAAAAGTGGTATGCGGAACTTTTTAAGCGCATAATTGTATTTGATTTGTTTGGAAACCGAAGAAATTTGACTTAGCCTAAAAATTATCCCTGTTCTGATGCGAGAAGGAGTACATCAGTCTAACAATGTACATCTAAATAAGTTGAACACTGCAAATTAATTTAAAACAAAATATCTTACGAAAGCAAAGAAACTTCATGATTCTCTTTGTAAGATCGTTGTCAATCAGCTTGCTCTCTACTGATTAAAAAATTGTTGAAATGTGGACAAAAAACCCTCATTTGCCACGTGGAATTCCCTTGTGAGACAGAAGTGTTGTTGAGAGGATATGACTCAATTATAAATAAGTGGACAATTTGGTACAATCAACTGCCTTTAATTCGATTTAAGTGTTCATTTCCTCACTTTATAAGGGAAAGTATTAAAACAACAAGTAATTAACTTAACACTGGAGTAAATCTGTTTGAAGATGGTAGAGATCGAAGATTCATAAGCTCCCTTTTGAAAGCAAATCCATCTCAATCTAATTTGCATTTTCCCTCATTTGTTTTTCCTTGAGTTACATCAAAACTTTAATGTGCCAAAAAACCCTTTTTCATGAAAGCATACAGAACTTTGGTAACTTCAAGTTAAGGTCAACTTTCTCAATTTCACTGAATGAGGGACAGCCATCAAAATTAAGGGTGTAAATGGGCAGGTCAAATGAAATTAATTTCATTACAAATTGCCAGAAGTGAATGTTGATTCAAGAGACTCATATAGTGTACAATTTTATCACTCTTAAACTCCCAGAGATCAATGCAACCTATCAAAAGAAAAAAATGTTGGGATGATTACCAGTATTGATTTTCATCGTAATTTTGAGCCATATATCAAGAATTATCTTTTATGTTGTATAGTTGCTCAAAAAAAATCCAGTTGAAAATGACCATTAAATTGACTTTTACCATAAGCAAAACTTAAGTAGAGTTTTCACTTCCTTCTGCATTTTATTTTCACACCGTCCTATATGGTGAAAATTTACAACATTAATTATATTTTTCTAACTTATTTACAGATACCCACAACAAGTGATACTCACAAATATGGGTGGAAATCAGTCCAACTTGCCTCCCCGACCAATGGGCTTTGAATACATGTGTATTGCTGTTCGTGAAACAGACAAATTGCGCATTGTCCTTGGCACAGATCGAGAAATAAGCATTATCCGCCAGATAATTGAAGAATCATGGCCCAAAGGGATTCAACAAGAGACATTCAAAATGAATGGTGTGCATGAATTCAAGTTGAAAGGAAATCCATTCTGTGCTGGCACTTCATCAAGTGATGCAATCATTTCAAGGAAAATGGCTGGAAATGTTCTGCACAGGCTTTACCGTGATGGATGGAAGCTTCAAATGTCAAGCGACCTAACACAGACAACAGATCTCACAACATGGATTTTCAAGCAAGATACCACTTCCATCTGTCCATCTTTGCCATTTCTCATTGTGGGTCTCAGCAGTTATGATAGTTTGATGGTACTCAATGGTCCAATGGACCTCCATCAAACGTTCAAGGATGTCATAGAGAAGTCCTGGCCCCAAGGAATACAGCGATGGACGTATGAGAATGATGTTTTAATGATCAAATTGAAGGGAAATCCCTGGTGTGCCAATGGTGAGGATACAGTACATGCCAGAGTGATTTTACACACTCTTATTGGTGCACTGCAGGTCAAACAGTGGAAGCTCTATGGAAATTCCAACCTTAGAAGTAGTGCTAACACTCTATTTTTTGAGCATGATCCTAATATTGTGCCTGGCATGCAGTTTTCTCCCATCCCTGGAATGCAGTTTTCTCAGTCACACTTCACAATCAGTTTCAACAGTCATGACTTGTTGAGACTGATTGGTGCACCAGAGGGGCTGGTGTCTGCTGTTCGCAACACTCTTCAGACCTTCTGGTCAAGAGGCATTCAAGAAGAAAGATCCTATGCCAGCAGCTGGCAGTTCAAGCTACGAGGCACTCCTTGGTGGGCATCAGGTGATGAAGCTGTGGACTCGAGATTTCTGGTTTTGAAGGTGCTCGAAGCTTTGCAAGCCTATGGATGGAGTGTGGCGGCCAGTGTTGATTGCTCAAGGAAAGATTCTGACAAGAGTAGTGTGATCTTTAAAACATCTCAGCCAACTCAGTCTCATTTCTTCTGCATCAGTTTGCATGAGACTGACAAGTTGCGGCTTATAAATGCACCTGAGGATGTCGCAAAGGTTTGTGAAAGTCTTTTCATATGTCATTTTAGTAAGGAAGCAAAATCTGCATTAACCCTTTAACTCCCAGAAGTGATCAACATGAAACTTCTCCTCATAATATCCTTACACTATCCAGCAAATAGGTAATGAGAATATTCAAACTTATCAGGCAGAAGTTATAATCTTGATCTAACACCAAATTATCATTACTACTTTACCAGGAAATGTGTAGCAGCTTGAGGGGAGAATTAATAATTTGATATTGGGAGTTAAAGGGTTAAATTAACTTTAAGTTGATGTATTGAGTAAGATACCTCAGTGCCTGTATTTACATTAAAGACTTGCCTGATAACTCCCTGAATTGTTCTCTACTCAGTCCTATTCACTACTAAAATTATATGTCTTGCTGTCAAGATATTGACAGTGTTTATGTTCATACACTGACTAGTTAACTTGCTCAAAATAACAACACTTTTTACATTTCTACATGTTTTTATCTTTAAGATTGATTGTACAGATTTCAATTGAAGTTACTGTTTTCTTGTCTTTCTCAGATTTGTCAGGATGTGATCCAATCCCAGTATCTTCTTGGCATTCAAAGGGTGCAGCTTTATGGTAAAAGCCTTGAGTTCAAATTTGTGGGTAACCCTTGGAGTTGTGGAATAGATGGTCATGATGGTATCCATGGCAGAAATATGTTACTGCATATATTTCGTGCTCTAGCGGGCCGCTTTTGGCGTCCAGTCACGTCAGCAGATGTGTCAGCCAAATATATCCACCAGGAAAATGGTCCTGATTATCCATTAGATGTGGATTCTATATTCTTTACCTACGATCCTTCTGCTGCATCACCATCTGCACCCCCCTATATGCAGCCACCACCTTATGGCTTTCTCCCACCCAATGAGGCTCCACCACCCTTTGCTCCACCTGCCTATGGTGCATATCCAAATCAGTGATAAAGTGGTATGACATCTAGTCTTGCATATGAAATGATTACCATAAATGGTGCTCTGAAAGAAGCCTATGACTGTATAGTGTCTTATAATTCCCAAAGGATTCTGAGTTACAGGAATGAAACCAGTCCTTATTATGTCAATTACAATCAACTACTAATACTGTTTTGTCACCTTATTTAAACCCCTTGGTGGGGGGACTTGTCATGGAAAAAAGGTTTGTTAAGGAGGGGGGGGGCAGTAAGTAGCTTTGAGGGTTGGCAGATTTGGTCTTTAAAAACTCACAGATTGTGCAATTTGCACAAAAGTAAGCAGATTTACAGTTTTGGAAATTGCTCTGGATTGCGAATAAGTGGGGTGGTTTAGTGGAGTTCTCCAAGACTTTGTCTTACTTAGAGACCCTGATGAGCTAGCAATTCAGTTTCGAACACCTAAAAAGACAGGAAACTTCATGTAAAATCAATTAATATCCTATGGAAGAAAAGCAAAGTATATGTAGATACATTATGTAGTGAAATGAAAGCAAGCTAGTCACAAAGACAGTTTTTCAGTAATGCTGATTCAGATCTCAACGAAAAGAATGTTATTTTCACGGATCTAGCTAGAAATTAGTTTTTACCTGTCGGCAGATGTTTTAGCTTTTATTCTCCTCCCTCTTCAAGAATATTATTACTTGATAATAACGTCACAACTCTTTCTCTCTCATACTACGACAATTTACGTCATAATTGACAAATGAGTAAAAATGGGGAATTATTCCCCAGTTTAAACTTGAGATATTTAATAATCCATGCGTGATTAATTGTGACCCGCTCAATCTTTCGAAATTAATCAATTACTGGTGTATTTATATTAATGGAAAAGGGTGTTACAAAAATAAAGAAACAAACAATTTGAATTAAATGGTACTGAGCAATTCAGAATTATCCACAACTTTTTTCTGTTATGAAAATACGTTATCAGTTGCCATCGTCTTTGGAAAAAATTGCCTTTTAGAGGAACGTAACACATCTTTCATCAATAACTATTCATGTTACTATTTGTTAATATGTGGCATGTCAAAACATTATTTTTTTTATCTATATTCTCTAGTAATCGACTATTTTGATGTAACTATGCGAAAGGGCATTCTTGACTTCATCATGAATAGATATCGTTTTGGTAGAAGAAAAGAAAAAGAAAACGATATAAAGATGCTTGCGCTATCAAGGCATGACAGAATATAAGGTACGTAGAGAATCAGAAATAAACTTTTTCAAAATTATACTTCGTCACCTTTTTACTCAGGGCCGTTTACTTAAACATGGTTCAGTCGTTTAACAAAACCGCCTCCTAAACAATCCGCAATTTAGCTGCACCTTTCATCCCAACATTCATTTCAGCGAGCAGTGTCAAGAGGGCGAGGGGTAACAACGGAAGGACATTTATTGAATTAAATCAACCCTCTTGTAGAGAAAGACTAAGGCCCACTGAATGTGTAAAACCGTGGTTTGGGTTTGACATCGTGTAAATAACCGGCTCTTAGTTTTTACCCTCGAGGCTTTACTGATCAAGTTTCAATACATTTTAATTCTTAACTCTTTAACCCCCAGATCAAGGTGTAATTCTCCTTACTGTTAACCATACAATTCTCATGATGTTAGTTCAGAGAATTTAGTATTGGATCAACTTGTCCCCAAATTGATATTTTACTTTATTCTCGTCACTTATTTGGTTGATATTGTTTTGATATTGTGAGGAGAAATTCTGTCTTGGTTACTCATGAGAGGTAATGGGTTAACCCTTAACACCCTGACACTAGTATGCAAATTCTTAAAACTGTTCTTTGTACATTTTCTAAGCTGCTGGCAAGGAAAGTGTCTCTCTCAATCAAGAACTTCTTTAGATAGTGATAGTTTCCATTTTCTCGTCACCGTAATGTATGGTTAAGGGTTGATACTGTAAGGTGAAATTCGATTCTTCTCACCCTTACACTAGAGGGTTAACAGGAATGTGAGTGTCAGTCCGTAAAAAAGTGTAAGCGGACTTTTTTTTCGACCACCATAAAATTAATTCTTAATATTCAGTGTGAAAGTGTTGGATGGAACGGTACTGATTTGTATTCCAAAGTTTAATCAGTTTCATCATATTTTTTATTTGCCTTATTTACATAATATAAAAAAATTTATTTACAGCGGTTATAGCTAGAAGGCGAGAGAGACCCAGGAAGCCACCGGGCTTATGGGAGAGCCACCTCACTTACATTAATAAATAAAGTAAAGAAAAAGTGCTGCGAATGTGCGGCTAGGCCAATTCAAGGATTATTTAAGTTAAAACTCTTGCATTTTCGTCTTAAAACTAAGAAGGTTTGACGAACGAGTGACTGAAACAGGAAGAGAATTCCAAATTTTAGGACCTTGGAAAAGAATTGTAAATTGCTTGAGATTTGTACGGCACAAATGCGTTCGATAATTACTGGCTGTTCTGGTACCATAGTTGTGAATTTGGCTATTCGTAACAAAAAGATTGAGAAGCAATGGAGGAAATAAGTTATTTCTATAATAAAACATGAATTTGGCGATTTCAAACGTATCGACTTGGAAAATATCTAAAATTCCTAGTTTGGAGAATAAAGGAGCGGAATGGGCTCGATGGTCTGAGTTGGTGATAGCCCGCTCAGCTCGCTTTTGCAAGTAATAAATTCTATTTAAGTTAGATACGTATGTGGACGACCAGGCACAGTTACAATAGACGATATAAGGATAAATTAAGGTGTAGTACAAAGTGAGCTTGGTTGTAGAGGATAGGAAAAAGCGAGACCTGAATATAATACCTATTGAATATAATATAATATGAATATAATACCTATTGATACCAGTCGAAAAAATATGTACATATTAAAAAGGGTGAAAAAAGTGAAAGATCTTAAATACATTTTTACTAAGCGCAGGGACAGAGAAAAGTCCTCTGCCAGCAGTTGAACGTTAGATCATGAACATTCGAGTGCTTTCCTAACCGAGCCATACTTTATGAATGAATGAATGGTAAGTTTCTAAAGAAACTGTGGTGCTCCATACGTAGGTGAATGAAATACAAGAGAATTTGGTTTCATCAACTGAGTTGACAAAGTAAATTGGCCAGCTTGAAGAATTTGTAAACCTGACGTTTCGAGCGTTAGCCCTTCGTCAGAGCTGACACTCGAAACATCAGCTTTAGAAACTCTCTAAGATGGCCCATTTACATTGTCAACTCAGGTGATAAAACCACACCATACTATACAACGCACTGGCTAGCGAGCCTGTCTTTTTAGACGGTTGTGTTTCCTGATCACGGCTGATATAACTAACAAATTGATAATTGGCTGCACCCAAATATAAATAAAGTTCTCAGCAACGTTTTGTCACCTTACTTAAATTAGCATAGGACGACTTTCTCTTTCATACAGTTGTGTCAATCACAGCGTTTTGGCGATGAAGAGAGAATTTCGAAACTGTCTGCCTCGGTTTGTCTTGGCATTCACATGAAGTGTTCATTTTTCCTGAATTTCTCTCTTTCATACAGTTGTTTCAGTCACAGCGTTTTGGCGATGAAGAGAGACTTTCGAAACTGTCTGTCTCGGTTTGTGTTGGCATTCACATGTAGTCAGTATTTTTCCTGAATTTTGATCATTAGAGAAACTCGGACGATTATCCGTGGCATCGATTCCACACGAGAGAAACTGTGGCGCTTTTTCTGCGACACCCTCTGGGGTGTGAAAAGCAGGACTCTCTGGAATAATAAAGAACAATCCGTACCTGTAATACACATCATGAGATACTTCTTTTATACGCTCATCAAAATCTTTGTTCTCAACCTTCTCGAATGACTTTTCTACGCTTCGTTCAGCGCTTTCTTTGGCTATCTCTTTTGCCTTAATATGGAACCGTACCAGCGCTTCTTTCGCCTCAATGTGGCGGTAATACTCCAAGCTTGGTATTTCAAGCTGCTTTGCTTTTTTAAGACACCGACGAATAAAAATTGAGGTGAACAAAGTAGACACTACTATTAGCAGCAAAGACCAGCCTGCTATCTGACTGTGGGTCTTGTAACGTTCTTCAAGTTGCTCCGAGCGGGTACCGGCTTCAAAGTAACGGAGACATCGGTCAGTCGTATTTGACTTCGTGGCATCTTTATCAACTAAAGGTGGTCCGAAATAGGCGCACGTGTAGTATTGTTGCCGTAAAAACGACAGTACTAGCCAGGCAGCTGGGGCGATGCATGCTCTTATGAAGACATATGGTGTAAGGAACAAAGCCTTAAGGTAGCGGAAAGTCAGATATTTCTTCCGACGTCTTTTACAGATTGTGGCGAACTTCCACAGATCTCTATCGACCAAGATTCCGGCAAGAAACAAAAGCATTGCCGGAACCCAAAGAAATGCCAATCCATATGCAAAATGTCCCTCACACGGACAGTGAAATACCACACTTCCCACTAACTCCTCTAAGCCAACCGTCGTTCCAGCCATAAAGCCGTACAACAACGAGCGTTTTGAGTTTCTGAATAGAATTGCTGCACTGCTCAGTAGAGTATTCATTTTAAGCCGTCGGGACAGCAGCTCCAGTATTTTGACTATTGTCCGACTTCAATTGCAGTTTTATATTTCGAGGTTATTTTTGGAAACGGAAGCTGTTTTACCAAATAAATTTCCCTTCTTTTCACATTTAAGAACGAAAGTTATTTTAACCAATAAAATGTTTACTCTTTCAGCAATAAACAGGAAGTGTTCGAAAGTTAGTTTCGAGCCGGTTTCTGAAAGGATGGAGCCGATTTTCGGTTTGATGCAGTTCAAAAGAAAGTTAACCGATAGTATGTTAATATGTTGTTTCATGAATCATTATGACTGTTGATTCTAGAAAAGCGAATTGATTTAATTCCACGAGTGGCGGTCGTTCCGCCTACGAGCCGTTTTGCTAACGACCGGTTCACTAACGTCCTCGTTCGTTTCCTCAGCATCTCAGGTCAATTCCTCGACGTCTCATTAGTCTACGTTTCGCTAACGTTTTAGTTTATTTCACAATCGTCTCCTTTTCGTTTTGTTTTCTTCGATGTAACGACAAAGGAAATTTTCCCCTGTAAACGTACATGTAAGATCGGCCGAAAATGGCAACGACCCAAATATCCCACGATTTTTCGGTCGATTAGAAGTCAATCAAATTCTGCTTGCCATATCTGGATCATGGACTCCATTATCAAAAATTTAAATCAAATTAATTGTAATCCAGAGAAAAATTAAGAGGCATGTAGATCCGTTTGTGCGACACACTTTTTAACCACTTAATCAGAAAGAAAGGAAACATCCAAAGATGAAAGTACACATTCAGCACATACAGTTTCAATCTTTCTATTCATTCATGTAACACTAATGCCACTCCACAAATAATATTACCGCTCTTCAGTAAACATTAAAACTTCATTTACCGATACTAACAAGGTCCTAGCCATTTATCAGTCATTACTGATTCTTCTACATCGTTTTTCCGACCAAGTAAAATTACGTTATTAACTTTAACGAAAATGCCGGCTTACGAGTCAGCTTACGAACCTGGATGCCTACCATGATAGGAGTTATCTCCGGTTTTCAAAGCTGACAGCCCTGCCCATGTCTTCTGAAAGCTGGCTTGATGGGGCACCCTCTATATTTGGTGCCTCATCCGGCCTTGAGAGAAGGGACTGAACCAACTTCCCTCTCGAGGGCAGAATAAGTGTGTTTACATCCAGTGTGGATAGACTAGCGGATAAACTTATACAAGTATCATTCGCAAAAAGGTGAATCACTGTGCTTTTTTTTGACAATTGCACATCGTCTGAGTACTTTTTCTGATTATGACCGAATAATGGTGCTTATAATCTCGAGATCAGATTTTTTCTGACCCCTTAAAGATGATAAAGGTTGGTTGATCATCATTAGCATGAAGAAGCTTACAAAAAGATCAAATTTAGGTTCTGTCTTTTGGCTGCTATTTTGAGTCATAAAAGGGCAAATTATGAGTTTAGCAAGAACAAATATTAGACGTTTCTTTCATGGTCTAGAGCAACTTCTTTAAAGCAAGAGGAATCATTGGTTATCAGCTTTCATGGTCTCAGTTGCCATAGTTATTGTAATTATACTCTTATTCAAAAAGACTAAAGTGGACGTCTGTTTACTAGTTATGATGAGCTAAATTTGATTCGATCAATTATTTTAGCGCGTTCCAAATTTTTTCCCCCAGATTTCTTCCCTGTCTTTACTTTATTATGGCATGGAAAAGTTAGTGACGTTTTTTTCCACGCTGCTCAAACGAAAGCCTTAAAGTTGTGCGGAAACCTGACCTACATCGCAAGTCTAGGAATTCGCAACATTTTGGAGCTTAATTATCAGCTTTGGCTAGTTTTAATATATTGTTCTCAAACTTGACAAGTTGACTGATTTCCAGGCGCTCTTTAGCAATAACGGAGAATCGTTGCCGCCTGGTCTTTGCCAAAAGTTCTTCTTCGCTTATATGTTTGCAATTTTTATTGGTCTTTTCTTTAAATTTCAGCGTGTTATAAAAGAAAGAATCGGTAAATATTGGCATTTTGTTACTTGACACATTGTTAATCAGATTTCACTTCGAGATGAAGTGGAGCGTTCTGAAAGCCGACTGTAATTTTTATCATGGAGCGGAAGAAAACCCAACTCGGCGAGTTTCTATCAGGGACAATCAAAATCCAATTGAGCAGGAGTTTTTGCCAACATATCAGTAATTTTTTCGTTATCAGCGAAATGAGGTTACTTTAGACCTTAAAAAGCCACTCTTGACATAAAAAAAATAAAAAAAAACATTTAGCTCATTCTCAAGCTGGGAAATTAATTTGTAGTTTAGAAAAAAAGTTAATTTAAAATCAATAATAGCAACACATGGCGAAATAAATTTTTTTTTGGAGAAAAGTCAATCAATAGCTTAATGTACTATAATCATTTGAAACGCAAGCTACTCATTTGTTTTTTGTGGTAAACTTTGGAAGAGGACTCCAATTAAAATCATCGGCATATTTCATTTTCATAGATTCGCAAAAGTTAGACCAAGTTAGGCTACCACCATCCGTGAATTGGAGAGAAACACTCCGTAAATAATGATTTGATTTAATACAAAAGAGAGAAGACACCTGGGATGAAAAAATAAGAAACCGGTAAAAAACTATGGCAGCTGCCATGTTTTGTTTGGAATATCGCCGATCGATAGTCATCAGTATCACACGGTAGTGAGTGATTAAAATAGTAAAATTGTCTGATACCCGAGAAATAGAATTCCTTTCAAGCTTTTTCTATTATGTAGATCTTAAAAATCTCTCCTCGGATTCTTGCAGCTCAGCAGCTGATATTTTCTAAATTCCTCTTCTTCTATTTTCTTTTGGAGGGAACTCTTTAACGATTTTAAGTACTTCTTTCCTCCTTGTGCAAGCACTTTGTTCTTCGTCAATGGATTTGACCTGTGAAGCGTTTTCCAGTTAAACATTTGTGTCTTGTAATAAAATGATGTTTACTTTTTCAGCTTTTTAGGCTAATCAATATGCTACTGTCTGCGGCTCACCAACACAGTTCAGTGAATGCTGCAGCCCATCGGAGAAACGGGGAATTCCGTGATGTTCGTCGATCGAGTCTTGAGCTCCACACAACTTCACCCGGAGCCAGGCTACGACGCAACTATCCCGTGCGTCTGTGAGCTATTTCCTAGGGGGTCCTCCTGTCTTGAAAAACATCAGCTTTAGTGCCACTCCCGGTGAGAAAATAGATGTTGGACGGACTGGTACTAGAAAGTCGTCAGTTACCGCCTGTTTGTTGCGCATGCCAGCAAACACCGACACCATCATTATCGATGGAATTTGTATGACTGATCTCAAAGTCTAGGATGTTTGCACTATGATGGCAGTCATTAGTCAGAGTTCTTTCCTATTTAATGAAGTGCTTCGTCGAAGTCTTGATCCAGCTGACAAATTTATTGTTGAAGAATTGCGGAATATTTTGGACAAAGTTAAGCTGAAGTCGACTGTGGTAATAGAGATGGTCAACTTTACTGTCACGTGACAGAAAATGGTGCTAATTTCAGTGTCGGAGAGCGGCAGTTGATCCGCTGCGCTCTTTTGTTTGGATGAAGCAACATCCAGTGTGGATACACAAAGGGATGAACTTATACAAAGCATAATTCGTAAAGAGATGAATCATTGTACTGTTTTGACGTCTGAGTACTGCTTGGCGAAGGGAAAATTGTCGGAATGGATTCTCCCAAGACTTTACTTAAAAATAAGCTCACTTTTTTCTACCAGCTCTATCACAATGTGAACTTTGAATTGTGATTATGCCAGATAGTCCTGTGAAAGATTGGTCTGAGACATTAGACCAATCTTTCACAAGACTATCTGGCATATCTGCTCATTAGGCCCTATGGTGTCGATTCAGATTTTCGCTCATACCAAAGGTTAGAAAGCGTACAAATATGCAGTTATCAGAAGTTTACTCTTAAATCGACTGTTTTACTCCACCTCGCTGAAAATTTGTATTGCTGAATTTCAACATATCTTTTTGCGGTAGAAATGAGGATCGGTGAAACGCTGTCTCAGTGAATTTGTCCACGCACGCAATGAACGTGATGAGCAGCTGAAAATTACATGTAATATCGTTATCAAAGTAACACTAGCAATAAGATATATGTATTGTCCTTACATACTTTTTGTGTTATTTCTTGTATGACAATGTGGCAGTCTTGCTAGTCACATCAGCATAGCAAACAAATAGCAGTTTAAGTAATGTTGAAAAATACTAAGAAAGTGAATGCGCATATAAGTCATTTTTCAGATAGACATGTTTTCAGATATAAAGATAGATGGACATGATTCGACTGAAAACAAATGAATGCAGATATGTCACTACGAATTACAAAAAAAACAACAAAATCAATTTACAAAAAATATTCTGAATGAAAAAGAAACTGACGAACTTACAATTTGTGGCGTAGGCTGGTCTTGCAGTAAAAGTTTTAAATAAAAGTAACACGGCACTAACAGAAACTAACAAAACAAAACGACTGACTCAGTTGAAATCAAACAACGATATATTGATGATATATTGATGTGAGTGGTCAAAGAAGTAATCAGTTTAATAAACCACTCCAGTCGTAACAAACTTGTTGAAAATTGGCGAATATTTACAGACAAAAATTCACACCTAAAGATTCGAGTTGTTACTCACTAAAAAAAGACGGGTCTATAACTGGTCTAGCCGGTCAATTTTGTGTCAAGGTAGGCTTCTTATTAAATAAAACGTGTGCTGCATTTTACCATGTTCTTACATAGGAAGTGCAAATTACACACTCTAGCACTCTTAAAATGAAATGGTTGTTTTCATGACAAGTCCAGCGAGTCAGTGAGTTTGAGATACCTGTGCTGTTTTCAAATCGATAGAACTGTCTTTAGTCCACTATTTACGCAGTTCTTATCTCCTATACAGTTACATAGAATAACTTGATTTTTCAGAGGTACTAAACGTTTTACAATAAGTTTTTGTTCCTGTCGATTTACGACTTTTACAGAAATAGTCTCAAAAGTAAAAATCGAATGGCAAAGACAAATCCTTCCAAAAATCAAAAAGTCAAATTTCTTTTTCAGTTGACTATCTTTCTTATTCTAATAAAAGTGAGTGTTTCTCCAGTTGCACATGAACCGAAAATTTTTCCATTATAAGCTGAGTCATAATTATGCCGGTAGTCATAGCTTGTCAAACGTAAGAGCCAACGGAGCTACGCCCTGTCAAAACGACATCCCCTTTGGCAATAACTCTGTTTTCCCAATCGTAAAGTGTCGGCCATAGGTAACAATAAATCCGTTTACCTCCTTGGGTGCTGGCCCACCGTTGAGACGCATTTGGTTTAGCTAACGACGGAAAAGCTTGGCTTTCACTGTGAGATAGTGGGTTAAAGGTCCAAGAATTGTAATCGATTTTGAGCGGAGGGACTTGGGTAACAGCCCGCCACGAAAATCGTGTGCAGTACTCAATGTACCCTTTTAGTTCCTTTTTGAGGCTTTTATCAAAGCTTGGAAGGATTTCCTCTTTCTTTTTATTTTCCTTCCATTTTACCTTCAGTTCTCTCTTTACGGCCTGTGCGGATTGAAATAATACGTAATACATGTGTCATTGTTAAGTTGCATTATTCAATAAATACAAATAAAGAAGCAAACAGTTTGGTAAACTCCATGAATGGAAGGATACGACCGAAATGTATAACATGCTGTATCTATAAGCAATATAGTCAAATACTTCGAACCCAGCTTGAAAAATTAACCAAAAAAAGCAAAGATCAAAAACACACGCAAAAAATTAAAAACAAAGACAACAACATTTCAAACGTAGATTGTCAATGAAAGTTATCTCGCCTTCACAAGCTTTTCCAAATTAAGGTTCTCCCTTCCAGCTGCCTCTTTAACGAAGACCATGACTTCATTGGTGTAATCTTGTGGAACATCTTTCGGTCTAGCAGGTAGGACATCGGGAAGCTTAGGAATAGAAAGAGATATACTTAATCTCATGACAGTAAAAGTATACGACTCAGTTTCAAAGTTGTCGGTTTGAATTTTCAACTGAACTGTTTGTACAATTGGGCATCTATAATTTTTTTTTCAATTACTTTCTTAATTTCTGAAGACCTTTCTTCGAATTATCGGCCTGGTCATCTTCACAAACTCCATGCCACGGGCGTCTTCCGCGCCTTTTTTTATTTTGAAATAAATAACAACAACACAAACAAAAAAACAAACAAAAACCAAACCAACGAAGCCAAAACAAAAGTAAACGTATTCGCACGCCCTTTCATTACTGTAGTATGAAACTGATAATTATGGATTGTAAAAGTACGTATAAAATATTTATCTTCCTTTCATAGAAAACAACTCAAATAAGGAAGAGCTTGTTAAAATGATAAATAAACATTACAGCACTAAAGATCACAAACCTTATATTTACCATCCCCTAAACCAACACAAGGTGCATCAGTAACTAAAGTGTCCAAAAGCGATGAGTAGTAGGATAAAAAGCCAATTCTCGCCTTCTCTGCACATTCGTAAGATAACTGAAAGAAAGAAACTTGTACATGAATTGTATGGAGACAGAGAAAGAGATCTTGTAGATCTGGAAAATTTCAGTTTGTAGGCGCGTTATAAAAGTGCGGATGTATTGCATATAAATCAAAAAATAATAGAGACCAATAATATATGAATAAATAAGAATAATAAATAAGAAATGGAAAAAATATAAAGGAATAAATGAAAAAAATATCTGTTTGACTGTTCATCCCTAAGACCCTCACTATAATGTACACAATATTACTATTCGTACGTTGACCCGCGCACAAGATAACAGGTAACGAATTTATCTTCACGGGCTATGCGCAATATAAATTTTCTGCCATGGCATCTGATCTCGCACGGTATGAATAAAATAAATTATATTTCAACTCCACGACATTTTACAGAACAAACAAATCACCTCAAATATATAACATGCAAGCCTGTACGCCTTTAATTGATCTTCTACGGACAGCTCTTGAGATCGACTTTTCTTCATTTTTTTTTCAATCAATTCCACTGCGTCAAGGCGTTTTCCATCCCTAAAGTTGTTCCTGTATTCTGCCTCAAGCTCAGACTGCCTGTTTGAGCTCAACGTGTTTTCAGTTCTTCTTTGGTTCATGTTGACTTTTCTCTCTGCCACAGTAGCAAGCCTTGTTGAAAATAAGAGTTGCCGGTTAATTGAGTCAATCGATTGTCGTACCTTCGATTATATATCAGCTAGTAACATTTCCTTCAAAAAAAATTCAAAAGAAGTATCTGTATCAAACATAGCAAGAAGGAAATAAATCACAAATATAATGCGATGTGCAACAGAAGAAGTAGGGAGAGAGTACGAAGTAGCATTTTGGTATTAAGGTAATGGCGGCATTCAATCAGCTTCTTTCAAGAAAAGCTACTCTAGGAATGATATTCAAGGAAACCCACTAACAAAGAGACAAGGACATGTTCACTCCCTGATTAAAAATAAATTGTCCTTTAATTCAATTTGAACTAGCTTTCGTTTTAGTGGATAATTGTGCTTGTTTGGGTAATGTCCAGGAAGATATTCATGAACAGGTAGAAACAAGTTTGGTTTAAGGGTGTGGGTAAGGATTAAAGCAGGTGTTACTCTCCACAATTGTGTTACCTTTGTCTCAGTCTTTGAACTTCCGCTGATAATTCCCTATTTTCATTACTATGACTTTGGTGGAGGCTACCGATAATGAAGAGAAGTCAAAATCATTCGTAAATGATAATCTACCTCATTTAGGTGTTGCTTAATATGCTAACAGCTTTCAAGAATTTCCGTCAGTGTCGACCATTAATTATATTCCGTTTGTCACGCCTGAGGAACAGAAGAGTCCTGTCAATGCAAGCGTGACGGAAAGATTCTAACCATTCCTCCTTTCCTAACAGCTAAATGATCACAACAGTTAAGAACTACCAGAATACTTTATCCCTGTGACGGATTAATTGATTAATTTATGTATTTATTCATTTATTTCCCTGCGGAGTAGGCATTAGACAGGGCAGATATTTCTGTGACGATAATAACGACTGTAACATTTCATTGTGCATACACAAATGCGTCTACATTGTGAGCAATGAGATCATTACATAAGCAAACAATTTCAGCCGGTTTTATTTAAAGAATTTTATAATATCTTGCAATCTACATGGCCTCAAATGAACAGAACTTCTCAAATTGTTTACCTTTGCAGTTGTTGCCTGAGATCTTTATTTTCATGCTCTAACCTCTCGAGTCGCAAAGGGAGTTGTCGTGATGCTTCAATTAGTTTTTCTGTGGACCATTCCTCATCATTTGAAGGTGATGCCGATGGATGCGTTTTGGATTCATATCCACTTGGTTGAACGGAGTTAGGTAACGTTTTTCTACGTTTAAAGGTCGCCATTACTGAATCAAGTAGCAATCGCCCCAACGTGTATCGACTGTATCTCCCGGATGTCTGTTTTCCTAGAAAGAAGCCGGAAGTGGCAAATTTACTTTAACAAAACTCAAATATTTCATGCAACAGTGAGGGATAAGTTCACCTCGCTAAGTTAAGTCTCCGTCTTGCACAACCAACGCGTAGATACGGTAGTTAAAAACGGATCTGGAATTGAATCTTTTTTAAAATCGATTTGTTACATTAACACTCCGTAATGATAGCTTTACTTTGGCGTGAATATGCACAATCGGGGGCAAGGAAAAACACGCAGAAAAACACACGTAGACCGCTATTTTCTGCCTCAATCTTAGTTTTTGTATCATCAAGAAGACATGAAATATCCGCAATTTTAGACCTATTCGGCGAGTAGGTCTAAAATTGTCGATAAGAATTTATGTTTCTTTTCACGAAGCCCTTGTAGGGTCACGCAATTCCAGTGCGAAAGTGCCTTACTAAAGCTTGAATAGTAGTAAAATGCAAATGATCGAATTCTGATCAAGTCTACAAAGTCAAAGAGAATCAACTCTGTCAGAATATTATCGTGACTTGTCAAAAAAGGAACCCTTTTTTGAGTGAGTAACAGTATACTTGGTGTATAACTTCCAATTTTTATTCTTGGAACTAACGTAACCTGCGTTATTTATAACTCACACGAAACATAAACAATTCTAGGAAATTTCCCTCCGTCACCCTAATCTCTTGACCACTGAAGACATTTGCATTTAACAGTTGCTGCACGTTTTCATCCTCTCGTTGCTCAGCTTATTCTGTTAGGAGATATGGCATCGGCGTCAGGCAACGGTAAGAGTAGATTTGTACTATACTCGATTGTAAACACGAACAACGGGCAGCAAGTTGAGAATCGGCGAAGCGACGTCTCCAGATACACAGAGCCGAGTTCATTTTGAACCGACCGTTTTATAATGAAATGAAAGAACAAGCGATATCGATTTATATCTCACTCTGAAACTGATTTTTCTGAGGACAGGTAACAGGGGGAACAGTAATTCCCGGTTTTCCGATTTCTTTGTATCGAACGTTTAAAATTCGCGTAACGCTATTTTACATTCGGCGAGGCTGGTAATAAATCAATTATTCATTTTTGAACTCTTACGTGATCTAGGAGGGTGTACGATTCTGTTAGTTTCATTTATGCAAGCCTTCAAACAACCTTTCGATTTAAGAAGCTCGTGCACTAACTTTAAGATCGATTCGCTTACTACACTTTACTGCAACTCAGCTTTAAATTTGTCATATAACTGTTCCAGGAACAGCGAATGTCTCCTGACCGAGGGAAATTTTAATGAAGTGTGTCGCGTCACGGTAACTCCTCCAAATGTGCCAGTTTCTGAAACGTGCGGTTTCCTTTTCAAATCTAGGTACTCGTCATGCGAATTCTTACCTTGCAACTGTAGGGATAGACTTTGGTACAACCTACAGTGGGTTTGCCTTCTCATTCAACAAAGGCGAAGGTGGAGAAGCGATTTTTATGAACAGAGACTGGGTCAATGAACAGGGCCATCGAACCAGCCAGACACCAACATGTCTGCTTCTTAAACCAGACTTGTCATTTGACTCGTTTGGTTACTCAGCGATGGAGAGATACTCCGGTTTAAAAAGTGCATACGAAGAAAAAGAATACTTCTTTTTCCAAAATTTTAAGATGGAGCTGCACAACGAAGAGGTAAGTAAAGGCCAGCTCCTTTACGCGTTTTAATATTACAGGTTCTTACAAATGCTATCCAAGTGTCATATATCTTGCATTTTTCCCTTTGTTTATTTAGTTTGTGGTTTGAGTAAGTATCATTTGATCGCGTAGTATCACTTATCATGTGTATCATGCGTATCATGTATATCTTCAAATTGAAACATTTTTGAGAAAGATCGTAGATACAATATATATTTATATATATATAAAAATTCCCTGATGAGTAAGCATTCACGGAACAAGCTTAGAGGAATGAAAGTGTAGTCTCTCTGTTCTTTTCCCCTATCGCAACATATGTGTATATATATATATATATATATATATATATATGTGTGTGTGTGTATATATATGTGTGTGTGTGTATATATATATATATATATTTATATGTGTGTGTGTGTGTGTGTATATATATATATATATATATATATATATATATATATATATATTATATATATAATTGCAGACAGTACTGTTTCGGTCTACTGGGCCTCACCAGTGCAGTGCTGATATTACAAAGGAGGCGTAAGCATTAATTTACCCCGAATGATTCCACAATTGTGGTATCATCCAAGCCATGCCAGAGGATTCGAACTAGATTAATTAGGCAGAATGCATATAGATCTATATATATATATATATATATATATATATATATTATTTTTCCGTAGTACAGTGCTCGATACATAGAAGTAGAGTGCGATATGTATTGAGATCGGCAAAAACAAAGAGACTACACTTTCATCCTTACAAGCCTGTTTCGTAATTAACTCACTCTTCAGGGGATTTCAGTGGCAAGAAGATTCGTGAACATCGTTAATATACTATAAAAGTTGCATAAGTTGATGTGGCGGTAAATTTAGATGTTTAGTTCAGCTGTTACGCAGCAACTCTTTGTTTCTGTGACGACATGACGACACAAGTTCGTTACGTTTGTTGCTTGCGCTATTGTAGGGTCAGCTTGATGAAAGGATACGCCATGAAATAAAGTGGCCAATGTTATTGCCTTTAAGAGTCCAGATGTGTTTGCTGAGTTCGGTAGAGTTTCTGCGTTTTGCGTGTCGGAATGATGCAGTGTGGTTTCTGTATATTGAAGTCGTTTTCTGTAGGTCCGATGTACGTTTCAGTAGTGCTATTGTCCTTACGTGTGACGGTGGCCTGGTAGATAACTGATGATTGGAGGCAGTTAACCTCCAGTTCTTTTAATACTCATTGGGTGTTCATCTGCAGAGCTGATTGAGGTGATAAAAATGAACTTGCTGCTTGTTAAGTGACTGAGATACAGCAATTTTGATTTAGATGATACAGAAATACCTCTTCCTTTTGAGTCACTGTTAAATTATATTCAATTTCTTTTACGACAAACAGAACATTGACCTGCAAGCTACCATCCCTGATGCCAGATATAAACGCGTGAAGGCAAAGACAGTGTTTGCTTACGCCATACGGTTTCTGCGAGATGAGGCGATTAATTTCATTCGCCAGGAAACTAAAGATCAGAGTTTCAAGGTTGAGGATGTTTTGTGGGTTCTGACTGTACCAGCCATATGGAGTCCAAAAGCAAAACAGTTCATGAGAGAAGCAGCCTATGAGGTAACATTTTGACTCATGGGAATGGTTTTAACTACACCAGTGCCGTTAATGCTGCTGTGGAAGTTTGTAAATATGTATAACTGATCTACTAACTAAGACTGACTTCTGTTTGCTCTTTTCGTTTTGCTTTCTTTTTTGTTTTTGTTTTTTTTATCGTTTTCTTTTTCTTACTTGATCTGATTGATTGTTGGAATGATTACAAAAGAAGAGAAATTTAAAAACCAAAACAAGAGGAGACAAAACTAAACGAAACGAAATGCCTTATCATTTCCCTCACGTTAAGTTGCCATCTTCCATTTCTAAATTTGAAGGCATTATGTTTTCTCAGGCTGGTCTCGTCTGTCGTGATCATCCGGAGCAGTTAGTTATTGCTTTAGAACCTGAAGCGGCGGCGATATTCTGCACTGAGAGAAAAATGGACGCGATACTGTCAGAGAAACTTGATGTATCGATGGATGGACTATTGTCCCAACTGAATGCACAGTATATGGTTGTTGACATCGGAGGTAATGTTACTGAGAATCATGAGCTAAATATTCTACTAAAAAGTTGATGAAATCATTAAATCTGGTTAAATCATTTTTGTTTTTCTTTATGCTGCAACATTGAATTTTCTTCAGGATCTTAAACTAAACATTTCCTTAGCTCCTGTTTTGCCCATTTTCTTAGCTAAAACCTGTTTTAAATTAAACTAAGAACACTAATAGACTAAAGAAAGAGAAAACGATAAACAAACAAAGAACAACAGGAACAATGTCAGAAACAATAGTTGACGCAGTAATCACAGAAACTGCAATGGCGATAAAACGTTAATAAATTTTTTAAATAATGGAGTGAACATATTCATTCATTTCTTAGCATTGTCAATCACTATACAGTCACTTTTTCCTCGACTGTCGTTTACCATATGATTCGCGATTGATATCTTTTTATTTTCTCTTTTTTTGTAACAACTGCGCTCCCAGGAGGTACTCTCGACGTCACCGTTCATGAAAAGCAAGATGACGGTACAATTAAGGAAATCCATAAAGTGACAGGTGGGCCCTATGGCGGAAACAAGGTGAATCACCAGTTCGAAGGTCTTCTGGATGAGCTATTTGGTGCCGAAAAACTGTTTGAGTACCGTAAACTATTTCCTATCGACTGGCTTCACTTGAAAAACGATTTCGAAGAAAAAAAACGCGGACTGCGTTCCCAACAAAAGAAAGAGACCCGAATTCGTCTGCCGTATAGCTTTGTTTCGACCATTAATGAATTTCTGCCTCATTCTCTAGCCCGTTATGACGAGGGTGAAATTCAATTGCAGAGGAACGAATACCTCTGCCTCGGCCCGAGTGTGATGACGAAACAGTTTGAACCTGTTTTGGAAGCGATGAAAGATCATTTGGATGTCTTGCTGAGCCAACCTAAGCTTTCAAAAGTGAGGGTAATGCTACTTGTTGGAGGATTTGCAGAATCTCCCATTCTTCAGCAGAAAATAATGGAAAAGTTTAACAGCAGATGCCGTGTAATTGTACCACGTGACGCAGCCAAAGCAGTGGTTCAGGGTGCCGTAATGTTTGGTCAGCTTCCCGATAGAATTTCCCAAAGGGTTATGTCTACAACATACGGCTGTGCCTGCTGCCGAGATTTCATCCGAGGTGTACATCCAAACAAAAAGAAATTAATGGCAGATGGCGTAGAAAAATGCCGTGACTTATTCGCTTGTTTTGTTAAGGAAGATGAAGTGGTGACCCTTGGTCAAAGAATCCGGCAAGTCTTTCATCCAGTATATGCTAACCAAACAGAGGTACCCTTTGGATTTTACACCTCAAACAACGTCGACGCACAGTTTGTTACCGAACCAGGCTTGACTAAGATTGGAAACCTGGTTGTTCATTCTCCTGTTACCAGTAGTGGTCGTGACAGAGAAATCGAGGTCAGCTTATACTTCGGTGGTACCGAAATAACGGCTACAGCTTTAGATGTTTCAAGTGGGAAAGTAAAACAAACTACTCTTGACTTTTTCCCTAAGTCTGAAAAGATTGAAAAGTAACATGTCCTGTTATGGCTTACATCTTTGAAGGACTTGTTAAAAGTTAATCAGCGACACACATTCTGTCTGAGCGTGTAATATTTCAAATTGAAGTAGCCACTGTAATTATTAACCAAATATAAATATGACAAAAGCAATACTCAAAAAAGTATGAAAAAAGAAAAAAAAAATCAAATAACATGCATAAAAAGGAATCAGAACAATAAATGTAGGCATAACGACTGAAACAAACAACAAACAAAAAGCAAGGTGGTTAAAAGGCCTTTAGCTGGCCCCAAAACTGTAACATATATAGGAGTAGAAGTACTGTTTGTCTTATTATTGAAATTCCCACTTTTACAAAGTAAACCTTCATTTAGACTTGAAATACACATAATTAACTTGTTTGGGCTTCAATAGTTCATGGTGTTTTTACAAATACTCATACCCAAACTAAATAATTGATATAAGGGCTTGGTCACAATATATCAGTGTGAGTTTTAAAGGATGAGAATCTGGAAAAGCAAGGATCCCTCTTTAACTAGAACTGAAATTGATGGGCACCCTCCCCTTTTAATTCATGTTTTTACTTTGACCTCCCTCCCCCCTCCTCCTCTTAACTGTTTAGGGAAACATGAATGAAGATTACCTTTTTCGTATTTTGACGCGTGAAGTTTTGATTAATTGGCGTCCACGTTACGCATAAGGCGAGAATATAAGTGCCCTAGCTTTATAGGTGAAATAATCAAAATAGGAGAGTTATGCAGAACATATCCTACCTTTATCCTCCTCTGGATATTTGCTTAAATAACATAGTCACTACCGATATCAGTCTCATTTACTCTCGTGTTCACTAGGCTTGTGGAAAGATGATAACCTCCGCATTTTTTAAATAAAGAAAGGAAAGCCAGCCGCCTCACAGCGGATAGTTCTTTTGTGCATGAGCAAATTGCTTATTTTCAAAGCTCTGCCTGAAGATTAAAATTTAATGGCAGACCCAGGACTATTGTTCGCTACCATTTCTCATTCATTACTTTCTTGTAAATGAAGGCGATTTCTGGTAAAAATTTTAGTTTGGAAATATCTTCGTAACCATATACTGGATTTTCCGCGAATTTCTCATCAATTGACGTTACTACCTGTCTCCCATTTGAAATTAATGAAGATTGCTCTACCTTGACATATATCACATGACATTCAGTTACACTTCCGGTAATTCCCAGAAGACGAGGTTTTAGGCTACTGCGCGGCGGGCAAACAAGATCGATTCTACGCATTATGGAGCGATATTTGTCGTTCCACTGGCATAATAATGTATCGTCAGACACAGCCACCACACCGGAGTTAGTCCAACTTCACGAAGATTCAAGGTAAGTAAGTGAATGTCGGCGGTCTGTATGCGATCTCCATCTGAAGGTAGTGTATGAGAGTACGATTAGACATTTTGGTTTGCAATAAGGACCTCTGGAGCGAGAATTTCTTTTTCTTCAGAAGTAGAGGTACCTATTTCAAGCTACCTCTTTTTGACATATGAATAAAGTTTTTCATTCATTCATTCATTCATTCATTGATAAATCCATCACGTCCATTTTAAAGTTGATGTTGAGACACTGAAGTATCACTTTCAACGACAACAAAGCGAACAGAGTCCAAGGTCTCGATATCGTCCTTTTTGATGTCACGCACTTTTGTTGAATCGACAACGAGTAAATGAATAACTTATGCATGTTAAAAGAATAATGGAATATTAGAGTGTACAGTCAACTTAACGAGGGAGTGAATGAACAAAAAACATAATACATCATGGGAATGTAACACATCGGTGGGAATGTAATTGACATGTGCTGTGTGTTTTTGAAAACCATGCTAAGACTTGAGACAAAATTCCTATGGTTTCCTTCACAAGTTTTTTTATTGTTGTTGTAAAAGACATGTGACAATATTGCTAGGAAAGGGTAAAAGGATTCACACTCTTTTTATTGTATGGCAACTTTAACATGAACCTGAAATTTCCATGTAAGGACAGCATCAAAATTGCTACATTTTCACCATAATTTTCAGACACTGATTTGCTGTTTGATACTGGTAATCATTGATAGGAATAGAGAGTATGGAAAAGGATAAATCTGAGGTAGAAATAGGAGACAGTGAGACTACTGCAATTTTCAATTTCTTTTGTGCACTTTATTGTTTTTGAAGATTTCTTTTGGGGCTAGCTTCAGATTGTCCTTTTTTTCCAACACATATGTGGAAGAATTGTATTAATTGGGATGTTAAGGGCCTATCAATCAACCAATTAATTGATTGATTAGAATGAAATTAACAGTTAGAGGACATATACATATTCCAACACTTGTTTTACATCCAGCAGGTAATAATATATGAGTATAAATCATTACTCAGTCGGAACAATAATTTATAATGTGACATTTCTCATCTTTCAACTTAAAGAGAACTGAATAATTCAAGAATTCAGGCAAAAGGGGATGTTAATAACAAACAGTTTTCTGTGGAATCCATCTTATATTACTTTTAAGATCATAGGCATCTTCACTTCACAAACTCCCCTCCAATTTATCCAGTTTTAAGTAGAGATTTGCTATTAAAATTGTCTTAAAACATTCAAACTTCAATAGACACTATGAGGAAAACCAGTCTGAGAGTAAAGTGTGCAGGCAGAAGTTACCAGTCAGTGGTTTGATTGAGGTTTTAGTCCTACTTTCACTTGTGAACTTGTTGGCCATGAAGAAAAAGACCCCCAGAGAAAACTCAAACTTGCAGCTGTATCTCAGAATATTTTGTCTAAATGCTTCATAATCACAAATTGGCATTTTTTTAGCATCCAGACTGTTTACATACTTTTAGTGACAATCTGTTTCCAATGGTGTACTGGTACAAATGTGTTAAATCATATTCCCACCATTGAAAAGAGGGATGACTGAACCCCTGCTATGGGTTCAAATTAATTTATAAATTAAAAATTGTTGGCTGACATCTACAGAACTTGTAGATCTTGGCAAGCAATGGTTAATATTTAAATTTAAGCCTTGTGAGGTTATGGCACCACAAGTTCAATTGGGCAAGGCCAAAAAATATTATGTAATTAATGATGTTGGAATATGGTACTTTTTGCAGATTTTCTCCTTTTTTTCGTCAAAGTGATGGAATGAGCTTAGCTAGGCCAAATGCTTTCGCAAAAATGGCAGACCCTGTGAAAACCATGACAGACATTTTTTTACAAATGACACCAAACTCAACTAAAATCTTAAATAAGTAACGAATACGCAGCAACCCCAAAGGATAGCTGCTGCCCAAAAAATGCATGCTCACAAAAGCTCTCTCCACCCTATGATACTCCCTTTATATTGCACATATTTGAGGTTTGCACCTTATGTATTTCGTATGTCACAGCATTCCACTCCTTTACCTTTTTCAGAACACAAAATTTAGAGAAAGAGATACAACAGTTAAAGGAGAGGTAGGTGTCTTCATGGTTGGTTCTCATTTGCCCTGAAAACCTTTTGGCCCTTTTTTATTTGTTTGGTTAGCACTTAGCATTAACTAAAGCCAAAATTTACGTCTTGGCTTTCTATTTATTTAATTTATTTGTTCACCTGTGATTAGTGGCAAAAATCTAAATGTGCTTGCTCTTTTATTTTTTTATTTCTTTCTATCTATAACTCTCAAAATTTACCTTGCCCCTCATCCTCAATGTTGCCTATTGTTCAAAACAAAAGGTCACTAATTACCTAAATTGATAAAAGAAAGAGGGGACTCTCAAGTAAGTACCAAGTGACATAAATAAAGTAACAAGTAAGTTTCAAGGAACATGTTGGAGATGAACTACAAGAATTTTTTTTATTATGTTGACCATAGGGTTGCCAACTATTACTTAGGGGAGGGCATGCCAACTAATTTTGTCACTTATTGTTTGATGTGTTCTCGAAATGTTAAGACATCAGTAAAACTCAGACAATATTTAAGTCACCTTTCGGCCTAAATTTAGCTAATTGTATGTAGATTTTGTGCAATTGTATATTGTTGGATCAATATGGTGAAGTAATAACAGACGTTCCCATTCTCATTATTATGAAGTGATAAATATCAAAAAAGGGAATGATATAATTTTTCTAAAACTTTATCAAACTCTCACTGAACAAGTTAAAGCATATCTACGTTTTCTGAGCATTTAGTACGTCTTTATTTCCGAGAGGCTCATAGTATTCTAACTGTGTTCTAGGTTCAAGCAGTGTATAGGTGTGTTATATGAGAAGAAAAAACCAGCTGATAAAAAACCCTCATAACTTGTATTACAGCACTTTTTTTTGTTGTTTTCTTTTCTAGACTAGGCGCGTCGGAAAAACGTCTAGCTTTGAAAGAAGAAGATTGCCAAAGGTGAGCAAGACTTTGCAAATAAAGCAGATGCTGATAGTTCTCAGAGATTTCCCTGTCTCAGTCATTTAGTAGTTCTTTTTATCTTTCTTTGCTTGCTGAAAGATTATTCTTCCTTATCAACATTGCATTCATTCATCTCTCTTTTTGTTCCTTTACACATTGTTTTAATTCGTCTATCTCATTGCTATCCGTTTTGCCCCAATTTTTTAAAGTATTTTTACCTACTTCAGAATTAAAGGAAGAATCAATTAGAACATTTTACAATACTGAGGTACTATTTATGGGGCGCTCTCACGGCGATAATTAATGACAGAAATACAGATTTTCACTATTGTCTCTGATGCCATACATCTCTTGCAGAACAAGCCATTTTTTTTTCTCTTGCATCCTGTGGATCTATAAAATACTATAAGTATTAATACTCTTATTTCTATGACGAGTGATTTAAGTTTTAAATTTAACATTTTGCTTTCAAAATACTGAGATACTATTTATGGAGCGCACTCATGACGATAATTAATGGCAGAAATACAGATTTTCACTATTGTCCCCGATGCCATTCATCTGTTACAGAACAAGCCATTTTTTTTCTCTTGAATCGTGTGTTTATAAAATATTATTGGTATTAATACTCTAATTTCTACGACGAGTTATTTACATTTTAATTATTTGTTGTTTTTTTTTTTTTATAGACTGAAATCTGAAAAGGAAAAGATGGAAAGTCAATTCAAAAAAGAAATAAAAGCGATAGAGAATCAGTTAAATGATAATCGCCAAAGGTAAGGCCTGGATTTACACTAAATGCGGTGTGTAAGTAAGGAAATTGTGCCTCGATGACGATGACGATGTGCTCTGACGAAACTGCCTGAGGTCCAGGAAAACACGAATTAACAAGGCACGATTGGATTAGCAAAACCAACTCGATCGGAATTAGTTTCAACACTCAATTAAAAATTGCTCCTGAACAGTGACTATGATGGCTGATTGTTATTGCAATTTATGCTACTTCTTCTTGTTTACCAACCACTGATGTTTGGTGATGGAATGTTGTTCAAAGTATTCTATGGGCATTGATGAGCTTGTCAACTGTTGACTTGAAAGTTCTGCACCATGCCTTGTTATGATCACATTGTTTATACTAGTAATTTTGATTCCCAACGTGCTTTAGGGGAGATAAAAATATAAGCTCAATAGTTACCTCTAAGCTTTCAAGACGTCGCGGATTTTACTCGACGGAAGATGCCTAATTGAGTTATTTATTGTACGGAAAATAACGCACGAGCTGTTATAGAGTAACTGAAGCCTGCTTTTCATATTGAATATTTTTAATAGTCACAATGCAGAAAAGCGGCATTTGGAAAAAAGATTTACCAAAGAGCTTACGGCAAGAGATCGAAAGCTGACGGAAGTTCAAGAGCGGTAAGATCAATTACCGTATTTCTTCACCTATAACCCGAGCGACTTTTTCAGTATTTGACACAAAAGTTTGAGAGATTTTTCCACAAGAAACGGGATTCGGCTTACAGCTGGGGGTTTGGGATTCAAAAACAAGTAAAATTGGGTTAAAATTGTCATGACAACAAGGAATTTCTGACCACCAATCAGATTCTTTGCTTCCCACGCATTGAAAGACAATCTCACTCAACTTGGCAAAACTCTTCACATTTCACATTAAAAATAAAATGTTTGGTCTCTCTCTGCTGAGAAAACCACTCCATCACTTTCTCCTTTAGTTCGGAATACTTGGGAGTGAAACGGCCCATTTTTGCACGTTTTGTAGACATCTTAAGCTCACCAGAAAGAACAGTTGCCTGGTCTCTTCTCCAGCATCGCACCATGGACTCCCAAAGTCCATAAATCTTGAGCGATTTCTGAGTTTTGCTTCAGCGTAACTTTTACCTTGAAATCCATTTTATACGAAGAGCGGCATCTTTTGGCGCGATGAGAAAAATAACAGCAACGAAAGAGATACTCGATTGAAACGCTTGTCAGGTTACAGAAACTGAGAATATTGCTGTCGCGTGGTAGTATTTACATCTTTACTGATTCGCTTTTCTCCTTTTGTGTTTATTTTAATTTATTAGCTTTTGTGTTCAGTGAGCCATTTCCCAGTGTTTCTCAAGAGGTTCGTAACGCACGAGTTGTCTTTAGAGTAACCAAAGCCTGTTTTCATATTTATTGCTTATAATAGTCACAATGCAGAAAAGCAGCAGATGGTTAAAAGATCTACAAGAGAGCTTACGAAAAGAGACCAAAAGCTAGCTGAAGTGCAAGAGAGGTAGATCAATTATGCTTGAGTTAACTGTTTCTCATTCACCAGAGAGTGCGCGGAATGATAGCCTCAGGTGCGTCTGAACTTTGCTGTACTTTTTAACATTTTAACATTTTATATGTTTCCTTAATGCGTTAATCGAAACGTAAAACACTTAGGAAGGTAAGAGAGCAAGGAGGATGCGTATGCGAGAGCTATAACCCAGCTTTTCGAATGTGCCTACATGAACCATTGCGAGGACCTGAACTAGACGCAAATACATGTATGCGTCTAGTTTACACATCCCTCACCTTAATATCATTTCTCCCTTAAGAAAGAGAGAAAAAGAAACTATGTAGCTTTTCCTTGTAACTGACTAGGTACAAAGGCCGTTGAACTTCGGAAACTTTCAAGAGCCTGTTCGGACACGCACCACAGTTTCTTATACATGGTACTGAAGAGGTTATGAATAGAATACCAAAAAAAAAAGAAGATTTACTCCGTAACATCAAACATGCATGGCACTAAGGCCTCCGGCTATTACAAGCTTTTGAGATAAATCAAGGTCGTTACGAGATTGTGTACTTTTTTCTGCGAGGTTGAAACAAGAAGAGGCGTCGAAAGAGGAATGGAAGGAAAAGACAGAATTCTACTTGGCGAGGTAAAATTGATGTAGTGTTTTATTCTAAATTCATTGAATTATCTCCACTCCTACTTAGTTACCAACTAACTGACGGGGTGACCAAGTGCGTGTTGCTCGACTGACTGAAGGGCTGACAAAATTACTGTGTAGCCGCACAAGAAAACCTGTAATGGTGAGTTTGTTCGGAAGTTTTGGTCTCATTCTACACCATTGGCAGATGGAGAAATATGAACTTCTAAATCAGCGACAAACAATTAGAATTCGACCACTCGCGCTATTCAAGTACCGTTCACTAGAAATTCGGTCCTAAAGTTTCTTCTTTAAAACACGGATTGCGTCAAGTTAACGAAAAAACCAATGATACTCCTACGTTCATACCCCTCGTGAGAAACCCACAATGTTCAGGGCGCTACCTTATTCAAGATGGGTGCCCCAATAGATTTTTCTGAAATTTTTCCATATTTCTTCTTAAAAAAGGCACTACGACCAAGCTGAATATGCTCAAAAGGCATCCTCTGCACTTAGCCTCAAACTTTCTTGGTGTTTGACAAACATTTTTTAAATTTATTCTAAAAGAATATTTAAGAAAGTGTTATTCAAAGGAAAGAGTTTTTATAAAGAGGAAAATTAAACACCTATTCCTTCTCGTTATGGCTCAGTTTTGAGAAACGCTTTTTATTCGACATGCATACTATTCTTGATAGTGTCAACACCATACAATCCAACACGGACAAACATTTCTTCTCATGTGGAGTTTTTTACTAATATAATAGAAGTTTTCGATACCGTTGATCATAACACACTACTCAGGGGTGCACCAGCTTTTTGGCTTGTTTTAGGCATCTTCAGTGGTCTAAAAGCGTGCTAACCTAGTGCTTTAACGTTACAAGATTTGTTCTTGGTTCTTCTTTGTTATTAAGATCTCGGAAGTACATATGTCGTGGCGAAAGTTCACTTCTTGTCTTAAACTTTACAAGAGTCAGTAAAAAAGTCAAACGGGGAAAAATCCTAGTTGCGGGCCTTTGGGTCTATAGGCTAACTACGCCCCAGCCTGTACTTAATAAACTTTAGCCAGTTTCATCTAATTTAGAGGGTAAAACGCTGACAAATCAGGTTGGTTCATGCATTTCCAAGAAAACCACCACCTGCTCATGTATGATCTACCACAACAATCCGTGCTAGGACAACTGCTCTTTCTGTAATACATTGTGAAGTTCATGATCACTGTGGTTCCATCTGACACACACTCTTTTGTCTTTTCGCCGATGGCACCAATATTCTCTGCGCTGACAGAAATCTATCTATAGAAGAAACTAGGAAGCACTCAATAAAGAGGAATATAACAATATAGGGCTTCGTCCCTATTAAAAACGTATCTATCAACCGAATGTTCATGTTCTTAACAATTACTTTGGCAGACAACAAATATTTCAGATACCCTGGGGTAATAATAAATCATTCCTTGCTTTTGAAATATCACATCGATTATATTGCAGATCGAATAAGTAACAGTATAACTAATTGCGAAATTAAGACACTTTTTTTAACACTAACGACTCTTTTGAATGTGAGGAGAACATGATGTCCTATTATTTTCATGTGTGAGTGTTTATCAATCCCTTTTTGTCCCCTAAAAAACTTATGGATTAACTACCAGGGGTCAAGCCCTAAAGATACATCTGGATAAGATTTTTAGTTCTGCGAGAGCGGGCCTTGCGCTTAATGACTTTGCAAACAGAAATGATCTTGCAATAGTTTTTCTCTTTTTAAGCTGGTGTCACACCTTTAAGATCCTTCAACCTTCCTTTATTACGAATCATTATTTTATTATGGATGATGTCAGCACTGGCAATGCACCATCGAAAATGTTACACATGTTTACTTATGCTTTCAAAATTCACGATTAAAATATGTGGTCTTCTTAACTGCCAATAATTTTTAGATAGAAAAATCGAGATTAAAACAGAAAACAAAGCTACTTTAAGAATCACCGTAAACTATGGAATGAGATCCTATCCTTTAAAAGAAATCTCAGCACTATATTTCATGAAATTGTAAGCGAAGAAAATTTCTTTTTCAACATGTCACACAACATGAAAAAAGTGTTAAATTAAGTGAAAGTAATAAACAATAGTATGTCCGAAGGAGTTGGTATTAATCCTAATTAGTGCTTAAGTACATGTATGCACTTATATGGCGGTAAGTAATAATTCGTTCCTTGTACTTCTTGCCCCTGTTCTTTATTTTTGTCACTATCATTTATTAGGAATGTACTCGCTTATTTGCCAGTAAGTCCAATGCAACAATAAGCAATATATAATGTGTCAAAAAAATAATAACATTTATGTGTTGCAACTGATAACTTTCTCAGCTTCGAGAATGTTCGTGACAGCTTTAACATGTACCTCAAGAAGCAGGCTGCAGAAGAACAGGAATTACGTAACAGGTTGGTATCCAGAGTTGTTTATATTGCTGTTCTCTCAGTTGGTTTGATGTTTATTCGCTACTTCATTTTTTGAAAGAACAACGTATTTGGCGTTGCCCTAAAGCAATAAGTCATTTCAAACAATTTTTTTTCATGATAGCATTAGCACGGTCTGTTACTATTGTTATTTTTTGGGGGGTGGTTCGAGTCCGTCTTAAATACACGCGTATTCTTATTGTTTTAGTTTTAGACATTTTTATTTCACTTTTTGATCATGGTGATCTGTTCAAGGATTCATTTGATTTGAAAATATATCCATGTTTTAGATTCACTTTAAGTTTGTCGAAAAAAGACGAGGAGTTACGAGTTCTCCGGGAACAATTAAGAGACAAGACAGTGAGGTACTTCACCTACAATGTTATTGTTTTCAGCAAATAGAAGTATGTGAATATACCGCAGCTTGCCAATTATAATTATTATTTTTTTTGTAGCATATAATTTTGACCTTGTGGTTCCTTTATCCTCTCCAAAGAGTATTCGTTAGGCTTAGTGAATCTATCCTGCAGGTGAGTTGGGTTGAGAGAAATAGCACAAAAGACAACCCTAAAAAGACTCATGCTTTGACTGGACTCGACCTTATGCCTCCCAGGTATTTGCAAAGCGCTACTGCAGCATTAAAAAGGTTTAATAATATTTCTTTACTTGTCATCATTCGAGGACAAGAGTATATGAAGAACACTGACTCATAATTAGAGCTGCGACAGTTGTTCTTTCAATGAGCATTGTTGTCTTTCGTGTTTATAATCATCAAATCCTTTTCATTCTGTATAAATTCCATACTTTTACGGGATGAGAAATTTGCGGTCCAAATTTTAGAACTAATTGCCAGCCACAATCTTGCTTGTCCTTTCTGCTTACAGATTGGCGATAAGTTTTGAAAAGCGACTGAAGCAAGATCAACGACGAGTTGAAAATACTGAGGAATCAAACACACCCAGTGACATAGAAAAAAACTTCAGCGACTTTTTCGATGGAGAGAGGCTTGACGCTTGTGACGAAATCGAGTTCGTGTTGGGCCTATCCAGAGAAATCGAAGAGAATATTCATTATCCAAGATTAGCTTGCTTGATATTGGAGGTAATCATCATAATGTAGCAGTAAATAATTTAAGATCGAACCTAACTTAATATTACATCAAACCAGAAAAGCCTGTTCGAGGAACAGAGAAGCTGACGTTTAAACGGGACTCTCAGCGCTCTTAACCCGACAATTGTAACTGATCTGCTGAATCATAACCAGTCGAGACATGTAGTAAATCTCATGAACTTTTAATAACATGACTTAAGGGGCGGGCGTCATCACCATTTTTGTTGTCGATTCGTTTAAGGTTGTCATGTCCAGTGCATGAATGACACACTTATTCAGCAATTTTTGAGAAATTTTGCCGGCCCTCAGACTCAAATCACTTACATGTGATTTGGTGCTTCAAATAGCGAAATCAGGATGTCTTCACTATTATCAACTTAACTCATGACACGACAGAAGTGTTGCATAACCAAACGCTCCTGCATGTTGGATTGGGCTGTTAACAGCTCCGGCCAGTTCCGTGGTTCATAAAAAGAATAGGTACTCAATGTATTACGACCACCTTTAATGAAGATAACAACAGCATTCCGCCAATTTGCGAAGGCATGCCCATCCAATATCCATAACACATTGCGCACTCACAAAGTAAAGCCAAAATGTCGAGACATCTATTACAGGCTTTAAAATATTCTAATTATATTAAAATTATGCGATGATTTTGAGTATTTTTGGAAACATTTCTTTTATAGACTGCTTACGAACAGGTAAAAGAGGCAAGGGATGCCGCTTGTGATTTGTTCCAAAACGTTACTAGTCAACTAATTGAGGAAGCTCCAAGAATGTGCCAGGAATTGTGTCACGCAAGAAAGGTCTGGATGTACATAACTAAAAGACCGTCACTATATCCTATATACTCTTGTCTCATTCACAAGGCATTTTGAGAGGGTGTACATGCATGTGTACACTATTATCATTGAATCACAATACGATTTAGATGCACGTAATAGCCCATCCTCTTCCCCGAAGTTATTTTTTTCTTATTATTTTCATGATAACTATTATTGATTTTTAGATTGATTTTTTAGATTTTGTTTTGAACGTCTTTTCCTCCCAGTTGATGACTTAACCTCTCAATGTGTACAAATTATGGAAATGCTCCTTTAAGACAAACTGATTTCAACTGTGCTTAATCAATTGCGGGAATTAAAAGGTCGACGATCAAAAAATAAATAGATTTAAAAATAAATGAAAAAGAAAGAAGAAGTTGTCCTATGTATTGGCCCTCTGTTCTCTAAATATGGACTTAGGCTGTATTTTCATTCAATTGCTTCCTTATGTTTCTCAGTTCAAGGAGAGTGGTGCTTCTGCTCAGTTACCTGAAACATTCGATCTTCTAACGGGGAGAATTGATAAAGGAATATCAATGGATGTACTGGATGGAATGATGCTTTCCTTGAAAGAAACGTCACACTTGGGTAACCTTGACTGCTTCCAGAAGGTATGTGATAAATAAAGAATGAAACATGGGCACGCGTAGATATGGAATTTCTCCTCGAGTGTCAAACGTATTAGCTCACGAGAGAACACAGCGAACGAGTGAGATATCGAGTTGAACATGAGGAGGGAAATTCTATATCTAGAAGTAACCATGTTTTTTTTTACAAACACAAAAGGCCTTGACCGACTAGAAGATTCGATTTGATTAATAAATGAAAAAGTTGTAAAGAGCGTCGGTGATAAGGCTTGGAATGAAAGAATGCTTTTAATAATTACAAAAACAAACGCTGGGCATAAGTTTTACTGCAAAAAATTATCAGTTATTGACTTTTTCCATACCAATAGAAGAAGTCTCTTCAGGTACATGGCCAAAATTGACCTGTGGCAAAAATAACAGTAGGAGATTTTCGTGCTCTGCCAATCGCACAGTATGACGCAACAGTACGAAACAATCCTGGAAAATTCACCCAGCCACACCAGCTTTTCCATTTTAATCGAATCTTCCGGATAATTTTAATCAAAGTATTATGCGTAATATATTTCTGTTGACGTCATCAAGTTCAGCTTATCTGAAATCTGGATATCACGATTATTTAAATTATTTTCATTTTTATATCAGTCATCATTATTTTTGTTATTATAAAAGCTGAGGAAGAGAGAAATTCCCAGGATATGTCATCATGGTGAAAGTATTGGCGAACAGCTCTTTTTCAGATTCATTTTATTAATATCTACATTTATTTTTTTATTTTAGTTTTGAAATTCTTCATAGTGACTATTTCACCCTATTTGATGTTTTAACTTCTCAAAATACCCTTAGGATGTCAGGAAGATTGTGTGGGAACGTTGGACAAATTGCATGTCCGAAAGGGAAGAATCATTCCTACCCAGGCCTTCAGAGGATGTGTTGACACAACTCGGTGACTACATAAAGGCATGCATCAGGCTAACATGGAGAATGGTTACACAAGTTCCACCAATGCAGCTTGAGTATGGGGCTGTGCAATTTGACAAAGATTTGCATAAACTGGCGAGATTCCAGAATCGTGCAGAATTATGCCGTGGCGCAGATCATCTTACTGGGCAGATTATTGCCTGTTATTTGTGGCCTGCACTTTTAGAAGCAGGTGGTCGAACTATTTTTCTAGGAGAGGTTATGTGTGAGCCTGAATCGTATGATTATGTTATGATTCCTGATCTTAGATACCCTGAATTAGATTCATAAACTCCCCCACAAAATCTTTCAGAGTGAGGTCACACGTTACAAAATAAACATTATGGATATAAAATATCTGCGAAATTGAAACATTGCAAAAGGATGCATATAATTCACTCGTTTGTTGATCATTCTAAGACTGGATGATATCTTCACACCTTGCCGGTTGAAGAAGCAGCTCACTAATCAAACAAAAATTAGCAATATAGATTTGAGACCAGCGTCTTAATTCGTCCTTTTTTTCGGTTCACAAATAAGGGCTAGCCATCGAAATGGCTCAATTTCGGCAGCTTGGAGAAATCTTTCAAGTAGACTGAGGAAGTGTAAATAGGGAGTCATTTTATAACTTTTCGGTTTCGGTTTTTTTTGGGAAAATCCCCTTGTTTTTAAATATCTTGCAAAACAAATGAATGGATGTTTCGTGGCACTCAATTTTAATGCTTTCAAAGCAAATTTCTATGTTGAGATTTTCCTGCAAATAATGCCAAATTTATTCCTTCATCGGGATTATACAAGGAATGTGTTTAACAATAAAGTTCGCATCTGTGTTTCCGTCACATACTCTCTCTCTCGTTACTCAATAGTTATGAAATTAAGAAGGAATTTGTTTCCTGTGTAAACAGGATATTTTTATTTCATGACCGTTGATCGTCACTTGACTCTGGGAATTTCCCTTCCTGTTTGGGTTTCTCAGAAAGGACACTTCAAGTCGATCTTCGAAACAATGAATGGCGAGATATCATATCACTGAATTTCTGTTGAGGAAAAGACAAGACAAACCCTAGGGAATGGCTTCAGAAGGTAATGATGTTCATACTGCTAGAATTTTTAAGCGATCAGTTTTTTTAAAGCATTGGATCATACATCCGTTTATCAGTTCACGTAAAAGCTACAATGTCCACCACAATCCTTAACAATTCTTGTTATCAGGTTATCAAAGCTCTTGCACTCAGGAGTGGTGACAAAATGATGCACTCAGTTATACTTTTTACATTTTCCATCGCAGAAGGTTACATCATTTTGTTCAAGATATGCTTCTAAATCAAAATTATGTCATCCATCCAGTTCAAACAGATTACTGCAAACAGACCTTCAGTTCATTTTTTCGCGGTCGATTTCGTTTTTCCTTTCAATGATATGCCCCCCTGTTCAGGAATAAAATGACTCTAAAAAGGTTCAAATGTGTCCTCTTCGAGCCAAGTGCTGTGAATCATTGTAGTTGTGGTGTACCTACTAAATTCAACATGCAAGAAGAAATTTAAGAATTCCGAGAAAAGCAAACAGTAGTGCGCTTTGACCTTGATGACAAGTGTCACGAGACTGTGCATAATATTTCATCACAGAACCTTCCTTAACTAAAGATTTGTCATCTTCTATTTGTGAAAACAAAGTGATTTTGGGCTTTCGGAAAGGACAACCAACTGTCTCCCTTAGGGGCAGTTAAAAAGCGTATATCAAAAGTGTTAAATGTTCAAACGAATGAAATGGCTAAACTCATGATCAGTTTACTTTCGTTTCTTCTTTGCTTCAATGTAGCTTTGCTCTAAGAGCTTCTCTGCCATTGCAGCATGTCTAGTTTTTATGCAATACTCTTTTCATAAGTCCCAGCATAATTGATTGAACTTCATTACTAAATATAGGAAGGAAAAGAATTCAGGAAAGAAATAGTTTCGGTGCCCAAGGTTGTATATATAAAGCTTGCATATTTTTGATGCCTGTGTGGAGTCGAGTTTACGACATTAACGATTAAATGAGTGTAGATAGATGAAAATCTTATATGTGAACTGCGGATTAAGAAATGCATATGAAAGCGCTCTTCTCAGTTATGAACATCACTCGAGCAGTAGTGAAAGTAAGGCCTGAAATAAATTGAGGCTTGTATGGGATTTGAATCCATGAACTCTGCGATACCTGTGCAGCGACCTACTAACTGAGCTAACGAGCCAGGTGAGAGCTGGTCAGTATTTTGGTTCGTAATAAACCCATGAAGTGACGGATAAATGGCTGTAAATATGAAAATCATATATGTGAACTAATGTGATCGGTTTCGAACAAAAATTATCAGCCTTGAATTGTTCCTCAAGTGTAAATTTCGCATAACGGGATCAAAGAAACATCGTCGGTTATTTTTTCGATGGGCATTTCCCTTGAAGTAAAACCAAACTTAGAAAGCAACACAAGTTATTTGATTTCATAAATCAATAATTGAATGCATGCATCATCTACATTTTCATACCTTTCTGTCAAAAAAAAACCTCCATCAAATCTTTGAGAGGTCATACGTTACGTTAATAGAGGTCTCTACTTTCCCTTGCGTTTCAAGGCTTTTATAGTTTAGACACAGACATTATGAGTTCTAAATATCCATGGCATTAAAATATTAAAGCCGATGAATGTAGAATCGTTCGTCGATCATTCCAAAACTGAATGTTAAATATTACTCTCTAAAAAAGGACCAACAACAAGACGAAGAAAGATTGAGAGGCAGCATCATTGTCTGTTTGCTGTTGATATGTTAATTAGATTTATGCATTAAAATGGCGTGACTTGTGATGCCTGGGATAAATCACTCAAGTGGACCGAGCAAATGTAAACGGGAAGTCATTTAATGACCTTTCGGTTTCCGCTTATTCCGGGAAATTTCCCTTGTTATTAAGTGTCTTGCAAAGCAATCGGTCGATCTTTTGTGTCCTTAAATTTTACTGCCGTCAAAGCAATTACACAAGGCTAAAAATATTTCCCGACTGGGAGTGTATTTTCCGAGAAATTCAACAGGAAGAGAAAATTATTTCGTAAGAAAGAGAATAGGGCACTTTATTTCGTAATCTTATCTTCGTGAGATACTTCTCGAACGTTGCCTGATAGTCGTGAAATTAGGAGGGAATTCAATTAGGTTTTATTTTCTGTTGAAACAGGATATTCTAATATCATGACCCTTGATCGTCGGTTAATTCGGGGAGTTTTCCTTTCTGTTTGGATGTCTCGGAAAACACGGTTCAAGTCAGTCTTCGATCCTTTGAATGACGAGACATATTATCACAGAACTCCTGTCGAAGAAAAGACAAGAAAAATACAAAAGTATGGCTTCAAAGGGTAATGTTGTTCATACCGGTAGAATTTTCATAAAAATTAATTTCAGAAAGGTCAAATCTTTGAATTATACATTCGTTTACCAGCTCATGCAAGAGCTACACTGTCAACCACAATCCTTAACAATGATTTTTTTCAGGTGATCACAGCTCTTACACTCAGGAATGGTCACAAAAATGAGCATTCAGTCACACATTTTAGTTTACTTTCACAGCAGTTGGTAATTTCGCTTAGAATATGCTTCCAGATCAAAACTATGTAATCCAACAAGCTCCAGAAAACATTTTAGATTTTTTCCTTGTTGACATCTGCTAAGGAAATCAATAGGTTTCTGAGAAAAAAAAAATGTTTTTTTTTGGCATGATGCCATCCGTGGTGACGTTTCTTGTGAAAGCATTGCCAGCCAAGTTTGTGTCCACATAAATTTTGGCCGAGCAAGATGGCTGATTTATTGTCCAAAACTTACATCTAATATACTCAATTATTAACGAATTTTGATTTGTTTAGCTCTAACAAAGGTTAGACCACGAAGACAAAAAAGGCATAAAGTGCTCATACTACAAAAACACATTAAATAAAAGGGATGGAGGTATGCAAGGAGAGGGTCAAACTTGCAAAGTGCGTCAGGTCAGGAGACAAAATATAACGAACTCGAGAGACATGCCACGTCTTATATCGCTTGATCCCTTGATGTTTAGTAGAACGTTATGTTGACACTCTGTTCCCATCCCTTATGATTATAATTTTATGATTCTAGGTTAATTTGGTATAATATCAGCTAAACGAATCATTCTTTTGGTTTCATTCATTTTGCACTCAGCTACGTTTAAAAACAAGTACTTACTGAAACGGAAAAGAAAAGAAAAAATGTTGTACAAACTTGCGAGTTCTCAAGAAAACACATTTGCCATAAAAAAGTAGAACCTTTTTAGTTTTCCAAAGATCGTTAAAGATTTACAGCTCTTCTATGTTCTACTTCTCTTCTTATTGTATCTAATGCAATTGCTGGCAAATTTGACATTGAAACATTATTCAAGTGTTATTGTTTTCACAGTTCGTTAGGGGCAGTATTCTGCAAAGTCTGCAATCTGATTGGTTCCGAGAGCGCGCAATATTCTCCCATCCGACCCGCTCCCAGCGGGTGGTATCCATTTCATGTTGAGCCGCTTTGCAAAACATCTCTATGTAGAAAAAAAATGTTTCAAAGTTTGCTTGGAAGCCTTTTAAATTAACTTTACCATTACGCAAATAAAAATGTCGCAATCCAGTCTCCCTCTTTAATTTGAATAACCTTTGTTTTCATTGTTATCTACTCGCTCAAAAACTGTTCAGGTTATGGAATTACGGCTCTTATCATTAAGGATAGGGATAAAAAAATAAAAATGTTATTTACCAGCTAAGGTCGGTCCGTATTGAGTAAAAGTGTGCCCTATGTCTTACGTATTATGAATATCAAGTATTAGTATTATGTATTATGAATGATTTTTTATTGTATTTTATCAAGCCTCAAATAAGAACCTAAAGGAAGACTAAGAATGTGATCAGCTTTGTCCTCAGACAAGCTTAAACTTTGCTTGCACCAAGACTCATTTATAATCACTTCCGCAGTTGTTTGCTAAGAAAATTGTCGGTTTCGAATTCGAAGAGATCGTCGGTCATATGGTCTAAAAGAGGTAAGAGACCTGTGAAGGAGTAAGAGATTGGCTATCTCGTTGCTTCCTTATCTGAGAATATTTAGATCCATTAAACATCCAAGTTGATCTACCTGCCAGATACCTAAGAGCTAAAGCTGATCAAACTTACGCAGGTCTAATAGTATGGTGTTATTACATTTGCAGTTAAAGAAAATCCGTCCGATGATTTTAAGAATCCATACATTGCCGTGGTGGCGATAGACTTTGGCACTTCATACACTGGCTTTGCCTTTTCATTTAACAAAGGTAATGAACAAGACGCGATTTTCATGAACCGGGACTGGACGAATGAACAGGGAGGCAGAACGAGCAAGACTCCGACCTGCCTGCTCCTTAATTCAGATCTCAGTTTTAACTCGTTTGGCTACGATGCAATGGAAAACTATGCACAGCTACAAAATGAACACGAGGAGCAGAAGTACTTCTTCTTTCAGCATTTTAAAATGGCACTCCACAACGATGAGGTATAGTAGCTGCTTAACAATTACCTAGAAATCTGGGATCAATATCAGTATCTGGGCAACTGGCCACCTACCCCTCCCGTAACTCAACAACAGTCAATTGATAACAAGTTAAGGTTAATGTTGGGTTAGGGGAGGGGTAGGTGGGCAGTTGCCCAGATACTGATATTGATCCGAAATCAGTATCGAATCTTAATCCAAATCGTCTTAGATGAAATGAAGTTCCTTTCCTTTGGCACCTGACTATCGAATTTTAATACCCTCAATGGAGTTTTATGTAATCAGAAAACCTTTCTACACTGGAAAATGTGGTACTCAGGTGAGAATATTCGGCGTCCCATGCGACAATAATTAGCGACCTCTAGAGTGCTACAAAGTGTTTTGAGTACTCTCGTTTAAAATATTTTCCCACTGATTGGTTATATATTATTAGAAACTTAACAAGGAAACATCCATTAAAGCTGCAAATGGAAAAGAGGTTAAGGCCCAGACTGTGTTTGCACTTTCAATCAAGTTTTTGAAAGACGAAGCAATCAAAATTCTTGCCTTGGACACCGGTGATGACCAATTTAAGGCAGACGATATTCAATGGGTACTAACTGTTCCTGCAATATGGACTCCAGCAGCTAAACAGTTCATGAGAGAAGCAGCCAATCAGGTGAGGTTGCATAAAAATACATCGTGGTCACTTTGATTCCAGCATATCAATGCATAGCATGGATTTTTTTTCACTCAGGCTAAATCACCCATTTTCACTTCCGTGCCTCTTTGTTCAGAAAAAGAGAGCTGCAATTTAAAGTTCTAATAACACAACTGAGGTAAAGTAGAGACGCGGAGACATTTTCCTTATCAACACAGAACTTGGCATTGTTTAGGATATTTCTGAATGCGCCCGAGGCACCAAAAGCAACCGATCAAAACATTTACAGGCATTAGTAAATTATTTGGCTTCACCCAAACTTTTTCTGCTCTTTTTTTCTATTTAAACATTAGTTTTGTGTGTCTGGCGCCAACCCATATCCTCGTGCTTTTTAAACCCTTTGTTGCTTACTTTTCTCCCTTTCGGTACATGTGTTTGCTTAGGAGGGAAGGGGGGTCTCCATTTTTGCGAATTAAATGAAAAATTTACAAGCCACATTTTTTACTTCCTTTTTTTCTCGTAGGCCGGAGTTGGAAAGCAGACTAATCCTGGCCAGTTAATTATCGCCTTAGAGCCCGAAACTGCCGCAATTTTCTGCATGGAACGAAAGAATATAGAAAGAGAATGTAACAGTGATTTCAAAGATGAAGAGCTTTCAAAACCAAAAACACGGTACATGGTCGTTGATATAGGAGGTAAAGATGTTACTCAAAGATCCCTTTGTTCTATGCTTTAAGTGAATTACCACGCAAAAAGGGTAGCATATACATTTTTAAAGGAATAAAGTGAGCACATTAAGCTCGACTGAATTGGGAATATAAATATGAAATAAAACGCTTAAGTTCCATTCAAATAGACATATTCCACTCGGAAACAATAACCTCCTTGATGCAGACGCAGAGAGGTTTAGGAAAGATGTACAGAAAAATAAGCAATAACCAAAGATGAATTTTGCCGCTTGATTTAGCGGAACTTTCCGATATGGGGGGAGTAAGAAGAATTAAAACTGATTGGAACTTTTTCTTTAAATATTTCTAGGTGGGACATTAGATGTGGCCATACATGAGGTTATAGAGAAAGGCAGCATCAAAGAGATTGACAAAATAACGGGTGGTCCCTATGGCGGGATCAGAGTGAACCAAGAGTTCGAAAGGCTCTTGGGAGATTTGTTCGGAGTAGCAAGGCTGAATGCGTACAAAGAGAAGTTTCCCTCCGATTGGCTGGCTCTGATGAACGACTTTGAAGGGAAAAAGCAAGGATTTCGTATGTTGGGAGGAAAAATGACAAATATCCGTTACCCGGCAAGCTTTGCTTCTCTGGTTGAGCAAAACACAGTTAAGGAGCGTTACGATGAGAATGATGTTAGGTTGAGGAGGAATGAATATCTTTGCATAAGCCCAAACATCATGGAAGTAAAGTTGTTCGCACCTGTCTTATCTGACATCAGGGGTCATTTGAAAAGACTGCAGGAAAGGACAAAGGCTTTAAATGTTACAACCATGATTCTAGTGGGCGGATTCGCGGACTCTCTGATTCTTCAGAATGAGATTAAGAAGGAGTTTTCAAAGGATTTTCGAGTTGTGGTCCCCCGAAATGCCGCTATAGCTGTAGTTCAAGGTGCTGTATTATTTGGAAAGAATCCAGCTAAAATAACGGAAAGGGTCATGAGCACAACTTATGGTGCCGATTGCTCTCGGGATTTTGACAAATTCGTTCACCCTTCCACTAAGTTTTTTTTAGCCGATGGTCGCCCGAAGTGCAAAGACTTATTTAGCTGCTTTGTGAAGGAGGATGAGGTCGCACGGTCAGGTCATACTGTCAAGAAGATGTATGCCCCCCTTCATGCAAATGACACTCAACTTACATTTGGATTTTATGTTGCAAAAAATCCCGAATGTAAGTTTATCACCGATGAAGGAGTAACTAAGATTGGAAGTGTCACTGTCAACTCTCCAGATACTTCTAAAGGGCGAAGCAGAAATATTGAAGTCACTATGCACTTTGGAGGAACAGAAATCGTCGCCACAGCAATAGATATTTCGAGTGGAAGCACAGCACAAACCACTCTGGATTTTTTCCATGACTAACCGCTATCAAAGAAATGTAATAGCACTCTTTTATTCTGTAAGAAGCTGGTGTCGATCTGAAACTTTATGGCAAGTGCTATGCAAAGCGGCGTAGAACAATTTGTGTAGTAGAAATAATTTTAATTGCGAATTTTAAAGTTGTAAGTGCTGCTTGTAGGAACGAGGATGAAAAAAGACGCACCAAGGAAATTTGGCTTTTTTAGATATCAAATTTTCTATCGAAGGCGACGGTCTATTCACTAGCTAAAGTGTGAAGTACAAACCTACAGATTCTCATAGTTCCTTATGATATTCATCTTTGTATCCATCGCATGTCAAAAATTCCACTTTTTCCTGATAAATTAACTGTAACAATTTTTTAGTTTGTAAACAAAATTAGAGAGATGGCAAATTTGAGCCCGGTAAAGAACTAGAGAAAGATGTTGTTCGTCTTGTCACGAGCGTGAGACAAAGAAAAAATTCTGAGTCCCAATGAGGAAACGAACCCTAGACCTTCGGATTCTGCGCTCCGATGCTCTACCACTGAACAGAGACTCGGTGAGCGAGGTCTATTACGAAGTTCAAAAGCCACGCGTTCTGCATACCGCTTAGATCAGCAATATCGAAAGAATCTATTTACAAACATGACAAATGTATTCGGTGGCCTGATATAAAAAGTCACTTGATCAAAAATACATCTTTCAAAAATTTTACTTAAAGCTGAAAGGAATGATATGCGACGAAAGTTGTTACTTGAGGAGCGACAGCCTTGTTTGAAGATTAAGATAACTTTGGCAATTTTTAAACTGTCTAGAAATATGCCTTGCCTTAATTAACATATCTCAGTGGGCCAGCAATCTCAATGGGCCAACAGAAAGTTTAAATATTGCATGGTTAACGAATGAACACTTTTTGGAATTACAACTGGGTACAGTCTCTTCAAAGCAATCGATTATTATAGGTTTACCTACTTCGTTACAAATATGTATCAGTTATTGTTTACAAGAATCATCGAAAGGCTACAGGATTTTTATCGGCAGGAGTCAGCATGTTCCTTGTTACCCGGTAAAAAGCACTCTTAGATCATCTTTCGTTATATCCTTTGACTAGCACAATCTAATTAAACGGTTAAGTCATCTTGTGAACGTGTTCTGCTTTGTTCTGCGAAATACTGCATTCCAAAACTTGCTGCTAAAACACATGGCAGCGTTACAATTTACCGCTGATGGAGTCATTTAATCGTCACCCAATGCCGCCGTTACATTGAGGGGGTAGGGGAAGAGCTGTTAGAAGGGCTAAACTGTACGTAGATTGCAGTAACACAAAATTTATCAGCTCCATTTATTCAATGCTTAAAAACACCTAAATTACGATAAGAATATTGATTCTCGTCTCTGCTTTTCAGCAAAAAACCCAGGAAAAATTTGCTCCGTTGTTTTGGTGGATGAGGGGTGTTGGGGGGTGGAATGTTGGAGTTTCTTTTACCGCTGCAAAATCATTACTTTCTCCCAACTAACCGAAATAGAATCTATTAAGAGCTGTAAACCTTTTTTTTTCTTTTTCAGTTATCAATCATTACACTTACAAAATTATGTTTTTCTATCTACAATATTTTTGCCAATATGTGCTATAAACTGTTGTTCCAGCTGGGAACTAAGAAGGGACTTTCTGAAGTCAACTTTTAGAAGACAATAAATAATTCAGCCGTTTGGCAGAAGGTGTGGGGCTAACAAGAACAAAGTTGTATTTGCGGAAGTCTCTGAAGCAAAAACAAATAAATAAATATAAATAAATGTATCCCTGTGAGGGTAGTTCGTGGGAAAAAAATCATTTAATTTAATTTAGTACAGAGCAAACAGACCGAAGACGTATTTATTGAGTTATCTACAATGTTTGCCTAGAGGAGGGACTAACGTGATACTGTTTTGTCTAGTGTTTTGGCAATAATATGGAGGGTAGTTGTTCGTTAAAGGCTCTTGTTAGTGGAGTTTGCGACTTTTCCGATAAAGATCGAAAGCGTCAAACTGGAATTATACTATTACTTTCATGTAATAGGAAAATTGTCAATCATAAATCTACTTACAAATTTACGGGTCCTGAATACGAAGTTGACCTTATTTTATGTTGAGCGGCTAAGTTCACGAGAAACGAACGCATGCTCGCCATGACGATATGTCCCATACATTGCACAAAACTTGGTTTGCGATGGAGCAGAGGATTCAGCACACGATGTAGGGTTCTAGAAGGAATTTGCAATCATGGAAAAGGTAAAGGAACTTGGCCAAAAGGTGAAGGACTTCAAACATTGCCTGAAGAGAAACCTTACCTCAAACTTTTTAGAGACTCAATTGCTTTGTTATTTTATTTAATTAATTAATTTAATTGATCAATTTGATTGTTTTATCTATTTACTAGTTAATTAGCTCATTAATTTATTAGTATATAGTTTTAATTATTTCTTTATTCTGAAAAGCCCATTTGGGACGAATGAAGTATGTATGTATGTCTAGAGAGGGTTGGGGAAGGAGGAATCCGAGATAATCTTGCACAAGACTGGTTTGGTCGCATAAGTTGGGTCAGGAAGGTTTTTATTTTTTATTGAATGTACGTTGTGGTTCCACATAGTCATGGTAGCCTGCGTAGCTGGCGGTTGTGTTTTGTTTGGGCAAACGAGTAGCGAAGCCGCGGGAGAAATGGGAAAGAGGCGCTTCCGCCAACCATAGCCGCCAGTAACGCAAACTAGTGGTCATGCTTACCAACCTGGTTTTGTTCTTTCGATATGTAGGTGTATGTAGGAAATGCAGAAAGCGATTAAAGGAGATGATACATAGTGAAGTGCGTGATATTCAAGTCTCAGAACTGTGAGCTGAATCTAAGATAACTGAGCAGCTGGAGAGAATGGCGTTAGTGAGTATGTAAAAATCAAAAACACTGTCAATTGTTACTTATTAAACAATTCCAAAAAAAATCACGCACACAACAGATGAAAAAGATTAAGAGTTGTTTTCTTTATGAATTATTAGCTGATAACGCCACGCCACGGAAAACAGATGCTGTCATCCCAAGGCATATGACTATTTGCCACTGTGTGTCGTGATAAAGAGGTTCAGACGCTCTCTATTCGTTGCAACAAGATATTTCTAAAGCATTTTGTTTAACGTCATAGCATTCTAAACACAAATTAAGGACAGGGGTGTGTGTGATGAGTTTCCGGTTTCCAGACTCTCATAAAGATCAATAGGCATAAGGTTATTCATAAATTGATTCATTTAAGTAAATACTTCCTGCAGTTGAGATGATTGTAGAGGTGCTTTAAGCTAGTGAATAACGCTTGAAGGAAATGAAAAATGATCTTTTTCCATGTTTAGGATGGTCGTGATGACGAGGTGGCCTTCAATCTTCCAGAACCGGTGCAAACACCACAGAGTGTAATAACAAATGCTCAAACACCACAGAGTGTAATTACGAATGCTGAAACACCACCAAGTGTCTATCAGCCATCTGAATGTTTTACAACTCCATTTAGAGATGACTAAGTTGAAGTGACGAGCAACTCAAAAGAGAAATTGAATTCCTTTCTGGCTTCTAGAGGCTGAGTCCTATCCGTTATCCGTTCGATTTTACGCTTTGAGTGCATTTGATAGTTTTTGGCGGGTAATAAACAAACGAAATGGCGACCTTTTTTGCAAAGAATAGTGGTGGCGTGAAAGAGAAGCCAACGATAGTCTTAAAAGAGTTTTAAGTTTAAAGAGTCTTTTTTTTTCGTTTTAGTTTCAACAAGCGGCGCCAGCAACTAGCAGGCGTGCGAGGATTCACACTGAAATAGGAGAACAACCTTCGTTTTTCATAAAATTGTAATTTACAATCCTTGAACTTGAAAACAATCCTAAGATTCATTAAAATATCACTTACTCCGAAGCGCTCGGAGTTTACAGGCGTTCAAAAGCTTTTTCCGTTATGGCGTGAGATTAGGGAGAAAATCGATCATTACATTTCGTATCGTGTGTTTTTTCTGTGTGAAGCAACAAAAGGTGCCGGCGACTAACGAAATTACAGGTTAACACGAAAATCAAATAACGCCTAAACAAATAATTTTGGTTACCGATTTTCAGTTTCAATACAATTTGAAGGTTCAAAATAATTATTACGTACTAAAATGCGAAAGTTATACACCACAAAATTAATAAATAGGCCTCAAATGAAATTCTATCTTGTTCTTGATTATACGTTGCCTAGCACGTGACCAAAATCTACCAAGGCGGAAATCCAAAATGACGGTGGCAGTCTGGGCTTAGTTATATCACTCGAAACTCGTTCCCATTTGTCTCATTTAATAAAGAGGAATAATAATTTTTTTTTTATTAAGACAACAATGCCTTGATTTTCCAATATTTACAACGATAGATAGTAAATTTCACTTTTCACCCACATTTACTTCCAACCTTTTCTTTTGAACCAGAAACCAAAATGATATATGTTTGAAACACATGACATCATCCACCCTTGTCAAATGTAATAGCATGATCATTTCAATTGTAATGCCTTCTTATCCCAACGTTACTTTGTTTCTTTGCTACATTAGCGAACACTGAACTACTGCTCGTACTCTAAATATGACAATCAACCACAAAATTCCCTAAAATAGATAAAATTAAACATAATCCAAAAAATCATGTAAGTCATCTGTCAATTCACGAGTTTGCTCATAGAGCACTTTGATTGACATTCATTACCAGCCCGTACGTCATTCAAGATTTGCCATTCGGCAAGGGCACTCCTAGGCAAAAGAGCAAACTGGCAAATTAAAACTGGCAAAACGTTATCTCAAATGTAACTATAGGGCAGGACTATAAAAATAAGTATATTTTTTGAAAAAAACGTACTTTAAATACCTACTCCGTTATCGAACTCCGGAACTAAACATTTCATGTCAATCCCTAGAAATACAGAGGGAGTTTAATAGGCACGATAACGTTCTTTTCAGTTTTTTTACGAGTGTCATACCAAGTCATGTATAGTTCACACAATTCGATTTGACAACTCAGTTTTTCGTTACACTTTGATAGCAAGTACATATATCGTCAGCTTCCAGAGTTCCAGATCACTGTAGGGCATCTGCTCTCAGTTACCCTGGAGATCCAGATTACATTAGTAATTGCGATCATGATCATGACATCGCATCGCATCGATGCGAGTTGTTCCCTGATGTGGTCCATGAAATCGAGTCCGTTTTAGAGGAGGTTCAATCCACGAAAGAGGAAAAAGATGAGATGTGAAATATGAGGTTTCTCAAGCTAAAAAAAAAATGAAGCATTGAAGACTCATTTGCTCCACTTCATCAACCAAGACGAAGCATTACATATACCTTAAAACATCTACACCATCATTCTGTGCTTTTAGTTTTGGATTGGGCCATGAAATACCTCCCAAGAAAATACCGCGAGAGTCAAACCGATTGGTTTGGAAAGCGAGGTATTTCATGGCACATAACCACGGCCACAAGAATGTACGAAGGACAACTTCAACTACTGTCACTCGTCCACCTTTTTGAAAGCTGTTACCAAGATAGCAACACAGTTTTGGCTGTAATTGATGACGAGCTGAAACAGCTCAAGGAAACAATGCGCAAAGTTGATCGCGTCCACTTCAGACAGGACAATGTTGGATGCTACCATAGCGCATCTACATTACTGGCAATTCAGCAGGTGGCCAAAAGTCACGATATCAGCATAGGGCTAGATTTCTCGGATTGCCAAGGGAAAAAAGGGGTCTTGCGACCGTAAAGCAGCCGCGATCAAGAATCATATTTGAATTTATCTAAATTCTGGTCACGATTTCGAGACTGCCGATCGAATGAAGACCGTTATAGAGTCCTCGGGTGGTGTACCCGGTGTGAGGGTGTTGCTATGCGACACACAGACTATTCCTAAATTGGTGTCTCTAAAGTGGGACGGTGTCAGCTTCATCAATAATATCCAGTATGCCAGTGAAGGAATGAGAGTCTGGAGGTCGTACGCAATTGGGCCTGGTAACTTCCTGCCTTGGAGTAAGTTTAATTTTCCAGAAAACTACTCCGTCCCAGTGCTTAACATGCTGAAGGAGACTAAAGTTCTAAAACCTGAATTTACTCCAGTCACAGCAAGGAGAAAATCAGCCCAGACGCAGCTTACAGGAGACTAAGATATAGTGGGCGTGGCTGAAGATACAGGAGAACAGGACGATGACGATGTGAAATATCGCAGTGAACTCTTCTCGTGTCCTGAAGATGGACGCATAAAATGTTTTCAAAGGTTCTCGTCCCTTCAAGGGTACCTTGAAGTTTGCAAGCATAGCTATGCTCTGGAGAACGAAACGCTTTTCGATAAAGCAATGGTTGCCTATGCGACTAAATTAGAGCAGGGTATTACCACGTCTGACAACCCAATAGAAGTCACTGCAACACTGACAATATCTGTGTTCCATGTTGTCAATGGGGTGGGCACTGAAATCTTCCACTGCTCAAATACCGACTGACTGAGAAGCAGAAAAAAATACATCATGGAGGTTTTTCAAACTGGCGAGTGCACAGAGCGCAAAGCCGACCCTTGTAATGTTTCTAAGGCAATGAGACCACAAACCCTGTTGGCACTTACATATTACGAATAATTGCTTTTGTATAGTTGCTCAGGTACTTTCGGATTCTGTGGTAAATTCGTTCTGATGTTAAAACCACTCTCTTCCAATTGTTTTGGTTACTCGAATCAAGATAAGAAGCCAGTTTTCGCTATAATTTAACAGGTTCATTTAATTCAATCAGCAAAGAGGTCCCATATTTCTTTTGAAAATTGTTACGCCAAACTTAGTAGCATCTATTGTGCTCTTCAGAATTGTATTTTCCTTCATCGCGTTTTTCATTTTGTAACACTGATAAAACGCGAGGCAGCCATTCAAAAATTAATAATCACCTCGCGCGAGTGATTCTATTGAGATATGACGCAATACTCGACCAATCAGAGCGCGCGCATCCCTATAATCACCGGAGTAGTTATACATAATTCATATAAAAAGCATGACTGACTTATTTGATTAAAAATGGCCTCCGAGCAATAAAAGGGGAGACTTCTATCGACTCAAATTAACCTTTAATCGCTGCACGACAATTTTTTGCCAATCTGTTTGTCGTTACTCAATGTCATTGCCATCGGATAACTATATTACCCCTATAGAGAAGGGAACTTTTTAAGACGCTACTGACACTTTATTTAATAGCTTGTTTGGTAAAATTAAATCCAGTGATGATCATCGAAATTTTAGTAATAAGTAATCTCATAGGCTATTGTTTTTTAATCATTGATATTAGCTATGATAACTATTATCATCATTTTTGTTAGTGATCGTATTTGTGTCATTATCACTATATTTCGGTATCATTATTGCTACTATTATCATTACTCTTACTATTATTATTATTGTCATCGTGGTTGGAACCAAATCCTTTTTTTAAGTACAACTCTCGTTTCAAGGGGCATAAATCCTTACAGTAAATATATCAGGAAAGTTATTGCCTGTCTCGTGAAGTCAAAGATACATCAACGATGTAGAGTAATCGCAAAAAGATTAACCATGGCTAATAAAGTTAGTAAGATTAGTAGATATCCACTGACTTTCATTTTCTTATCTCAATGGGGACATTAGATGTGACAGTGCTCGAAATAGAAGATAATGATAACATTAAAGAGATCCATAGGGGGACCTTATGGTGGAATGTACGTCAACCAGCAGTTTGAAACTCTTTTGGAAGAGTTGTTGGTTCAAAAAGTTCAAAAAGCATCATCCATCTGATTGACTCGTTAATGAACGAGTTTGAAGGAAAAAAATGCGGGAAGCGCATTTTAGACGACAGTTTGATAACAGACATCCGTATCTTCGCCCAAGTTCAGGAATGATTAAGAAATTGTTTAACCTTGTCGTGGAGGAAATTAAACAGCATTTAAAAACTTTGATAAAAAAACTGCAACTATCAAAGGAGCAAACCATGCTCCTTGTTGGCGGCTTTGCTGATTTTGCTTTCCTACAGCAAGAATTAAAAACGGAGTGCGCAAGAAGGCTCAGGATACTTATTTCTCATTATACAACCATAAATTGTACAAGGAGCTGTAGTCTTTGGCAAAAACTTACGAAAATATCAAGCAATGTGATTTAGCTTCTAAGATTTTTCAAAAATTGTCTGACTCCTAAAATCTGTCAATCGCTTTAATAGTTCATCATAGTTCATAGTAAGCACCAATAACAATAAAAAAAAAATTTAAAGTCTTCCCTTTTTTGATAGTAAATATCTTACGATGTACAGGAAGGAAAGAAGACAGGTGCCTAGTCAGCATAGGTACAATGTTCTAAAATGTTGTTTAGACATATTTTGATTGATTGCTTGCTAGGTGCACATGCACCGTAATTACTTTTTATTGTGAAAATGTGCATTATTTTTTCCACAAAAATCTTGAAGTAAAATGCTTTTTTGTGTTGAAATAAATTACTAACAGTTAGCAAAACCTAGCCTTACAAAACATACAAAACTAGAAGATATATTGTAATTTAAATTTCACTCAAGAACAATTACAAGGGAAGCTTTTGCATTTAAGATGGATGTTGAATTATGGATGTTAAACTAGAGAGAATCTTAACAACAGTTTTCTCTATTTAGTTTGACCATCCAAACTCTAAAACAAGCTCTAACTACTCAATATAGAAGCAATTTAGTTTCTGAGTAAATGCTCTCATTTGACATCAATAGGGGAAAATGTCCTAATGTTTTGACTGTAGACGAAATAAAATAGTGCGTGCATAAACAAACAGAATACTCATTGTTAATTGCCTGCATTCTATTCCATCTGTTAATCATTTGTTTTTCAGAGTTCCTTCCTTCTCTAACAACGTCAGGTAACATTAAATATGAGGTCGTTTCATGTCAGAAAATCCAATCATATCGATCATGAATCGACCTGATTCATGCCCCTCATTTACATTTGGAGTGTGGCACAAATAAAAAATATTCAACAGGATTTTGAACATTAAAGCAGTTTTCGAAATACATATTCGCTTTAGTTGATGGACGTAAAAATTCAAGAGAAGCTTACTTAGTATTCCCTTTAATCTTACACAAGACTTCTCCTTTTCGAATACATCTTCCTTCCCCATCAAACAGTCCTGGCCAAAGATAGCATGCTATCTCCTCTTCCTGATGTTGGTCAGGGGCTTCTTTCACCAACGTACGTACCTCAGGACTCATATGATAACCCATATTCTTATGGTACCGTTCTAGGTGTGAGGAATGATACTCTAACTTTAATGGTGGTGTCTGGATAACCATTCTCCAAGTCAGCCGGATACTTGCTTCTATGTACTCTAGGAGCTGACTCACTAAGTATGAAAATAGACTGTTTCTCACCAATTTCTCCTTTTCTTTCCACCTGTCCTACTTCTCCTTAACGACTTGAATAACACCCTAAAAGTTTTAGTACTGATTATTTGAAAAGTTAGGGGTACATACGTTCGCAAGTTATCTTTGAAATAATATTACAAAATAAACGCTCATGAAGAAACGATACATATGGTCAAAAATTAAGAAAGTCGACAATGATGTATACGTAAAGATGACGCACTTTTGATTGGCTGAAAACGAGTGCATTTTTTATTTTACACGAGTGCAAAGTTGTAACAAGAGTGCAAATTACAAATAGCGCGCGCGTTGTCAAAATTTCGTCTGTCTTGACTTTCTAAGATGCTTTTTCCATGCAAATGATCACCAAAACATCGCACTCGAAATCATGTTATTACCGATACTAATATGGTTAACAATTCTTTTCAGACCTGACATCGACATCCATCCTTCCTCCCCTTTCTCCATGGAGAAAGATGCACGAGACAAAATGGAGCTCGAGAGGGAAAAGGGCAGGAAAGTACGATATATTGGCTTGGGTTGAAAATAAGATTGCAAAGATTTATTGCTTAACCGTCTCGTACCTAGGTACTGTTTTTGATCGGAAGATAATGATTGAAAAAATGCCTCTAAAAAGTTTGAAAAAAAACAATTCTAGGTTTCTAAGTAAATTTCAAATTAGTATGAAGTCAGTAAAGTAATTAACTCTAAGTCACTGAGTTATTTTTTTCAATTTATTTATTTCCCGTGTGCGTTTGATCCACAAAAACTGATCTACAACTCGGTTTCTTCGTGACGCCTTTGAAAACTTATCATCAGAAAAAAAAACCATCAGATTCGATCGTGAATGATCCAGAAGCATAACAATTAGCACAACTCGTTAGAAATCTGAATAAAGACTACGGTCACCGTCAACAAAAAAAGGGTGTCATCCGGGAAAAGCCTTTGCGTAACCACTGGATTGTATCACTCAGCAGATAATAGGCTAAAAACGGTGTGAGGCTTTTTCGATATTCCTGTTGTTCCCGAGAAAATCTATTTTAAAGTTGGATTGGATGGCCGTAATTTTCAATTTACATACTTCTCATTTATTAACTTTGTCCTTACCGACAGAAGATGTCTTTCAGGTAAACGGCCAAAATCGGCCAGCGTTTCATTCTCAGCCGAGAGAAATGCCGACACCAACGCCACTGAATTCGTAACTTTCGGTTTTCTCTTGTATATTGGTTTTCTTCCCCTTCTAGGAAAGTTTGAACCTCATTGTCTGTCAGCGATACAGATTTTTTTAGTGTTTTCGCCGCCATAACTCGAGAAGTTCCAAGAAATTACTTATATTGAGAATCGTGAAGGCTTTGTTGTTCATTCATCAACCTGATCGAGTGGTGCGAAAGGCGAGTGACGTGTCAGCAGCTGATTGGCTATATCAACAAACGTGAAAAAATATCGTATTTTTTCACGTGTATTGTTACGGCTTTTCTAAGGGCCGGAAATCCCTGTATAACACCGCAGTTTATTTGATAAAAGGAAATATTGAACTCCCTTCTCGAGTCCCTCGACAAAGAGGCTTTTGAAATTCGCGGGTTAAACGAAGTCCAAAAAATTCATCAAGAAAAGCAATTTGTAAAGTCAGACTTTTTTACTTCATCAAAATCTCCAGCCTTCGATTTCTTTGGCTTGGGCCTTCTGATAAATTTGTCACAAAGTGACATCTCTTTTTGTCTGTTTCATGAAGACTCTTAGTTTTCAGTGTTTTGGGAAATATGACAAATTTACTTCTTTTATGCGGTGCAATGCGTGATGTAAACGAAATATGCAAATCGAGATCCACCACACTGTTCATCCTCACCCCGAAGATTTACTGCTTTTAACCATGAAACCTCCAAAAATTATATGAACGACCAAGATACGTACTGAGAGGCTGAGTCAAATCAATTACGAACTATTATAGAATCATAGTAAAAAAAATCCAGACCGTTTTTTTTCCCAAATACCTCTTGTAGGGCACTTTCTTGTGACTTTTTTTGAATCAAGATAGAGTATCCAGGACAACATACCTCCACTAAACAATCAAGGTTGCAATTGGGTGCCGTTTCTTTCAAGATCATCATTAGGGCATCAACAGCTTCAACCGGATACTGTGATTCTTGACGCACTAAACAGACTGGATAGGCAACCGATGTTTCAGAAATGCCCCTCTGTTGGTAAAGACAACAGACGATGCTACACGATATTACAAAAATAACATTTAAAATGCACTAGTCATAATATCTATGGAGGGCTGAAACTACGATTAAACGGATACGGCTGAATAAGAATTAACAAAATCCGAATCTTTAATCTATCCATCCAAGTGAATTCAAATTTAATTTATATATTCCCTATGTAGACAACTTGCCGGCCTAAATGAAAGCCTACACTTTGTTGATGCTGCTGGAATCTAAGTTTTCATTTGAAAGGCAAGTCCTTCCTTTAAAGTACACTAAGACCGAGCCGATTTATTTTCACTTAACGATCAAAATCACGTTTCCTTACCATAAGGTTTGACGCCTCTTCTTTCGTCAAGAGAGATTCGTGTTCATCGTGTCTAGTGGGGTCTAACTTTTCTTCAAAATGACGCTTTATCTTAACATCTACATCTACAATTGATCCGCTCGTGAGGGGGAGGACCAAGAAGGATGATATGGTTTAAATACAATGTCGGCGTCCTTACTCAATATCGTTAGGAAAAAGGACGAGTCTCAAATCTTTACAACTGTTCTATTTATATTAATCTTAACCACCGCTTTTCATCTATCCTCGTCGGAGATTAATTGCTCCAAGAGTTTATTTTGTCCTACCCTTTTACAGAGGGTAATCAAGTTGATCGCTCTTGGGGCTGATTGAATAAAACCTCTCGTTACTTCTTTCCCCAACTCAAAAATTGCCTCTCTTGCCTCTTCCACTTTTTCGTAGGCAGCCTAAAAAAAAACAATAATATGATAATGGCAATAACTGTACTAAAATTATACATAATGTACGTCTCTAAAGCGTAACAAAATCCTATAGTAATACATTTACCACCGTACACCACGACGAAATCTACTCATTCCACCGACATCTAGACGAGCAGAATACAAAAAATTAACAGACAAGTCATCTTACAACCCGGCCTCACACAGAGTCGTTACTATTATGCACTCTGGGCTTTAAAAAGAAAGGGCACTCGACAGGCACCCTATCCGAAGAAAACCAAAACTTTGACCATGTTTTTCCCTAAAAGAGCAACAATTAGATTCGGCGACACACTTAGCAGCGACAACACCTTAGACCACACAATGACTACACCATAAATGAATGCATACCTGAAACCATCTCGCGCATGCTATAACCCTTCAATATCCATGTCACCCATAAAACGATCAATTACACAAAAGACAGCTCTAACTATTCCCAACGACTGACTCTGTAAAGCTAGTTCACTTATTTAAAGTGGACTACCTTCAATAGATGTCAACAACTACTGGCATTTATTCAAGGCATTTGCACCGCCACGGAACCGAACAGAACGACTGCAGTCATTCTGCCGACGGATCGAAACGAATCACGACCGATTTATATGCACCAAATGAGTCCTATAGTTAATATAATCGCAGCTAAACTGACTAAACATTATGCACGGACTGAAACTAAAACAGTCGACTGACAGCAACTCTTCACTTGACTCTGATGGTGACCATCTACTCAGTTTGTCGAAGGTCAGTCACCACAACCGACTACGATCCTTCTCAGGACTACCCCCAGCCGCACGATCAGATTACACGAAAACATTGAACCCACTGGTTAAAACCATTTATTGTAAAATCAGAATGGTTTTCATTAGTCGTTCCACTTAAAGGATGGAAAACTGAAGCAAAAACCCCGAGAGAGAGAATATAGAGAAGTTTTATATAATTTATATTGCAATCAGAATATGCGAAATGAGAATTAGTAGGACATACATGGTCATAATGCTACAAACAATGAACGACCCTTCCTACTTGAAAAATGTAGCATTGACGTATGTTTTTTTATAAGAAGATCATGCCCATCGCCTTATTAAAAAGGTTAGCTCAAAAGTTTTGAAACGACTTCAGAATTAATTATTGATACTGTGAACGAAACATCTACATTTCATGAGTGTTAACTTAACCGTAAACGCAAGACATACCTCAAAAACAAGACAAAGAAGTCTGGCGCAATAAACGTCGACCTCCAGCTGCTCTTTAAATGAGCACGATGTCTGCATTTTTTCCAATGCATCCATTCTCGTTTCGTCGAAGAAATTAGCGAAATCCTCTTCCACCTTTGACTGTCTGTTCTCACTAAGCGTGTCCTCCACTTTTGACTGATTTTGCTTTACTCTTCTCTCACTGAGAGCGGCAACTCTGCAAGATAATAAGAGACCATTCAGTGCTAAGATGATACACACATCGTCATCGTCAAAAAGAAGTTGAGAGAAAAAATGATAAGGGAAATTTGTATAAAAGGATATGAAAATAGCTTCTGAGAAATGCAGTTGGTCACTTTCAGAGGCTGAATTCACGTTTGTATTTTTAATCCTAGGCGAAATTTAGATGCCTCATGCAACATCGTTTGAATGAAAAAGCAAAAGGCATAATATACATCATGCAAAGGTTCTGAGGGCGGCTTTCTATACAGCTAACCTTGTTTATTATAAATATCCTTGACTTGAGATATCTTGGGATTTTAAGTTTTTTTTGTTTTTGTTTTTTTTTTCATTTTTAACTTATATGTGCGACCTTAAGTAGGCTTCCTAGTGGGAGCTGTTCATTTGATAGCCATTTTTCACTTTTGTAATCATACACATTCATATGCGTGTGTTTGTCATTGTGCATTACTACTTCAAAGACAAGGATTTTGAACTCGAGACAGCGATCTCTGGACTTTTTCATTGCTGTGCGAGTAGAGGATAACGTTCAACTTTAAAATTCAAAAACGGTTGCAATTCCGCTTTCTGTGGATGGTGGCGACGAATTTGTACTCATGGTGGTGCTATTTTCTTGACCAAGTAAAAATTTACATTTTGTTCTATAAATTCTTGCATATAGCACACCTCGGCTCTTCATCAGTTTAGAGCGTGTGGCTTGACAATTGCTTTTCTTTTCAGTTTATCTCATGTAGCGTTCATAGAATACAGTGTGTTGCGTAATCAAGAACACTCATCACGATTAGAATTTTACAAGTATAATTAAATCTGTTTAAGGGGAGGAAATAGATGACTCGTATTCCGAAAAGCATTGCTTAGTAAAGCGGAGGAATTCAATCCTAAGTATCCTTTGCGTTAATACAGGTAAGCTTATTGCTGGTAACCCGTATATAAACATGAGATGCATATGACCCTTTACATACTCCTGTGCTGGAACCTGTTTCCTTCATTCAAAAGCTAGTTTACGAGATGAAGGAAGATCAACATGGAGCAAATTCTTGAGCCAAATTTTAATGTAAACTATCGATTATTTCTCGAAAACTTATCTGAACATTAACAGCTTGTCTGTTGTGATCTCTATAGATAGAATTGTGTAGTTCATGATAGAAATAAGACGCACCTCACTTTCAGCTGCGCAAGAGGAAAAAAAATTATTCGCGTTGAATAAGCCTACGTATTTTGAAAAGAAAACATTGATTAGGCAATAGTTCACAAATTTTTATGTATGTCATACTGTTTAACGATACATGAACATGAAGGTTTGAAAGACTTTGCTTTGATCTATGTAAACAAAGTATCACCGACACCCTTTACGGTTTAAGGAAAAATAAAAACTTGGAACGGACTAATAGATTTATGCTGACTTGCTGAGGGTTGACCTCAACAAGTTACGTTTCAGTATTCATTTCCTACTCAGCGTTGCTTTTCGGTTTTAAGTCGGCTGCTTAACCTGCTGTAGAATGTGTCTTCTAAGGTCACATGTACTAAATGCTTTCAGTTAAAACGAAATTTCACACAACTTAAAAGCTGGTTTGTTCGTTTTCTTCAACCTTTCTTGATCATCAAAATATTTTTTTTTTCATTTTAATGATAATTTACTTTAAATTACATTTAATGTAAAAAATACAAGGGAAAGCCACGAAGTGCAGCAAAGTATTGAATACTTTATTTCTAGAGAATTTAAGAGATTGCCGACGCGGTAAAATGAGAATCAGATGAGCCGGATTTAAGAAGGTTGTTAGACGTCTTTTGCTATATTACGGAATGTTTGGCGCAAGCGATAAGGGAGATGATTTTCCTGCTGCTGCTATATTTCTCTGCCGTTTCCTCACTGCGTTCTTCTCAACTGAACAAAAATTCCAAAATTGCAGAAATTCATATGCTGATTTACAAAACGAAAATAAACACGCACTTGCATCTAAAAAGTAAGTTATAGTTCGCTTTCATTAATCGATCGCAATCAACCTTCATGCCGCCCTTGGGGTGTCGTGGTATGTATCACTTTCAGAGCCATTGTAAATAGCCAAAGATGGCATACATCAATAGATGTAGCTGTGTCACATTTAAATCATTTATTTCATGCTGCAAAATTATAATCTACAGAGGGCTCTGCGATAAATAAAACTTAAGATATCTCTGGTTCAAAAGCAATACTGTCCAGTTGAGTTTATGGGGAACAAAAAGAGGAGTATGTATCTGTATCTGCACAATAACAGTTCTTAGTTTACGACTTAAGTTTCTTTGAGATAGAATTAACCTGAAAGGCATCAATCATGGTCTATTACTAAAGTAAATAAATTAAAAAAGGTATTCAGCGTTTTAACCGATTAGGCATATAGTGTAATACAAAAGGTTACCCGATGGCGCTCGATGTTTTGGAACTTCCAATGTTCGCCAAGACCTCGATCTGTTCCTGTTGATCTTCAATGGTTGTCTCCAATATTTTAATTCTTTAGAAAGGGATAAGAACAATAAATGCTCTCCTTCATGATAAACTAGGGGAAAAAACAAACGTTATTTTTGGACTTCTATTTTCTCCATTCATATAAAACGAAATACAGGAGAGTTAGGTTCGTAGGTTTTAGAGAATGAAAAAGGGAAAAGAAAACTGAACCACGCATGGATTTTTTAATTATAATTAGTGTGATATTTAAATTGTATTTTTCCACCCGGCAATTTTAATAATACTACTGATGAAAGTTATGATAATGACAATGATGTTCATAAAAATATTAATAATAATCATGACATTGATAATGATAATGATAATACATCTTTTAATCGTCTAGCAATTTTTCTGAAAGAATAGCCTCAGAGAGTTTCGCAGATATTCAAAACTAAAAAATGTCGACTTTACAGATTTGACCTCGAAATTAATCCATCACAAATCTAGTAGGGTAAATTAGAAACGATGTCGTAAACCTTTTAAGAATACTGAATAAAATAAACAATAATTTTTACACTTCTTAATCACTAATGTACTCTTCTTAAGAGGAGGTTTATAAGTTCTGTTTACAATAGGCGGTTTCTGCTCGAAAAGGAGCACTAAAAGAGATAGAGTCTTTAAAAGCCACATGCTCACAATGACAAATACACGCCCTGTTTTGTTAAAATCATTTCAGACCAGCTATTGATGGCAAGTAAAACAAAAGTGACGAGAATACATTAAAAGAATTTCCGTTAACCTTCATGATACATACTGCTTAAAATGTTGTTATTGCAAGCTGCACATGTTCTGAAAGACACAGCTTTTAATTCTATCGAAGCCTGGACTTTTTGAGTTCTCTTTTAATAGGAGCTTTAAATTTTAATAGGAGCTTTAAATTTCAACATTGTCATAATCTTAAATCTGGTACTTCACTTGCCGGGCAATGGACCTTCTCCTAACCCCTAACTTTTAGTTCATTCAGTATCATTATTATCGTCATCACTTTCATTATTGTTATTGCCATTATAATAAATATTTTATTTTCATTACCGTTATCAGTATTGTTATGTTCAATAATCCTTTTTTTCTCAGTAAAAAACATACACAAAGGTATATTAGCTGTACTTCTCTACTTGCTGTGCTAGTTTCTGTTCCTTTCCCTCGATATTTGCAAGGAGTTCGTCATTTCTACCGAGAAATGAAAACCAATTATTCCATCAGTAAGAGTCTTTCAAACATGTTTGTATTCGCATGTGCGTATCCAAGTAATTTACTTTCCATCTAAACATATAACTGATGTATTTAAATGTGTTAATGATGCTCAAAAAATATAAATCTACCAAATGAAGCAGAAAACGTTCTTAAGAACGATACGTGATACTTTTTTTGCATTTCGCCCATAAGCTCTTTTAAAGCTTCCATTTTTTCCCCTTATTGAAATAACTTGGTGTTAGAAAAGTACACAATACTCGATTAGTAGCTAAGTACGTGTTAATAGTAGTTAATAGTACCTCCAGCAGCTACAGAGAGTGGTTGCAGTAGTAGCGGCAGTAACAGCAGTGGTAGTAATAGTATTAGTAGATGTATTAGTAGTAATAGCATTATTATAATTTGCAGAAGTAATAGCATATGAAGCAATAGCAGTGGCAGTTGCGATGGTTGTAACAGTGGCAGTAGCAGTGGCGGTAAAAGTGGCATTGGTTGTAGTAGCAGCGGTTGCAGTATCAGCAGTGGCAGGAATGATAGTAGTTGGGGTGGTAGTAGTAGATAGTAGTAATCGTGATAGTAGTAGTCGTGGTGGTAGTGATAACGGTAATGGTGTTGTTTGTGGATAACGGTGATATTAGTAGTTATAGAAACCAATCTCTTGCCTAATCCCAGTCCGTGCAGCGATCCTTAAATAGTTTAACCTTCGTGCAGGGTATGCCAATGACAAAGTGTTTCTCAAGTTCACAAGTGATCACAAGAAACGCTACGTTTTGAATGCTGTTTTGCCGTATTCCCAAATCTTCAGGTAAATGTCCAGTTTCATCGTTTTATTCGTATTTTCGTTTATAACATTCCTTTTAAAAACCACTGGAAAGGATATATATTGTTAGAAGTTCGAGTCGTCCAGAATTAAACTTCTCCAAGTCCTAAAGTTATTGCAGATGCGTTGATTATAGTAGTGATGGTGGTAGTAGTGAGGGTATTAGTAATGGTGGTTCTAGTAATGGTGATAGTAGTTTTGATGATAATAGTGACGGTGTTGGTAGCAGAAGACGTGATAGTAGTAATGGTGATAGTAGTAGTGATAGCAGTTGTGGTGGTAGAAGTAGTGGTAGAAGCATTGGTGATAAAAATAGTGGTGATAGTAGTAGTGGTGCTAGTTGTAGAGGTGGTAATAAACGTGATGACATTAGTAGTGGTGGTGGAAGTAATGATGCTTGAAGTGGTGGTGTTAGAAGAAGTGGTGATAGTAGTAAAGATCGTAATAGTGGTGCTGTTAGTTGTAGACATGGTAGTGGCGGTGCTTGCAGTATAAGTTATATTAGTAGAG